CCCCACCCCGTAGGGGTGATCTTTGGGAGAAGGATAGTCAATTGTCAACCCCTCGGTTTCGTTGGTCGTTTGACCAAAAAGGCTGTTTTTACCCCCATTAAGATCCCAACCCGAAAGAGGTGAGGAGTCCCCACGCACAAACCCGGGTTTTGGGAAAGAGGAAAAATTTGGGCCCGCCCTTTGCTCCCAAACCCCCTATAACAGGAACTTGCAATCAAACCTTTTAGGCATATGGGTTTATGTTCAAAAGTGGGGCCCTTGCTAAATGGGGGGTGGGCACAAAAGAAAAATTAGCATTTTGGTAGGGGGAGGGCCTAAACCTGGTGGTCCCTGGTCAAGGGGCAGACAAAGGGTTTTCTGCCCGATGAACTTTTTTCCACCCCTTAAAACGACAGGGATGGGCCCCCCTCTACTAGTAGTCAAGGAAGGCGGGGCCCCCTCTTGGGGAACACTTTGCTACCAAAAAATGCAAGTTTCCCGAACCGAAAAGGGGCCCTCCTTTGGGTAGCTGCAAGACCCGTTTTCAAAACTGTTTAGTGGTGACAATAAGGGAGGAGGGGGTGCATTTTCCCTTTTAAAAAAATTGACCAAAAAAAGGCTGTGGCCCAGACAAGTTGAGCCCAAGATTGTTTTAGAAAATGTGCAGACCAAACTAGCAGCACCTTTTAATTTGCATCTTTTAGCACTGCCTAGTACAGTGTAAAAGGCCCCCCTCTATGGAAAAAAGGAAAAGTAGTCCCTGTTCACAAAAAGAAGAGAGAGCAGAAATCAGAAAATACAACCAAATATCATCCTGTCAATCACTGGGGAATCCCCTGGGGAAAAATTTTCCAAGAAAATGGGCAGATTTTTTTGATACCCTCAAATTCTTTGGGATCTTTTAAAAGGGGTTTAAAGGGAAAAAGGGGGTTGGGGCTGTCTGTTGGGTTAAACCCTCCCCAAAAGGGCCAGGGCCCCTGGGGTGAATCCCAAAAACGCTTTTGGGTTAGTGGCTGGGAAGGGGGGGGGGCTTTTTACGGGGGTGGCCCAGGGCCCCTTAGCAAAACTTAAAGACTGGGAATTGGGGGCTTCGCTATGTTCCTCCGTGATTCCTTTATGGTAGATCTCTAAGTGTAGTCCCCCCTTTTTTGGTTCCCCGCATGGACCTTTTTGGGGGGAAGCGTTCCCCCAAGGGGAAACGTGCTGGGTCCCCCCTGTTTGGAATGTTACTTAACAAACCCTTCCCTTTAATTTATCCCAGAATCACTGCAATGCAAAACGACTGTCATGACAAAATTTAAATTATCAAGAGAAAAAATGCCGCTGCCTTAAATTATATCAATCACCGCTGAGGCTATATCAGCTTGGGGAAAAGTGGCAAGGTAAAAATTTGCACCTGAGAAAAAAGCAAATGATGATCGTCTTAGGCACCCTGATGGTAATGTGGTGGGAGTAGTAAGGGTGAATGGGGGGGGATGTTTGGCCCCCTGGAGAAGAATTGTATCCCTTGGGGTGAAATTTGACTCCCAAAATAACCCTTTAAAAAACCCTTTTTTGTAAAAACTTGCCAAAAAAGGGAGCCAGGAAAACTTACAAACACTTGCCCTATCCCCGCATCCCGCTTGACCGTAGGGGTTGGGAAGTTCCCGTACGAGGGCCCAAATAAGTCACCCCTTGAGTATGCTCCATTTTTTGGTTTGCCTGCCCCCCCTCTCATCTGCGACTGCTTGACAGAGTAGAGAACGAGCAAGAAAGTCTCTCTCTTTTGGACCATCCTGGATAAAATCTATTTTAGCAGGGGGCCTTCAAAATGGGGGGATGTTTGGGGGGCTTACTTTTTATGTACAAGGCCAAAATTGTCAAAATACCACACTTGGATCCCTTTCGGGGAAAAAGCGTTGGGAAAAAAGCTTTTATGCCACAAAACGGGAAAAAAAGCAGCAATTCCTTGGGTGAAACCCTTTTCCAGAACTCAATCCCTCTGAGGGTCAAATACCCAGGAAAGGGGCTCGAGTATGGAACCCCATTGTACAACATAATGATGTCGAGGGTAAAATAGTTGATCAAATGAAAATTTCTGGCCCACCGATGGCTCCTCCCCCCTTTATTTCCGTCCCGTCTTGTATGTTTCATAAAAAATAAAAATGGTTTCAATGAGCTGAAAGTAGGGGAACAGCTTCCCTTTGCTTGCCAATAAAGTTAGGAATTTTCCCTTTAAACCCTTTTAATATAGCTGGGCAATTTAAAACTAGGGAACCCTTTAACCCTTTTCCCCAAAACCCCGGTTTAAAAAAAAAAAAAAAAAAAAAAGGAAAAAAAGAGAGGAAAAAGGGTAAGGGGGGGGAGAGGGGAAAGAGGGGAGAGAAAGGAAAAAGAGAAAGGGGAAAGAGGGGTCGAAAGAGAAAAGAGGAAAGAGGGGCCCAAAATTGTCAAAAATACCACCTTTGGGGTCCACTTCGAGGACGCATTTGGGGAAAAAAGCTTTTTTTTGCCCCAAGCGGGCAGAAAGCGCAAATTACTCTGGCTGTACCCTTTTCCAGAAAATCAAATCCCTCTGAGATCATACATACCCCGGATGACTCGAGTATGGAACAAAATTTGTTAAAAGCATAATGATGTTTAACGGGATAAAAATCAGTTGATCAAATTTAAAATGGGCCCACAGATGGCTCCAACTTCTCCCGTTCCCTACTTTTATGTTTTATAACCCAAAAAAAATTTCTTTCAAATGTCTGGGTAGGTAACCCGCTCTTAGCTTTCCAAATAAAATTGGAATCCTTTTAAAAAAGTAAATAGTTGTCAATAAAACTAGGGGTCCTTTAAATTTTTCAAACCCTGTTCCCCCCAAAAAAAAAAAAAGAGAAAGAGAGAAAAGGGGAAAAGAGAAAGAAAAGAAAAGAAGGGAAAAAGAAAGAGAAAAGAGGGAAAAAAAAGGGGGGGGGGGGAAAAAAAGGGAAAAAGGGGGGGGGAAAAAAAAAAGAGGAAGAGAAAAAAGAAAGAGAGAAAGAAAAAAGAAAAAGGGAAAAGAAAGAAAAGAAAAGAGGGGAGAAAGAGAAAGAAAAGAGAGAGAGAATGAGAGAAAAGGCGAGAGAGGAGGAAAAAGGAGAGAGAGAGAGAGAAAAGAGGGGGGAGAAGAGGAGGAGAGAAGAGAGAGAGAGGGGAGGAGAAGGAGAGAAAGAAGGGGAGAGGGGAAAGAGAGGGAGAAAGAAAGGAAAAAGGGAGAAAGAGGAGAGAGAGAGGAAAGGGAGGAAAAAAAAAAGAGAGGGGAGAGGGGGAGAGAGAGAGAGAGAAGATAGATAGATAGATAGATAGATGATAGATAGATAGATAGATAGATGATTGATAGGTATAATATATATTTTTTTTTTTTTTTTTTTAACCCAAATCGGGGCGTTTTCCCCCCCGAGGCAGGGTGACCCCAAAAAGAAAAAAAAAATCCCCAAAAAAAAATACTTTCATCATCATTCAAACCCTTTTACCCCACTCAAAATTACATGCTTTTGCCCGAGGTGCCCCGAATTTCAACAGTTTAGAAAGGGATATACGTATAAAAATAACAAAAATTTCCCTCCAAAAATTTCCAATATCCCAAAACCCCTCCTTTAAGTGCAGGCATTTTTTCTTCCCCTTTCCAGGATCAAGTTCCCCACTATATGAAAATAAAAAGGTGCGTTCTGACCCAATTTGTTCCCATAAAAAATATTGTTTAAGTAGATTAGTCCATTTTCAGACCCCCCAAAAATTTCCCCGTACAAAGACTTTCATAAATACCTTACTAATTGGTTTACATTCGGAGGTAATCGTTATCGGGGGTCCCCTGTTATATAGTCAAAGAAATCATAATTTTAGGCTAAAAATGTAAGTAAAAAAAAACTCTCAAAAATGAGTGGAGCCCCCCTGGTATTATTTTCAAGAAAAAAAAAATTTGTAAACAATGTCCCACCCGGGAGTAAACTTAACATGCCTGTGTAGAAATGTGGAGAAAGGTTCTTCGCTGCTGAGGAAAGAAAGGGGGTTATTTTTGGCAGTGTAAAGGCCTCCAGCTGAATGCGAGGGGAAACCAGGCTCTCCCCGCGTACTCGCAAATGGCCCAAACCAAAATACTTGCTGAGGGGTTTTTATGTCCACCCCTGGTGACAAAGATGGACTTTTGGACCTGTTGAAGATTGCTTGACATTATCTTAAATTTTGAGGGAAATTGGGTAAACTCATTGGGGCCCTACTGATTAAGAATGGGGGTAAACACAAATTAAAACCCCCCATAGGAGAGAGGAGTTGGGCGATGTTTCGGTCCAATTTTGGGCCATTTACCCAAAATCACACTAACAAAAAAGGGGAAAAAGGGGGGGAAATAATATAGGCCAGCAAAAAGGGACAGGCCCAAAAGGGGGTAGTAGGAAAGGGAAAAAAGAGGTCCTGGTAGAGATGTAGGGAATAGCAGTGGAGTCAGTTTAAAGGGCTAAGAAAGAGGGGCCTGCAAGGGGTAGGGGCCCACAAAGGGAAGGAAAAGAAAAACAAAAGGGGAAGAAAAATAAAAAGGGGGCCAAAAACCCCAAAGGGAGAAGAAAGAAAACCCCAAAGGGAAAAAAGAGGGGAAAGGTAAAGGGGAAGGGAGGAGAAGGGGAAAAAAGAATCAGGGTCAAAGGGTTTTCCGAAGTTTAGGATTTTTTCAAAAGTAATGGGGAAAAGGGAAAGGGATTTTTCTGGAGATACACTCAGTCCATCCTCCTCCCTTCTCTTCTCTCTTTCTATCTCTTGTTTCTTTGCTAACTCCACTTTTATTTGTTGCTCCTACTTTTTTTTAACTCACTCAAAAATACATTTTAAAAAATCAAGGGAAAAAAGAACCCAAAAAGGGCTGGAAAAAAACACAAAAAAAACCGACACATAGGAGAGAGAGAAGCTTATAACAATGTTTTGGTATGACAAGGACCATTTACAAGTTACACTGTATCCACAAATATTCGTAATAGCAATAAAGAGGATAAATATCATGAGAAACAATAAAGAAGAGCTCTAACCTTATCCTTATCTGATGGATCATCTTGGGATGCCTCAGGGTTGAGGATCAGTGTGTCTTGTATTCTCTTGAGTGATCCTCGTAGCCGCCGACTGGGATTCTGGTCCAGTTCTCCCCTTTTGGATAAAGTGAAAAAAAGTGCAGGTCAGGTGAACTACACATTATAGGGTACTGTAGTTAAATATTCTCCATATAAATAATATTTTAAGCCAATCAGCCATATCCCAAAGAGGTAGGATGACTCGGGAAAAAGAAAAAGAAGGGCAGTCCCTGTACTTTGTAGGAGAGGTGGGGTGTTGTGTCTATAGGGTAATCTGATAGTGATATCAGCACACTTCTGGAAAGGCAGAAACTGAGTGAATGATGGTGAATGTGTTGTCTTCTTTGGACCACCCTGCCTTGGTAGGAGATGGTTGTCAAGTTAAAAAATAAAACTGTACGTGTCCATAAATACTATTTATGGACTGTATAAATTCCCTTTATACCTGCAAAGATACAGATGAATATACTCCTAGTACAGTATATTAAATTTTTTATTTAATATAATATCTTAAGGTGTCTACATGTAACCCATTCTTCATCAAGTCTTTCTGGAAGAGCACAGACATTACAATTTAAATGACCCAACAACTGCAACATCCCCACCTATCCTTCAGAGTACAAGCACTATACTTCCCACCTCCAGAACTGCAACATCCTCACCTATCCTTCAGAGTACAAGCACTATACTTCCCACCTCCAGAACTGCAACATCCCCACCTATCCTTCAGAGTACAAGCACTTTTACTTCCCACCTCCAGAATGGCAACATCCCCACCTATCCTTCAGAGTACAAGCACTATACTTCCCACCTCCAGAACTGCAACATCCCCACCTATCCTTCAGAGTACAAGCACTATACTTCCCACCTCCAGAACTGCAACATCCCCACCTATCCTTCAGAGTAGAAGCACTATACTTCTCACCTCCAGAACTGCAACATCCCCACCTATCCTTCAGAGTACAAGCACTATACTTCCCACCTCCAGAACTGCAACATCCCACCTATCCTTCAGAGTAGAAGCACTATACTTCTCACCTCCAGAACTGCAACATCCCCACCTATCCTTCAGAGTACAAGCACTATACTTCCCACCTCCAGAACTGCAACATCCCCACCTATCCTTCAGAGTACAAGCACTATACTTTCCACCTCCAGAACTGCAACATCCCCACCTATCCTTCAGAGTAGAAGCACTATACTTCTCACCTCCAGAACTGCAACATCCCCACCTATCCTTCAGAGTACAAGCACAATACTTCCCACCTCCAGAACTGAAATGATTTCTAATATTTTCAGAAATAAAGAACAAAAATGTGAATGTCAGGTCACCTGAACCCGACATTCAAATAAAAAAATATTACCTTGCCCCGAAGAATGTAAATACACTGTAGAGGTAGTAGTCAAATAAATGACTGAGGCAGACCATCACATCAAAGGCTATGGGTTGCAGTAATCTCATCATCTGGATATACTTGCCAATAAGTCTTAAGATGGTCAATGTTGTATTGGTCACAATTGGTGTCTGCAAGTAAATTTACTGTATTAAAATCACCTGAAAAAGAGGAGGTAATTAGGCTTGATCTAAGGGAGAGTTAGCTCCAGTTCCCTACATCAAGATCCCTTCATCAGTATCAAGGTACCTACTTGAATCTATAGAGTAAGAGAACTCTCCATTTCATTACAGCATTCACCAATTGATCTTTGACTTATATCAAAGTTTTGCAACCATCATTCCTATCAATGTACAGTGGACCCCCGGTTAACGATTTTAATCCGTGCAAGAGGGGTAATTGTTATGCGAAATAATCGTTATGTGAATGAATTTTCCCCATAAGAAATAATGGAAATAAAATTAATCCGTGCAAGACACCCAAAAGTATGAAAAAAAAAATTTTTTACCACATGAAATGTTAATTTTAATACACACAAACTGAAAAAGGCATGCACACTTACATGACACTTACTTTTATTGAAGATCTGGTGATGATTGATGGGATGGGAGGAGGGGAGAGTGTCGAACTTATTGTTTAGAAGGGGAATCCCCCTTTCCCTTAGGGGCTTGAGGTAGCAAGTCCTTTTCAGGGTTACTTCCCTTCTTCTTTTAATGCCACTAGGACCAGCTTGAGAGTCACTGGACCTCTGTCGCACAACAAATCTGTCCATAGAGCTCTGTACCTCCCCTTCCTTTTCGATTTGTCTAAATGGGCCACAACATTGTCATTGAAATAGTCACCAGCACGGCTTGCAACAGCTGTGTCAGGGTGATTTTCATCCATAAAGGTTTGCAGTTCAACCACTGTGCACACATTTCCTTAATTTTTGAAGTAGGCACAATGGATTCCACAACTGGCATAGGCTTCTCAGGGTTAGCCCCAAACCCTTCAAAATCTTTCTTAATTTCCATACTAATTCTCACCCTTTTTACCACAGGGTTGGCACTAGAAGCTTTCTTGGGGCCCATGGTCACTTATTTTCCAGAAACAGCACCGAAAACACTGTAATAATACGAAATATTCCGAGTGTATGCTTGGATGTTACCGCGGAGGCTGGCTGGTAAACAATGGCACGGGCGGCACATGTGAGGCTGGCTGAGGGCGCACATTGGACGCGTCTCGGACGAAAATCGGTGAGCGGGTTTTTAATCGGTATGCGCGGCAAAAATTTTGCGATTAAAGTAAGCGGTATGCGGAATAATCGCTATGTGATGCCATCGTTATGCGGGGGTCCACTGTATTTTACTTATATCTGCTGTATTACATGAGCAGTAATCCAGTAAACTTAACTGTAAACGTAAAGAACAAAAAGGCACAATACAGTGACAGAAACAATACACAAATAACTCGCACATATGAGAAAATATTTGTGATGACGTTTCGGTTCATTTGTGATGACGTTTTGGTTCAACTTACACCATTAACTAGTCACATAGTGTGTGATTACTTATTTGTGTAATCATAATCAATTTGTTTGTGTAATTGTAAACTTCTCGATGATACCTTGCCATGATCTAATTTCCGTTTTAGATGATGCTGGGGAGCATCTCCAGTTTGTTCGTCAACGAAATCTCTCTTGAGTTCATCTGGGACATCTTCATCACTGTCATCATCACTGAGATTCAACGGGTCACCAGTCTCCCCATTTGCCATAATGTCTTCTTCTATCGTTTCTTCAGCAGCAATATCAAATGGAGAGCTCTCTCTACTGAACAAGTCAAATACATCCTTCTTTTCAGTGATAATTCCTGAAAAGAAATAAAATGATTAAAGTCATCTGGGCCATAACTTATTGGGTATACTTTCATCTCCTAAAATACTCTATGTTATTACATAGATCTGTCCATAAATCAATTAATATTTTTTTTTAGAAATTCAAGAGAAGTCATAAAATTTAAGTTCGATATTTTCTTTCCACGTCAAGCTATGATGAATGGTTTGAAAAACCAACAAGCTGAAGATTGAGACACTTATGCAACGTATGGGAATCTTTATTCAGGAAACGTTTCGCCACACAGTGGCTTCATCAGTCCAATACAAAGAGGAAGGCGTAAGGAGAGGAAGAGTTTGAGGTAATCAGTCCCTCAGCCTGGAGGGTTAGGGTCCAAACTATTGCTATAAAATGAAACATAGCCTTTTTTTCACTTTCAAATGCATATAAAAGCGTGATAACGTGTTTATGTTATCATAAAATAAGTGAGCAATAAAGCTAGGTTTACAAAATGCATATATTTATTTATTTATTTATTTATTTATTAATTTGAACATGATACAGTGAAGTACAAAGGAATACAGTTATTACAGCACAACATGCCAAAGCCCCTTGTATGCAGAACATTATGGGCAGGCTTAAAATTAACTTAAGATTAACTAAGCAATGATATATTCAGTGGTAAAAACATTATTGTAAACAGATAACAATTTAGCACAAATGAGTGGCCCGGTGGCCTGGTGGCTACAGCTCCCGCTTCACACACGGAGGGCCCGGGTTCGATTCCTGGCGGGTGGAAACATTTCGACACGTTTCCTTACACCTGTTGTCCTGTTCACCTAGCAGCAAATAGGTACCTGGGTGTTAGTCGACTGGTGTGGGTCGCATCCTGGGGGACAAGATTAAGGACCCCAATGGAAATAAGTTAGACAGTCCTTGATGATGCACCGACTTTCTTGGGTTATCCTGGGTGGCTAACCCTCCGGGGTTAAAAATCCGAACGAAATCTTATCTCTTATCTAAAGACAGTTCATATGGTCATTTACTGTGTTGCTGTGTAATCAGTAGAATGGAGTATTCTGTTAGGTAATGTAATTAAAAAATAAAGTTTGACTGGGTCACAGGCTAGACATTTATGAGATACAATATGTAATGAGAAACATTTATGAGATACAATTTATGAGATACAATTATTCAGTATTTATTTAGTTGTGGGTGAGTAAGTGATTTTTGAGAAGATACTTGAATTTATAAACAGACAGTGTTTCTTTTATATTCACAGGTAATGAATTCCAGATTTTAGGGCCTTTTATGTGCATTGAGTTTTTGCATAGTGTGCAATGGACACGAGGAACATCAAAGAGTGATCTATGCTTTGTGTTATGGTCATGTATTCTGTTGAGGTTGGTAAGATGTTTGAGGGGAGAGTTTATATCAGAGTTAAGTGTTCTATGAATGTAGTAGGTGCAGTAATAAGTATGGATGTTTTGTATGGTGAGTAGGTTTAGAGTTTTGAATATTGGTGGAGTGTGCTGCCTGTAGTGGGAATTTGTTATCATTCTGACAGTACACACATTACTTTCTTTAAAATCTTTTCTTCCTTAGCTTATAGTGAGTGAATATATTTGTTGTAGGAAGTCTGAATAAATGAAGAATGAGTATAATTGAAAACTGCTGTATTAGCAAAATGCTGTAAAACAAAGTGCTGTAGAGAGGGACCTGCCTGTACATGTATGTACAGTGGAACCCCAAGTTTCGAACTTTCTTCGTTCCAGAAGGCTGTTCGAGTGCCGTTACCGAACGAATTTATTCCCATAAGGAATAATGTAAATTAGATTAATCCGTTTCAGACCCCCAAAAATACACTTACAAAAGCACTCGGGGTTACACAGTATATGAATTTGTGTAAAGAACTTAATCAATTGCATTATTGTTAATATTAATAATAACTATTCATAACTTTATTAAACTTAATATTAAATAAGATTTCTTCAGGAAATCCACAAATGACGGAGTTCCGTTCCTAAGACCACATCGGTAAATGAGTAAGTCGCAAAGTGAGGAGCACATTATAATGGTAGTGGGTTTGTGTCAACCATCGTTGATATTGTTTTAATGTCACCTTTGCACCATTTATAACATTTCTGGTATATTTTTAAATGTGTATACACTTGTGTACTGTATATTGTAATAAACAGAATAGAGGAAATCAGCTCTAATATACATTATTTAGGTATGTATACTGGTGAAAGTGCCCGGCGTAAGTCCAAGTCGTTGGTAAATGAGTACTACATTGCTACGTGAGGAGAGGCTGTAATATAAATTTGCACAGTACATACATTGTTCTGAGGGCACACTGAAGTTCTGGGCATAAATTATTGATTAATTATTATATATAGAATATACATGTATAGTAATTGATGACAGTGAAAGTGTGAATAATGGCGAAAGCGTTTCTTTTTCGGGTCACCCTGCCTCGGTGAGAGACGGCCATCATGTTAAGAAAAAAAAATAGCTTATATTAATATCCTACCTGGTTTTTTGCTTGGGGAGGAGGTTGGAGTAGAAATTTGTGTGAAACTCGCATCTTTTCCCTTCAAGAATCTGTACTCCATGAGCTGATATATGGAAAATGTGGATTTCACGGGGCACGCTTCCCAGCCTTCGTTTTCTAGAAACATGTGAAGTTCTTCCATTCTTACTCTGTGGTGATTGCGAAAGTAATTGATGGACTGTTTCTTGATAGATTCGTTAAGTGTTTCAGATTTGCTGCCGCAGAAACATTCACCAACATCGATCAATTTGTTAATGACATCTAATATTCTCAGAAAATCATCAAATTTGAAATGCGAGAGATCAGATGCCAGAATAAAAGTCCGCACTTTGGCCTGAACATCTTGCCATATTCTGTAGAGTCCATGCTCTAACTTCTGTTTAGCGTATTTCCTAGAAGTCGCAGCCTCGACGTCTTTCTCAGCCTTGCATGAGACATCTTCCTCAGCGACTTTTCCATCGTTCTCGTGCCACTTTATGATACTTCTGTAACTTTTTAAAACGTTCCACATACACTTGCTTAAATCTAACAGGCATGGAAGAAAACTTTCTTCGTTTACGTATTTGCATAGCTCCGAGTACTGCAATTTTGAAAAGGATGACCCCGACCCAGCGTTACAGCTCCCGGCACTGTTGTATAGTTCAACATATCCGAGGATGATAGTGAATGCCGAGTTGTGGATATGCGAGGTTAGGTGCATGTGTAGCTGGTCCATTAGGGTCTGTGTCTTCCCCAAGAGACCATAAGCAATTTGAAGCTTCTCATAATTTGCTGCATTAAAATTGGCTGCGACTTTTGCCAGAGCTACATCAAGCTGTTCCTCGGCGCCTTCCAAGGTGTCCTGGAGCTTGGTGCTCAGCTCCGAAATGCACGTAAAATGTTTGAAGGTCGCCGCGGCTTTCTGGCACTCCAGCAGCAGCTGAATCGCTCCGGGGTAGTCCTCAACCTTAAGCAAACTCTGCAGCTGCACATCTGTCATTTGCAACGTCCTGATCATTCTCAACGACCTTATGACGCACGCTATTTTCTGCCTCTTGCTGTAGTTAGCAAGGATGCCCAGACTGGCAGAAGTGAACTGGCTCCTACCCTGGGCTAGCTTCTTGCGACCCTCCACGCACAACCCCACACCTTTAATGACCTCCCTCTGCAGCTCGGTGACCCGTTCCATCTCCTTACTACACAGACCCTGCTTCTGCATGATGAGGTCAGAAACCCGCCGCGACACTATAGTCTGCTGCTTCCGAAGTCGCGACCTCATACCGTTGATGACGTGAACGTCGGCGCTGTCAGGGAACTTCAGTAGCTCGTGTTCCCCGACATCCACATCACCGCTCTCAAAATACAAAGCTTCGATGCTGTCTATGACGGCTTGCTCGGCCTCTGGGGTCAAGATGTGATGGTTCAAGAGACCGGCTCTTCTCTGGGGTTGGGCAGTGACGGCTGTTCGTCCCTCAAACTCGTCTGAGGTTACAAATTCCGCTCCCAATACTGGTGAAGTTGGTGTCTTGAGGGAGATTTTTTGCTTATCGATGAATGACATCAACTTTTCCTTGATATCCATTGTGATTTGACATAAAAATAAGAGACGAGTCGACTTGGGACACACATCCAGAGTGATCAGCTGATCAGAGTAAACAAACATTCAAAGTTATTTTTTTGTTGTTTTATTTATGTTAAAATATTGTAAGAGATGATAAAGTTTATTCATGAAATTCTGAAAATAAATTGATACATTAGTAGCAATTTGTACAGTAATTTTGAGGGCCAGGTGATGTTACAGGCGCTCATTATTTGTATATTAGATAGATATATATCTTAAAACATTATTACTGTATGGTAATAAACCATTATCATTTAGTTAAATTAATTAAGATTGATCTTATCTTATCTTAACGCATTACATCAGCATTTTAGGGCCCATATGTTACTCATTAAATACTCATAAATAACCAAAACAAATATTATTTTACAAGATAATCTTAAAAGTCAATTGCTACTGCATAACTATGGTTAATATTAAGCTGATTAAAAATAATTAATAAAAAAGAACCAAGATACAGGAGGTGGATCACCTTCCACAATGGTCCAATCACAGACACGTGTATTCCCTCAATTTTCCAACATTATTAAAAAAAAATATCCCCTGCTTAACCATCCTCTGTAATATTTACTTTAACAATATAAATTTTATATCAGAGTAATGGAAGAACATTGTAATAAGTGCATGAGGCTGTATGTGAGGGTTTATATTGTTTGTTATGTGATTTTTAGTTGACTTTGTACAGTAGTGAAGGAGTTGGAGGTTGAAGCTGTCAGTTGCTGCTTGTACTTCGAGGCGGGAGGTTGTTGTCTCTTTCTCTGGCGCCATGAAGGTCCTCATTGCTGTATTTATAACCCTTGTGGCTGTTGTTCATGGTGAGACACGTAGGAGGTTCTTAAAAACAAAAATACTCCATGAAAAATATGATTTTGTTGAAATTAAGGTAATAATGGGATGTTTTTCCTTCGCAGATTTCACCGATAAAATGTTTAAACTTGTACAATATTGAGTGTATTTTACACTAGCGGTATTATTATATCTTACAAATAATAAGAAATGTAAGGAAATTAACCAGAAACAACTTTGGTAACTCCCTCAGTCAACACCCCGAGGGACCGGGATCGATCCCCGGCACGGGTGGAACCTAAGCATATTTAGGCACATATAAATATAATTACACATTTTGGTGTACTCTATTATGTGTCAGTATTATTATGTGTCCGTATTTTTGTGTGTCAGTATTTGGCACTACATGTTACGGTCTCATGATGTAATCTTACGGGTTTAGCGCTTCCCCTTGATTATAATACGGTTTCTTAAGTTTATTCAGGTATACACAAGTATAGTTACGTAGATTATTATACATTTGTGTCAAGATGCTACCAGAAACTCCCCAAAAAATAATCAGTAACTTATTTCCATTGGTGTCCTTGATATTACCATTGAGGTCCTTGATATTTCCATCTAGGTCCTTGATATTTCCATCTAGGTCCTTGATATGTACATTGAGATCCTTGATATTTCCATTGAGGTCCTTGATATTTCCATTGAGGTCCTTGATATTTCCATTGAGGCCCTTGATATTTCAATTGTGGTCCTTTATATTTCCATTGAGGTCCTTGATATTTCCATTGAGGTCCTTGATATTTTCATTGAGGTCCTTGATATTTCAATTGAGGTCCTTGATGTTTCCATTGAGGTCCTTGATATGTACATTGACATCTTTGATATTTACATTGGGTCCTTTTTATTTATACTGGGGCTCTTGATATTTACATTGGATCCCTGTATTTATATGGGGCTCTTGTATTTACATTGGTCCTTGATATTTACAGGGGGGTTTTGTATTTGACTGGTCCTTGATTTTTACATTGGGACTTGAGTTTGCATTTGGGCCCTTAAATATTTATTTGTGGTTGATATTTCACTGGGACCTTGATGTTTACACTGGGATCTTGTTTTTACAGGGACCTTGATGTTTCCCCTGGGATCCTTTGATATTTACATTTTGGGTCTTGATATTTACATTGGGGGTCTTGATTTTACGGGGGGGGGTTTCTTGATATTTACATTGGGGGTATTGTTTTTTCTTGGGGTATTGATTTTTAAACCGGGGGGTCTTGATATTTACATTGGGGGTTTGGGGTTTTTACACTGGGGTTTGATATTTACTTTGGGGGTCTTGATATTTAATTTGGGGTTTGTTTTTTATTGGGGTTTGATTTTTACATTGGGGATCTTGATATTTAAAATTGGGTATTGATATTTCCCTGGGGCCCTTGTATTTACTTTGGGGGTTTGTTTTTTAATTTGGGGGGTCTTTGTTTTTAAATTTGGGGTCTTGATTTACATTGGGGGTCTTAAAATTTACATTGGGGGTTTGATATTTACTTTGGGGGTCTTGATATTTAAAGGGGGTCATTGATATTTACATTGGGGGTCTTGTTTTTTTACTTTGGGGGGTTTGATTTTAATTGGGGGTCTTGTTTTTACTTGGGGACCTTGAGCCAAAGAAATGTAAGTTCTTTAACATGTTTTTAATCTTTTGTATGCTAGTAAGGGGGGCCCTCTGGGTTTGACAAATTCCCCAATAAAAGTTAATGAAATTTCTGTTTTTTCTGGGTGTTTATTAATTTTTCTAAAATATTACTGTAAGTTTTTTGTGATTAACACGCTTGTTTTCAGGTGATTGTACAGGAGCCAAGTAGAGGCCCTGGGTTTACCTTTTCAGGGTGCTACCATTGTAAAAAAAATGCTTCTTTCTGATTTTTGCTTGTGTTCAATGGTGAAAAGGGTTTGTTTCGTTTGGTGATTTGCCTTTAAATGCCCAAAGTAGATCTACATTACTTGGTAGCGCTCCCATGATTAATTCTATTTTACATTTGAAGGCATGTAAAATAAAAAGTGATTTTTGGGAGCTACACGGTGAAGTAGATCTGGTTTTTGGGCAGTTTAAAGGGGGAAAAAGTTGTGTATAACGTAAAACTTTTTTGGTATACTGGAGTATGCTCTTGTGTTTTCTTCTCAAAATGTTTTTTGATATATTGTATTTTGAGAATTTTACTTCAAATTCATAAAATGTATTTGGGTGAATTTTTTTTGACTTTGTTTTTCAGGTATTTCTTTGTATGCTGAAATGTGGGTGGGTTGTTGGTGTTGTGTTCGTTTATGGCCTCAAATATCAAGTAAAATAATGATAATTTTTATATGTTAAGCAAGGATAAGGAAAAATTTTTATTTAGGTTTGTAAACTTTAAAAATTTTAAGTGCTTGTATAATTTTTTATATATATGTAGAAATTAACCTAGGATCCCAAAAAAAGATAAAAAAAATGCCTTTTTTCCCGTGGGGGTTCATTAAATTCAAGAATTCTTTTGTGTTAAATACGGTTGATTTTCATTTGGTATTGTTCCCCAAAAATTTTGTTTTCCTTGTCATGTTGTGACCAGCTCTACCTGGGTCATTCCCTTTTTAACTTGGTATGATTGTGACCCGATTAGTTCATTAATCTAACCCGTTCAGTATCAAAAATTTGGGGGTCCCGTCGTGACCATTATTACCCTTTTAATTTTTTTACTACCACCCACAGGATGGGTATGGGGTGCATAATAAACATATTAAACTACACTAACTTCCCTAAGGATTGATGCTTCGCTACCTAACGGCAGCACCAAGACTGAAGTATGTACATGTAACTCAGAATTCCACCATTTCCCCAAAGCTCCCTAAATAGTAGTAGTAGTAATAATAATAATAATAATTAATAATAATTAATAATAATAATAATAACCACACTGCTTCAAGTTCCATAGTCTCTCTCTTCAAATCAGATTGCCACCCCTATTTAAAACTCCTGGATCTGTCCCTTCTACTACCTGTATCACTTATCTCTTCACCAGTGGTGTGCAGAAGTCTGGTGATGCCCGGGGCCAACTCCTTGATTGTATGCCCCAAAGACTCGAATATAAAGCCTAGTACTGAAAAATATTGTAAGAAAAGGAGATATTTTGAATATGTAAACACAGATGAAGCTTGAAATAAACACTATTCGATTTAAATATAGATCAACCAAATTTATGAAGTTTTTTCCCAAATGATACCTCCTGTCAGAAAACACTTGAATTACTATACTTTTTACATCAGCTGTGAGAAATTCTTTTTCAGTGCTTGTTAAAGACAGGTTGGTTAGTCACTCCTGTGACATTCAAGACCTCAGATATGTTTTTATTAATTGCAGTTTTGAAAATGACCTTTCACAATTTGCTACTGAAAATGCGATTGTAAGCAGTAATCTGTATGAAACACACATTGTCGGAAAGACTTCCCTCCCATAATGCAGTAAAGACTCCAGAGCATCTCTAGGATAGGGGAATGCTATTCCTTCCAGCTCAAAGGAGCATCACAAAATCAATTTCATCATATAACTGAATGGCTGCCATCATTATCTTAATTTGCAAAGTCTGAACATTCCTTTTTTAATTTCTCTTGTTCATCTTCAATTGGGGCACACCATTTTCTCTGGACAGAAAGGATACACCATGTTAAAAGAATAAAGGGCTAACCACTGCCTCTGTAGTGTGGTGAGCCTCCAAAAATTGATTTATCTTATTTCCCCCTCTAATTGTATGCCACCCCCCCCTTTCCATTTGGATGCCCAGGGTCGCCGCCCCTTTGGCCCCTCCCCCTCTGCACGCCACTGCTCTTCACTCTAAATTATTTTGAGTTATTAAATGAGAAATAAAACTAAACGAGTGTGCTACTCTTGAGTCCCAATATGACTCGGTTTTTAGCGAAAGACTAATCAGACCGAGAGTCGAAGTCCTAAACGAATCTTTTATGAGTGAGACAGAATTTGGTAGACTCAAACCAATCTGATATTATCCTGATGCCAAATGACTTCGAAAAGGTGATAAATGACATGCCCATGCACTCTGCCCCAGGCCCAGACTCGTGGAACTCCATGTTCATCAAGAACTGCAAGAAACCCTTCTCATGTGCTTTTAACATTCTATGGAGGGGGAGCAGGGACATGGGGGTTGTCCCATAGCTGCTAAAAACAACAAACATAGCCCCACTCCACAAAGGGGGGCAATAAAGCAATAGCAAAGAACCACAGACCGATAGCACTAACATCCCATGTCATAAAAATCTTTGAAAGGGTTCCAAGAAGCAAGATAGCCACCCATCTAGATACTCATTGATTACACAACCCAGGGCAACTTGGTTTAGAGCAGGTCACTCCTGCTCCTGTCCCAGCTATGGACCACTATGGCAAGGTCCTGAATGCTCTAGAAGACAAACAAAACTCAAACTTTGCAAAAGCCTTTGACAAGTGTGACCATGGTGTAATAGCGCACAAAATGCGTGATGAAGGAATAACTGGAAAGGTTGGTAGATGGATCTATAATTTCCTAACAAATAGAACACAGAGTAAAGTCTGAGGCAGCTACTGTGAAAAGATGCTCCACAAGGCATAGTACTCGCTCCCATCCTGTTCCTCGTCCTCATATCTGACAGACAGATGTAAACCACAATACCATGTCTTCCTTTGCAGATGATGCCTGAATTTGCATGAGTGTCCTCCATTGAAGACACTGCAAGACTCCAGGTGGACATCAGCCAAATCTTTAAATGGGCCACAGAAAACAGTATGTAGTTCAGTGATGAGAAATTTCAATTATTCCAATATGGGAAACGTGAGGAAATTAAAACTATATCAGAGTATAAAACGAATTCCAACCACACAGTAAAGTGAAAAACTAATGTAAAAGACTTGGGAGTGATAATGTCTGAGGATCTCACTTTCAAAGTCCACAACATTGTATCAATTACACCTGCTAGAAAAATGGCAGGATAGATAGTGAGAACCTTCAAAACTAGGGATGCCAAGCCCATGATGACACACTTCAGGTCGCTTGTTCCATCTACGCTGGAATATTGCTGCACACTAACAGCACCTTTCAAGGCAGGTGAAATTGCTGACATAGAAAATGTACAGAGAACCTTCATGGCACGCATAACTGAGATAAAACAATTCAATTACTGGGAACACTTGAAGTTCCTCAACCTGTACTCCCTAGAATGCAGGCAGAAGAGATGCATGATTTTGTACACTTGGAAAATTCTAAAGGGATTAGTACCAAACTTGCACACAAAAATCACTTCCTATGAAAGCAAAAAACTCGGCAGACGATGCAACATTCTCCCAATGAAAAGTAGGGGTACCACTATCATGATAAGAGACAACACAGTAAATGTCAGGGGCCCAAGACTGTTAGACTGCCTCCCAGCATACATAAGGGGGATTACCAATAAACCCCGGGCTGTCTTCAAGAAGGAGCTGGACAGGCACCTAAAGTCAGTACCTGACCAGCTGGGCTGTAGTTCATATGTCGGGTTGTGTGCAGGCAACAGTAACAGCGTGGTAGATCAAGCCCTAATCCACCATGAGGCCTGGTCACAGACTGGGCCGCGGGTGCGTTGCCCCCGAAACCCTCCCTTTGCAATTCAAACCTTGGTTTAAAGAATTTGAATTATCCTCTTCCTCAGATTAAATCTGATTGTTTTCAGTTCCCAAGCAATTAAGAGGTTTAGCTACCATAAGGTTCTCATGGCTTCAATAAATGGGCCAACATATTAATATAATCTGCACAATTCTTCAGGTAAGTTGGGTTGAGGATGCAGCCACTGCAGTATCTGGCGAGCGCCCAATTAAGCTCTATGATGATCAAGGTTATGCTGCCCTCAGGAAGGTAAACAAAATCATCCATTTTGTATATATTTTGCATTAATATTAAACATTTGTTTTTTATTGTAGGGATGCACCTTTTCAATTACTAAATAAATTTGAGTATTCTATGCAGTTTGTATATTGAGTAATGGAAAACATGCAGTATCACAAGTCATATAGTTTCATTTTTTTTTTTTTTTTTTTTTTTTTTGTTACATAAGATATGAAGAGCCACATTTGAGGCACTTGAGGGTAATATATAGTCTTTGAGCTGCATGTTGTGCATCCCTGATATATTAGCGTTTCATAGTGGATTAAACCCAGAGGTGAGAGTACATGTATTAGGTTACTTACCTACCTACTCGTGGTCTTGGTAAATATCTCGAAGGGGAAGTGCCTCGATGCCAGTGCAGGGTTCTTGGCTCAAAGAATTGGAGCTGCCCTTCTCTTCATTGAATTAAACCTAATTGCCTCAAATTTCCTAATTGTATGGACCCTATGGGTTTAGCACTTCCCCATGAATGTAATAATACAGTGGACCCCCGGTTAACGATATTTTTTCACTCCAGAAGTATGTTCAGGTGCCAGTACTGACCGAATTTGTTCCCATAAGAAATATTGTGAAGTAGATTAGTCCATTTCAGACCCCCAAACATACACGTACAAACGCACTTACATAAATACACTTACATAATCGGTCACATTCGGAGGTAATCGTTATGCGGGGGTCCACTGTACTTCGGTCGAGTATATAAAAGAATATAACTGTCTAGGGGAGTTTTAACTTGTAGAGTTTTTTTTTTAACCAATTCAGAATACAGTTCTGGGTTTCGACCAGATAAAGCCTTGTACAAAATATCTTTCTCCAGAGAATGGCAATCCAAGGAACTTGACATGTCTCCTTCCTTAAATCAAACTTGAATGCTTCTTCAATTAAAAAAAAAAAGTTCTAAAGACCTTGGGAAGATTTTGCTGATGCAGTTATTAAATTTTATTCCTTGGTGGTCAAAAGACTGGACTGCAATTAGTGGACAGGACTGAGCCTCTGGGAGCACTCCTTGAGCTGAATGATCCATGTGGGTAGCTGTTCATGAAATGTATTATTATATTATTCTATACGTATAGTAAAACCACCATTAAAAAAAGGACTAACATGCACCATATCACATAAAAATTCTATTTACTCTCAGGCTCAGCGAGGCAATGAGGACACGTCGACTGTGCAACCAATTGCAACTATTAATCTTTATCATCCAGTAAGTACATGTGGTTAGCAGTCATTTTGCTATATCAAGTAATTGTTTGCTTGAAATTTAATACTTCAGTACCCATTTAACATATATATTTTCATTTTTTTTCTATTACAGGGTGCTTACAGAGGCCCGTGGGTGCAGTCCGAGACGATGGCTATCATTGCTGCCATCTTTGTATACTATTATGCTCTTACACAGAAGACGAGGCTTATGGCTTAGACTCTTCACAATAAAATGCTCATTTGAGCACAAAGGTGTAATAAAAGTGTTAAAACTTTGTACCAGTAGAGACGTGTGAATGTGACTTGTTTGAATAGAAACAGTTGTTTGTAAGATGTTAATAAACTCTTGTAATAAGCATTAGTTTGGCTTCAGTGACTCCAGTACATATACAGTAAAGTAGAACCCCTGTATCCACTGATTTTGTATCCATGGTTTCAGTTATCCACTGTTTACTGTGTGCCCAAAAATACCTATTTGCTTCATAATGCCTTAAGTGCTGAAAGTTAGAGAAGTTGGCGTTCTACAACGCTAATTAGAAGCCATGAAGTGCTTCCCTTCAGTAAAAAATTGATATTTTCCCTTTATCATGCTAATATATCAGTTTAAATTGATAATAGTATGTATAGGCTTGTATATAGAGTTTGCTACCATTGTGGTTTTCAGTATCCATAGCAGGTCTTGGACTTATCCCCTTGGGTAAGGGTCTACTGCTTTTAAATTTTTATTCTTAAAGAAGTTTAGTGGTAGACGGGGATTCTTGTTTTAAAAAAAAAAAAAAAAAAAAAATCTCAATAAGAATATGGTGTTGGGACTTAGTTTAGACAGCAGTGTGTTTGTCACGTTTATAGAGTCTGTTCGACCCTTCATGATCTACTACACCTTTAAAACCATACAGGTCTAGTGCTTCATATAGGTACTGTGGCCCAGTGGCCTGGTGGCTAAAGCTCCCGCTTCACGCACGGAGGGCCCGGGTTCGATTCCCGGTGGGTGGAAACATTTCGACACGTTTCCTTACACCTGTTGTCCTGTTCACCTAGCAGCAAATAGGTACCTGGGTGTTAGTCGACTGGTGTGGGTCGCATCCTGGGGGACAAAATTAAGGATCCCAGTGGAAATAAGTTACAGTCCTCAATGACGCACTGACTTTCTTGGGTTATCCTGGGTGGCTGACCCTCCAGGGTTAAAAATCCGAACGAAATCTTATCTTATTAATTAGGAAGGGGTGTCTCTTCCCATAGGGTACTTGCCTGTTAAGAACCCAGCATCTGTTACAACAACTAGTAGAAATATTTTCCCTCTTGTCTACACTTCCTGACACTGAACAAATTGTAGATAATTATTATGGAATGTTCTTCATGGGGAAGTGGAGCAGAATTCTTCCTCCATAAGCCATGCGTGTCATAAAAGGCGACTAAAATGCTGGGACCAAGAGGCCAGTAACCCCTTCTCCTGTATGTGTTACTAAATTTAAGAAAAAACTTTGGTTTTTCTTTTTAGGTCACCCAGCCTTGGAGAGTAATGGCTGGTGCATTGAAAGAAAGAAAGATTGTGGAATGTGAAAAATATTACTAAATTTAACAAAACAATAATTTTTCTTTTAGGGTCACCCTGCTTTGGGATACAGCCAGTGTGTTTAAAAAAAAATTTGTTTACTTGCATTATTTTTGACATTAATCTGTGTATGAGCTCAGTGATCATGAAAGTAGCAATCTGATAATGATAATATAAATCTGATAACATTCAAAACACAAGTCCCAGTAGTTTGTAAATAAAATGAAACTAATTCTTCAAGAGAGGTACATTGAAGCTGGTGAATGGCTTTTGATTTAAGAAATTGAAACTTCTCTTCCTCGCATTACACATCATTGTTTCTTCCTCACCCATTCCACTTTCCACCATTCATTGATGCTCGGGAGGGGCTCTTAATTCAAGCAACTTAACTTATCCTCCTGCTTCTTTGAATTGTAAATGATTTGCCTCTCATTCCTTCGGTGTTGTATTACCCTTATGGATTTAGCTCTTCCCCAATTAAAATAATGGAGGCCCTGATCCAGGGAGCTATAGCTGTCATCTCCATTCCTCAATCACTACATGGCCACCACATGAAGAATTAGATACATCTGCAACATCTGGGTATCTTTAATTTGTTGTTTCACTACCCATTAGTTTTATTAATACGATTAGTACTAGTTACTACCCATTGGTTTTATCAATAGGATTAGTGCTTAGTTATGATTGTAATACTAATACAATATAAAAACATAATGTGAAGACCATAGAAGTATTTACAAAAGACGAGGTAATCATTCCCTCACCCTGGGAGTAAGTGATAATAAGCAATAGTCTTGAAGACTATGGTTTAGAGCCCATTTTGATGATACATTGGCATCTGGTTATTCTAAGATTAGAGTATGTTTAGAAAGTATTGTCAGTGATGTTGAGTACAGGGACCAAGAATATGATATAAAACTAAACGAGGCAAGAAGTGTAGTGAAGTGTTAGGTACTCTGTAGTGCAATGATAACGTGTGCAGGTCACCCCAAAACAGTACCTGGTTGAACCCTGAGCAAGGTAGAATGGATTGGCAAATCTAGCATTTGCTCTCCCCTGCTCACCAAGCAGTAAATACACTGTACTTAGGAGTTAGTTGTCCTGTGGAAAGAAGCTTGGCTGTCTGGGTTAATTCCAAGACAGTGTTTTTTACCAGCTGAATGTTGTGGTGTAAGAAATAAAGATGATTGTTATGTGGGGTGAGAATGATAAGGATGAAAGATGCTTGGAGTACAGTGAAGGGTGTTCAATAGGCCTGCATGGAGAAGGGAGAGTATAATAATTCGAGACTAATTTTTAAACTACCTTGAAATTATGGAAGCTTTTCTGCTTAGGAGACTTCCTAGACAATACCCTAATACCTGACCTGTATGACCTGATGCAAGGAATTGAACCAGTCCTCCCTTTCCTTAGACTGAATCCAAATGTCTTCTTTCCCCAGACACTGTATGAGCTCTGCAAGTTGAATGCTTTACCTTAAGTAATGCTGTAGTCTACATCAGTGGTGCCTGAAGCCCAGTGCTGGTAACATGAAGTCTCCTGATTTTTTTTGCATGTGCCATAGACATGTGGGCTCTATAATTCAGATAAAGTTTAAATTTAAATATTTTAAGCATCATAGGCTTGAAGCTGGTGAATGGCTCCTTATCCATGGAACTTTGTGGGAGTGCCTGATGCAGATGAAATGCTTTTGAGATAAGGAGCTGGAGCTACTTGGCCCTTTCCTTCAGTGTCCTGTGGATGTGGCCTGGTAGGCAACAGGATGCTGAGCATCCTTGGTTCAGTCCCCGGCAAGGGTTGAAACATTAGGTGTGTTAAACCATACCCCCGGCCGGGATTGAACCCGCGGTCATAGAGTCTCAAAACTCCAGCCCGTCGCGCTAGCCACTATGGTTTATTTGCAATCGTGTCATTACGATTTCTTAAGTCATTAGGTGTGTTTCCGTAAGACACATCCTATCCATGTTCACTTATCAGTAAAATAGGTACCTGAGTGTTGACTGGTGTGGGTCGCATCCTGGGACAAAATTGCCCTAATTTGCTGGAAATGCTCTGCATAACAAGGGACTTTCTATATAGTAGTATGTCATTAATGTCGGCTAGACCTGTGTACCTTGTACATGTACTTGTAGAAATAAAGATTATTATTCCTGGGATCAAACTTGAATAATTAACATTCCCCAAACACTATGAGCTGACCAATTTGTTTGAGGTCAACTTGTGGTTCCTGGCCCCACCTGACCAGCCAGGCTGTGGTTTGTATGTTGGTTTGTGTTTTGCCAACAGTAACAGCCTGGTTGATCAGGCCTTGATTCACCAAGGGACATTGACCCCCAGAACACCCCTCCGGGTATATCTCTTCAGCTTCAGTGTTTGGCAGTGTTGGTTTCTGGCTTCAAGAGAAGTTCCTTGAAGCCAGTGAGGGGATCTTGTTCCAAGGAATTGGATCTGATATCTTGTATCAAACCAGAATACCTATTTCCCAGATGCCATGTGACCCCATACAGGTTTAGCACTCCCGAATATAATACGTATTCTTGATGCTGGTGAGGGGGCTCCTTATCTAAGGAATTGGACCAGTGCTCCCCTTCCTTGGATCGAATCTGAATGCATTCCATATCCCCAAGTGCTGCATGACCCCTATGGGTTTAGCACTCACCCAATGAACCGTAGTAGTAGCCTCTTGAGCTGAAAATACTTCCTAACATCCCTGTTTTTTTTTTTTTTTTTTTTTTGCCTAGCATGGGCCAGTAGGCCTGCTGCAGTGTTCTTATGTTCTTTTTGTCAGCTGTATGTCCCTTTTGGGTTTAGTGCTTCATCATGAAAATAATCTAGTTTTGATGGAAATAAGTCACGGACACTTTTGGGTTATCCTAAGGAAATAGGTACAGGTACACACACAGTTACACAAACCATACCACGGGTGGGGATAGAACCCGTGATCAGTCTCAAAACTCCAGACCGTCGTCTTAGCCACGGGTTCTATTCCCACCCGTGGTATGGTTTGTTTGCAATCGTGTCATTACGATTTCGTGTGTCATAGTTACACAAATTATACAAAGCAACATGTGTAAATTATCTAAGATATCCTCCCCCCCCCAACAAAAAAAAAGTCAAATTGACTTCTCTATGATAACTATACTTACGTGTACGGTATAAAACCTTGGTAATAGATACAAACTTAAGCAAACACTAAGACTTACTAGACAGCGTTAGGGTCCTGGGGCACCGATCACTTCTAACAGAGTTAGAAAGACAGTATGTATACGCGGAGAGTGAGGTTTACCTGGAGTTTACCTGGAGAGAGTTTCGGGGGTCAACGCCCCCGCGGCCCGGTCTGTGACCAGGCCTCCTGGTGGATCAGCGCCTGATCAACCAGGCTGTTGCTGCTGGCTGCACGCAAACCAACGTACGAGCCACAGCCCGGCTGATCAGGAACTGACTTTAGGTGCTTGTCCAGTGCCAGCTTGAAGACTGCCAGGGGTCTGTTGGTAATCCCCCTTATGTGTGCTGGGAGGCAGTTGAACAGTCTCGGGCCCCTGACACTTATTGTATGGTCTCTTAACGTGCTAGTGACACCCCTGCTTTTCATTGGGGGGATGGTGCATCGTCTGCCAAGTCTTTTGCTTTCGTAGTGAGTGATTTTCGTGTGCAAGTTCGGTACTAGTCCCTCTAGGTGTGACTTATGGTGACCTGTCATCCCAATATGACATTCTTCAATTCAGTGCTGAGTTTACAGAATTTGGTTATTGTGTGGTTTACATGTAGTAAAATAATAATTACAGAGTGTACCACTAGAACACCTAGCATGGCTAGGCATTACAGAGTGTACCACTAGAACACCTAGCATGGCTAGGCATTACAGAGTGTATCACTAGAACACCTAGCATGGCTAGGCATTTCGGGCAGACTTAGATTAAATCTTAAATTTAAAATATTACAAATTATGAGGTAAGTTGGTATTTTGGCTAAGTGACTAAATACTAGTTTGTGAGTTTAGCAATGTGAATTATTTTGTTTTGGCACAATACATAGTTTCAGCATTGGAGTATCACAGGCCAACTTATGACTAGTTAGGATTCAATATTTTAAGATTGAGATTGATATTTCTGTTTATGGTCAAATGGGTGAGTGAGTGTAAGTGTGAACCACCAGGTGGTATTCGTGTAATTAGTTGACGGGGTGTATCAGGGAGATGTTTTCTAAATTATTAAATAAATAAATAAATAAGTGGTAGTTTTGAAGGTGATGAATGTGTCTGCAGTTCTAGAGTTCTCAGGTAGAGTGTTCCAGATTTTAGGGCCTTTGACATACATTGAATTTTTGTAAAGGTTTAGTCGAACATGGGGAATGTCATAGAGATGTTTGTGTCTGGTGTTCAGGTCACTATGGGTCACTCTCCGCCTGTATATATTGACTTTTTAATTTTTTGTGTTTGTGCACGTATAAGTTCTGTCAAGCACCTTAACTACTGGGAACGCTTGGAAGCACTTGACTTGTACTCGTTGGAACGCAGGAGGGAGAGATATATCATAATCTACACTTGGAAAATCTTGGAAGGAATGGTCCCAAATCTGCACACAGAAATCACTCCCTACGAAAGTAAAAGACTGGGCAGGCGATGCAAAATGCCGCCAATAAAAAGTAGGGGCGCCATTGGTACACTAAGAGAAAACACCATAAGTGTCCGGGGCCCAAAACTGTTCAACAGCCTCCCATCAAGCATTAGGGGAATTGCCAATAAACCCCTGGCTGCCTTCAAGAGAGAGCTGGACAGATACCTAAAGTCGGTGCCGGATCAGCCGGGCTGTGGCTCGTACGTCGGACTGCGTGCGGCCAGCAGTAACAGCCTAGTTGATCAGGCCCTGATCCATCGGGAGGCCTGGTCATGGACCGGGCCGCGGGGGCGTTGATCCCCGGAATAACCTCCAGGTAACCAAGTGGAGAAGACCCGGGGGTCAGCACACGTCCTGACAGACTTGTATGGACATACATCTAACTTAATATCCTAGTGTTTGCTTACGTGTCTTTCTAAAATACTTGTGTACATGTGCCTGAATAAACTTACTTATGGATCGTAGTTACATAAGCAAAACTTATATAAAAAAAAGAAGGGATTTCCAGAATGTGCGAAGATTGCACCTTGTACAAGGTCATCCCAGGTAGCAATACAGTTATGTACACCGTCTCTCTTATTTTCGGCTATATATATTTCAGATATGTATCTTAATAGGCTGTTTTGGGATTAATAAATACACTGGTTGTTAGATGGAGGAACCAGTACAATGAGCATAGTTGAAGAGGAAGATATTGATATATTTAAAAACTTGGTGATAACTGGCAGGAGTGTTTGTGGCTGGTGTGTGTGGTGGACAAACCAGTCATTGTATACTTGCTAGGTGACCCACACGGGTTTACTGCTGTGTTTTTTATATTAATTCATTAGTACTAATCCTTGTTTATCGGTGGAATGGCTACTTCAAAGCAAGGAGACTGTCTAAGTAAGTGAAAGTCTGAGATACCAGTGTGTTTGTGGTTCAAGGGAAAGGTTCTTGATTCGAGGAAATGGGGAAATATTAATAATAACCTTTATTTCTACAGATACATGTACAAGGTATACAGACCATAGCTGACATCAGTGACATACTACTATATAGATTAGAAAGCAAATTAGGTCAATTTTGTCCCAGGATGCGACCCACACCAGTCCACTAACACCAAGGTACCTATTTTACTGCTAGGTGAACATGGACACTAGGAATCTTAAGGAAACACGTCCTAATCTTTCTTTGGGTTATCCTAGGTTCTCTACACATATGCTGGTATGTATGATAATTCTATGTAACTGTATTTGTGTATACCTGAATAAATTTACTTACCCGTACCGGGGATCGAACCACGGGCCTCAATGCGCTACCAGCCGAGCTACGGTATTCAGTTCAATTCAATTCAATTCAGTTCAAGTTTATTCTCTATAAGGGTTACAGTGCGGGGTTTACAGGTTTTGGGTATTGTGTGGTTTACATGTTATAAAATACTAATTATAAGTCAGTCTGATTACCTAACATTGCCCAGGCTCTCCATGATCCCTACAGATTTACCGCTTCCCTCTTAATAAAATAAGAACGTAAAACATTATATTAACTTAGATCAACAACTAGAGTTTACCTAACATACTGAAGATGGTTTCTCCTATTTGTGGTTGCAGGGGTCGATGCACAGCTCCTGGCCCCGACTTTTCGCTGTTTTATGCTGTGAAGAACTTGCCTTGTATGGGCCAGTGGGCCTACTGCAGTGTTCCTCCATTCTTATGTTCTTATATTACAGTGCCAGGGTCATGCCGCTTCGGGGAGGGCCGTGTGGCACTAGTGACAGGAGGCGCCCGCCGGGTAGGACGCACCATCACTACAGCACTACACAAGCACCACTTCAACGTTATTATACACTATAACTCCTCCAGGGACCTTGCGCTAGAGCTTGCTGCTCTCCTCAACAGGTAGGTTATACTCTACTTAATAATGGGGTTAGTGCTTAGTCATGGTTATAATAATTATTTAAAAATACAAAGGTCTCCCGTAGCTCAGTGGTAGCGTAGCAGAGAGCCCGGGTTCAATCCCGAGAGGGGCAATAATAATATTTATTTCTATAGGTACGTGATATAACTTATACAGACCATAGCTAACATTAATGACACTATATCGAAAGCCCCTAGTTATGCAGAGCATTTCTGGCAACTTAAGTTAATTTTCTCCCCAGGATGCCACCCACACCAGTCACCTAGCACCCAGGTACCTTTTTTACTGTAAGTGAACAGTGACAGCAGGTATCTTAAGGAAAGATGTCCTAATGTTTCCACCCGTACCGGGGATCGAACCACGGACACTCAGTGTGTGTGAGGACAGAGTTGCCTACCAGGCCACGAGACTCCTGATATATCTAGAATTTGATTTTCAGTAATGTATGTGTGAGTGTTTGAGTGTATTAGTGTGAGAGTTTATAAGTGCGTGAGTGTGTGTGTGTGAGTACTCACCTAATTGTGGTTGCAGGAGTCGATTCATAGCTCCTGGCCCCTGCCTCTTTACTGTGTGTGTGTGTGTACTCACCTAATTGTAGTTGCAAGGGTCGATACTCAGCTCTTGGCCCCGCCTCTTCACTGATCGCTACTAGGTCCTCTCTCTGCTTCCTGAGCTTTGTCATACCTCGTCTTAAAACTATGTATGGTTCCTGCCTCCACTACATCACTTGCCAGACTTTTCCACTTCCTGACAACTCTATGACTAAAGGAATATTTCCTAACATCTCTTTGACTCATCTGAGTCTTCATCTTCCAATTGTGACCCCTTGTCTCTGTGTCCCATCGCTGGAACATCATGTCTGTCCACCTTGTCAATTCCTCGCAGTGTTTTGTATGTCGTTATTATGTCTCCCCTAACCCTCCTGTCCTCCAGTGTCGTCAGTCCGATTTCCCTTAACCTTTCTTCATAGGACATATCCCTTAGCTCTGGAACTAGCCTTGTTGCAAATTTTTGCACTTTAATTTTCTGACATACTTGACCAGGTGTGGGTTTCAAACTGGTGCTGCATACTCCCGTATGGGCCTGATGTGCACGGTGTACAGAGTCTTGAACGATTCCTTATTGGGGTATTGGAACGCTATTCTCAGGTTTCCAGTCACCCATTTGCTGCAGCAGTTATCTGGTTGATGTGTGCCTCAGGAGATGTGCTCGGTATTATACCCACCCCAAGATCCTTTTTCTTGAGTGAGGTTTGCAGTCTTTGGCCCCCTAACGTATGCTCTGTCTGCGGTCTTCTTTGCCTTTCCCGATCTTCATGACTGCATTTGGTGGGTTAAATTCGAGGGGCCAGTTTCTGGACCAAGCTTCCAGCCTGTTTGGTCTCTCTGTAGTCCTGCCTGATCCAAATCTGATTTAATTCTCCTCATCATCTGCAAACAGAGATACTTCTGAGTCTCTCCTTTGTGTCATGTCATTCACATATACCAAAAATGGCACTGTTCCTATGTCTGACGCCTGTGGAACCCTGCTCGTCACAGGCGCCCACTGTGATACTTCATCACGTACCATGACTCATTGTTGCCTCACTGTCAGGTATTCTCTGATCCATTGCAGTGCTCTTCCTGTTATACATGCTTGATCCTTTAGCTTTTGCGCTAACGTCTTGTGAGGAACTGTGTCGAAGGCCTTGCAATCCAAGAAAATCCAATCTACCCACCCCTTTCACTTGTGTCTTACTTCCGTTACCTTGTCATAAAATTCCAGTAGGTTTGTGACACAGGATTTGCCTTCCATGAATCCTTGCTGGTTGTCATCTATAAGCTTTTTCCATTCTAGGTGCTTCACCATTCCTCCTGATAATCTTCTCCATGACTTTGCATATTATTCACGTCAGTGACACTGGTCTATAGTTCAGTGCCTCATGTCTGTCTCCTTTCTTAAAAATGGGGACTACATTTGCCATCTTCCATACCTCAAGTAGTTGCCCAGTTTCAGTGGATGTGTTGAAAATTGTTGTTGGTGGCACACACAGCATCTCTGCTCTCTCTCTAAGGACCCACAGAGAGATGTTTGGTCCCACCGCCTTTGAGGTATCAAGGTCACTTAGGGGCTTCTTCACCTCCTTGGTTGTGTGTATTTCATCCAATACTTGTTGGTATATCACTTGTTGGTGTACCCCCCTATTCTGACTTCCTGGAGTCCTTTCTGTCTCCACTGTAAATACTTCCTTAAGTCTCATGTTGAGTTCTTCACATGATTCTTGGTCGTTTCTGGTGGTGCTTCACAGGGCTCAACATGGCCGGCGCGGCAGGTTGTGTAGCGGGCTAGCTGCGGGATTTTCAAGGATAGCTCCTGGTCAAAGAGGCTGACCAGGTCCCTACTTAACAGAAGTAAGTAAGTTTATTCAGGTATACACAAATACAGTTACATAGAATTATCATACATAGCAGTATATGTGTAGAGAACCTAGGATAACCCAGAAAAGTCAGACAGAGTGACTTATTTCCAGTGTGAATGCTTTGAGAAGATACTAGAGCAGCGAACGGACATCCCAGTGCATCCTTTCAGCGTAAATAGTTGAAGTGTTGTGCAGTTTTAGAGGGTTTGGTGTTGTTGAGTCAGGACCAGTCAGTGCCTCCCCCCCTCTCCGCTGGGGGGGGAGGGGGAGGGCGTGTGTAGTAAACAGTGACCCTCTCATAACGCCTCACCCCTGCGCATCTCCCCCGCCTCACCCCTGCGCATCTCCCCCACCTCACCCCTGCGCATCTCCCCCGCCTCACCCCTGCCCGTCTCCCCCGCCTCACCCCTGCCCGTCTCCCCTGCCTCACCCTGCACGTCTCCCCTGCCTCACCCCTGCCCGTCTCCCCCGCCTCACCCCTGCGCGTCTCCCCTGCCTCACCCCTGCGCATCTCCCCTGCCTCACCCCTGCGCGTCTCCCCCGCCTCACCCCTGCGCGTCTCCCCCGCCTCACCCCTGCCGTCTCCCCCGCCTCACCCCTGCCGTCTCCCCCGCCTCACCCCTGCCCGTCTCCCCCGCCTCACCCCTGCCCGTCTCCCCCGCCTCACCCCTGCCCGTCTCCCCCGCCTCACCCCTGCCCGTCTCCCCCTGCCTCACCCCTGCCCGTCTCCCCCGCCTCACCCCTGCCCGTCTCCCCGCCTCACCCCTGCCCGTCTCCCCCGCCTCACCCCTGCCCGTCTCCCCCGCCTCACCCCTGCCCGTCTCCCCCGCCTCACCCCTGCCCGTCTCCCCCACCTCACCCACCCAACTCCCAGCGCCACCCCATCTGTAGAGGGTACTTCTCCCCTAACCCACGATGTCAGCGATGGCACTGCAGGGCGTGCCGGGCTCACAGGAACTTCCACTACAGGGACAGCATCGTGGAGTTCGACTGCCAGGCAGCTGTCAGGTGTGCCACAGGCAGTGTGTACTCAGTTCCTCAAGCTTCAACATCCGTGCACACGAGGGCCTGGGATCTTCAATCAACTTGGCGTCCACCAGGACGCTGACATGTCCCTAGGACAGCTCTCCATCGGGCTGCTAACGGAGTCACTGGCTTCTTGGACCTCTTGGGGAGGGCCGATGGTGCTCGTGCAAGCAGCAGATCCCTGGGCAACTTGCTGCTGTTTGCAATGGCTGTCTGCCGAGGAGAGACAGGCACCTAGCAACATCTGTTGTTGGGGCAGTGGATGAATTCCCTACTATGTTTGTTAACTGCTCATTACTCTGTAATTTGTCTATGATTGTAATCATGTCATAACGTGTTTATCATTCATTACCTTTGAAACTTGTCATGATTGTGACCAGCTCTACCTGGAGCTCATTACCTTTGTAACTTGGTCATGATTATGACCAGATCTAGTTCATTACCTTTGTAACTTGCTCAGCTACAAAACTTTGGAGTCCAGTCCCTGGACCAATTATGTACCTCTGTAATCTTTTGACTACCGCCCACAGGATGGGTATGGGGTGCATAATAAACATATTAAACTAACGTTTCTGGTGAGCTTCCCACCTTCTTTCCTCAGCCTGATTACCTGGGCCTTGACTGTTGTCTTCCTCCTGATGTGGCTATACAACATCTTTGGGTCAGACTTGACTTCTGACGCTATGTCGTTTTTGTACTGTCACTGGACCTCCCTCCTTATCTGTGCATGTTTTTGGCTCTTCGACTAATCTCTTTATTTTCCTGGGTCCTTTGTCTTCTGTACTTTTTCCATTCTCTAGTGCACTTAGTTTTTGCCTCCCTACACCTTTGGGTAAACCAAGGACTCATTCTGGCCTTTCCATTATTTCTGTTTCCCTTGGGAACAAACTTTTCCTCTGCCTCCTTGCATTTTGTTGTTAGGTAGTCTATTTCGTTTGCTGACTTTCCTACCAATTCTCTTTCCCACTGAACCTCCTGCAGGAAGTTCCTTATGCCTGTGTAGTCCCCCCCTTTTGTAGTTTGGCTTTTCCCATCCTCCTCCTGTTACCCTCTGCACTTGTAACTCTATGTATTCAAAGCTCAGAACCATGTGATCACTGATCGACACCATGCCTAACCCTTCTAGGGTAGGGTAGGTGCCCGAGCCCGAGCCTTTAGCTCATAAGACTGTCATTCCCATTAGCCCCCTTGTGGCGGGGATGGCAGACCAGAGAGGCCTAGCTTGTGGCTAGGCCTGGGGACAGTTAGTCCCAAAGATGAGGAGGTACTTGTGCCTCCTCCCATGGGAGACTTAGGTCTCAGACACTCCCTAAAGAGGGAGCCAAGGCCGGGCCACCACTTGGACAAGGCCCGGGCCGGGAGAATACCGGCTAATCTTTAACTAACTAACTAACCATGTGATCACTAGCTCCAAAGGGGGCTTTCATATGTGATGTCCTCAATGTCCGAGCTACTCAGGGTGAACATCAAGTCCAGTCTTGCTGGTTCATCCTCCCCTCTCTTTCTAGTAGTGTCCCTAACATGTTGATGCATGAGGTTTTCCAGTACCACATCCATCATCTTGGCTCTCCATGTTTCAGGACCCCACCCCATGTGGCTCCAGGTTCTCCCAATCAATCTCCTTGTGACTGAAATCACCCATCACTAGTAACTTTGCTCTACCTGTGTGAGCTCTATGTGTAAGTGTGTGAGTGTGAGTGAGTGAATGCATAAGGAAGCAAACATGTAAGTTTATACACCCACAGGTCCACATAAATACAACCATCACGTCTAGTAACACAGTGTAAACCACCTAAAATAACCCCAAGTCACTCAAATTGACTTATTTCCATTCAACAGTGCCAGGCCGGACAGTGCCCAGGTCATCACAGGTGATCTCTCTAAGGACGTGGCACAAACTGCCCACCGCCTGGTAGCTGAGACAGTTCAAAAATGGGGTCGACTTGACCTCCTGGTCAATTCTGCTGGTGACTACTTTGCTACCTCGTTAGAAGACGCCTCTGAGCATGACTGGGACAAACTGGTCAATATTAATAGCAAGGCTCCATATTTTCTCATTCAGGTAATGTATATACCCTTTTATTAATAGAGAGGTTCTTTATTTTCTCACTCATGTTATGTAAATCCTTAAATGGATGTGACATGGACCTGACTAGTTAAGGCCAGTAGGCCTTCTGCAGTGCTCCTTCTTTCTCATGTTCATATATTCCCTATTAGATTGTTGGTTTAAATCTGTTGGTTACATGAGGGGCATTAAGGCTAATTCAGTCTTGTTTGGTATACTTTAATACCTGAAATAGGGATCGAATTTAACTCGATGTATATATATACTGAGATAAATGCTCCTCAGTGTATATACACTGAGAAATATGCTCCCAAGTGTATATACACCTGTTATATGTACCTCGGTGTATATACACTTGCAATATATACCTCAGTGTATATACACCTGTGGTATATATACCTCGGTATATATACCTTTTCCAATTAAAGGTATATACCTCGGTATATGAACATTAAAATGGTATAAAATACCGACAGGTTATTAGGTAAGACACAATATTGTTTCATACTATGGAACAATGCTCTTCTCCAGACTGAGGGACTGACCACCTCAAAACTTCAAGGGTGATGGACTGATTACATCGTCTTCAAGTATCTTTTGCTTCTATCAACTTCTCTGTACTCGACTGAAGAAGCCTACTGTGTAGGCGAAACGTTTCGAAATAAAGATACCTAACTGTTGCATATGTGTCTTACCTAACAACCTCGGTATATATACTTTTTCCAATTAAAATTTGTCACTCCATGACCTATGTCTAGTTTTATGTAATCCACCTGAAATGCTTAACATTTTACATTTTATATGTAAATCACACATTGTAAACTTTGCAAAGAAATATAAATTTGAATTTGAATTGTATATACACTGAGAGATTTGATTATGTAAGACTTATGCTTTTGCAGGAATGATGCTCACTTATGTAGGGATGATGAATCAACTATGTAACATTTATGTTAAGTGTGTAACAGTCATGCCTGTGTAAGAATAATACTTATCTGCAAGCTAGGTTTAAGTTAAATTCAAGCTTAAGTTACGTTATGTCAAGTCTGGTAAGTTAGGTTAGGTTAGAGTACATGTTTGAGTGTGCAGGTGAAAGTAATTAGCAACCAGACATTTCCTGGAAGGTTAGGTTAGGTCAGGATGTGTTAGGTTAGGTAAGGTAAGGTTAGGCAAGGGTACATGTCCAAGTGTGCAAGTGAAAGTAATCAGACATATTGTGGCAGGCAGCAGCACCTCACCTGAGGAAGGTGGGAGGCAGCGTGGTGAACATCGCAGACATCCTTGGTGAACGTCCCAGTGGACCATTTAGTATATATTGCACCACCAAGGCTGCTATCATCATGATAACCAAGAGCCTTTCTCTTGAACTTGGGCCACAGGTACTGTATTTTACTGTATCAAAGACGCTAATTTTTCGTCCCCAAAAGTCTCAAAAATTTACCCAGTGTCTTGGAGGCCACAGGTTCATCCTAGTGTGTCCCAGGGTATATATTGCCCAGCAGCATGGGTACAGCCACAGGGTGACTAATGCTAAAGCCCCCCCCAGATGCAAATACTTTTTATTTTTTTAATTATTAGCTAATTTTCATTGTACAGGTACCATCTGACTTACAACCGAGCTTGGTTCCGACCAACCAGTCGTAAGTCAAAATGGACGTAAGTTGAACCTTACTACTGAATATCAACATCACATTTTTGTAATGACTTTATTTTGTTTTATTTTAGTATTTTATTTTTTACTTTACTTTTTATGCTGTTAGTACTGTATTTTATACTGTAAGATTTAGGATAAACACTGTGTACAACACAAACAGTTGTTTAATTCCCAGAAATTTGGCATACAAAACACGATCATAAATCGAGTGATCGTATGTCGAGCAGGTCGTAAGTCAGATGGTAGGTGTATTATATTTTGTAGTGACCATGAAAATATGATAGTTTAAGAAATTTCACATACATGCTGAAAAATCATATTTTTTAAAAATGATTTCTTTGATTTTTTTAGTATCTTATGATATTTAAACTCCCAGATTAAGATACTGATTGTACCACAATCTGGAGGATACATTCACTCAGAGCTGTATGTATTTCAGTGTATATAATACCCAGCAGGGTTATATACACCCAGATCTCTGTATATCTTAATGTATAAAATACGTCCTAACTTACGTATATTATTACATTCATGAGGAAGTGGTGAATTTATAGTGATCATAAATTATTGCAATATATTTGTATTATTATTTCAATTAAAACTAATTGCTAAACCCACAAGGGTAAGTATCTTTGTAGGATAGTGCTAAACCTTACAGTGGTCAAACGCCTGGTGCATAGGAGGTACAGTAATTATTATTTAATTCTTGGGGACAAAGTTTGACCTATAGGGGGTCTTGGAAATATAAACACTTAAGCAGTATAATGTGATCCTTTATTGACAATGTTTTGTCCACACAGTGGGCTTTATCAAGTCACAAACAGATCTATCTGGGTGAAACATACGTGAGTATTTATAGAAAGTGAATGCTGGGTCAGGTGGAGAATGCTGGATGTGACAATCTTCCGAGTAGGGTGACACAGTCTAAACCTTGGGTAGCTTTTAAAAGAGAGTGGATAAGTACATGAGTAGACCTTCTGCAGTGTTCCTCAATTCTTATGCTCTTATGTGGGATAGTGATGAAGTTTCTTGGCGAGGGGTTCAGCTATGTTATAGAAGCCGTTGTTCTGGTTGAAGTTGTTGGATGTACAGATAAGTGATGATTCCAGGATTCTTCGGTATTGAGTGCTGTCTTCTCTGGCAATAAGTTTTGCATTTCTGTAGTTGATTGAATGGTTGTGTGAATTTCGGTGTTGAACACAGGCATTCCTTGGATCGTCAGATCTGCATGTGTACTGGTATTCTGAAATACGTGTATGCAGGCAGATCTGGCAATCCAAGGAATGCCTGTGTTCAACACCGAAATTCACACAACCATTTAATCAACTACAGAAATGCAAGACTTATCGCCGGAGAAGACAACACTCAGTACCGAAGAATCCTGGAATCATCACTTATCTGTACATCCAACAACTTCAACCAGAACAACGGCTTCTATAACATAGCTGAACCCTTTGCCAAGAAACTTCTTCATCACTATCCCACATAAGAACATGAGAATCGAGGAACACTGCAGAAGGTCTACTCGTGTACTTATCCAATCTTTTAAAAGCTACCCAAAGTTTTAAACTCTATCACCCTACTTGGAAGACTGTCACATGCAGCATTCTCCACCTGACCCAGCATTCACTTCCTATAAATACTCACGTATGTTTCACCCAGGTAGATCTTGATAAAGCCCACTGTGTGGGCAAAACATTGTCAATAAAGGATCACATTATACTGCTCAAGTGTTTATATTTCCACTGTCCAGACTGATAGCTCCAGACTGACCTGTCAGTATTTATACCATTGATTTCCATTGGGGTCTTACATCATGAGGATGTGCAAAATCTAGGAGGATCATACAGTTCTGGGGGAATGGGAGGCAATCAGGTTTGATCTGAGGAAAGGGAGGATGGCTCTAATTCCCTTGATCAAAAGCCCTTCACCAGCATCAAGGTACTTTCACTGAAGAAACAACAGATAAAACTTAAGTATAATTCTGCAGGTGAGGATCAACTATGTTAACCCCGGAGCAGCCATGTGGCCAGAGAATTCTGATGTCACCTTCAAAGAGGTCAGTAACTTGATCATTTATGTTATTACATTGCATTCCAGGAAGCGATTAACCTGTTTTGATCATTCAAAGTAATAGGATAAATAACTTGGTTATTTACATTATTACATTGTATTCCATTATTATTATAATCATAACTAAGCACTATACCCACAAGGGTCATGCAGTGCTGCCATTTACATTATTATATTGTATTCCAGGAAGAAATAAACTTATTTGAATCATTTAGAGCAAGGAGTGGAGGAGGCTTCATCCTTCATTCACTAACTATAGCCCAATCTCTCTTAGTAGGACTGCTGGTGAACATTTTTTCCCGTTCCCCTTATATTTAGACATCTATTATTCTGGTCATAGCATTATTTGAAACCTAGAGTTTGGGTATCCACATTACTAGAATTGTTATTATTAATATAGTCAATACATTTTTCAAAGAAGGTTCCTTGACACTAGTCAAGAAACCCCCTTTGAAGGGTGTGTTAAATATAGTGATGGGTGTATTGTTAATATAAATTTAGATTTTCCTTAACCCAGATGACAGCAGTTGGTGACCAATACCTCAGTGACAAAGCATTTAGCTCACAATTTTAAAGTCCTGCTTTCAATTTCTGGTCTTGACAAGTAAAGCTCCCTATTCATTTAGCAATTATATAAACCCATAGGATTATACAGCGCATGTGGGGGGGATAAAAGGTATTCAGGCTCAATTCAGGGCACTGGAGTACAGATCCAGTTCACTAGATCAAGAGCACCTCACCGGTGTCAAGGAACCTCCCTTGAGGGGCATCTAGCAATAAATAGGCACCTGGGACAGATCCCAATAGATTATCATTATATTCATAACTAAGTGCTAAACCCATAAGGATCATGCAGTGCTGCAAATCCAATAGAAATTAGCCATTAATGGAGTTTTTTGCATTATCCTGGTTAATCATGCTAAGAATGTCTTCTTATCAGGAGTGGTTATCGAAGACACCCCTGGGACGGCCAGGCACGGGGGAGGAGGTGGCTGATGCTGTAGTGTTCTTGGCTTCACCCTCTGCTGCCTACATCACCGGCAGTGGGATCAATGTCTGTGGTGGACGCTCAGTCTCCAATTAGCATACAAACACTTGTTTCTCCACTACCGCCAACAGCAAAGATTAGAACTTTCAACAGCAAAGGAAGATGGGATACATCTTAAGGCAATCAGATGCAACAAAACCAATGGGGTCAGACAGGATATCATCATTGATATTACTAAGAGCAGAGGAACTGTGCAAAAAGTTGATAGAAACAGGGCATCTGTCAGATAGATAAAACACTGCAAATGTGATTCCAGCATACAAGAAATAAAATAAGACATACTGTACTATAATATTATAATCATGGAAAGTGCTAATCCTGCTTGGATCATTTAGTACTGACACTCTAGGCCAGCCTCACTGGCTAGCATACTAGCTACAGTACTAGAAAAATAATAAGAGGACTGGAGCCCCTTGAAAGAAATGGACATCTGAACTGTTGTATGTGTGCCTCTGCAAAGACAGTGATTATGTGTGGATGGTGAAAGTGTTTCTTGGGTCACCCTGTCTAAGTGGAAGACAGCTGACGTGTTGAAGAAAAAAACTAGCACATTGCGAGATGGTTAATACCGTCTCATGAATCTCCTAGTTTTATGACAGTAACTGAAAGGGAGAGTAGATATAATTCACTAGCTCAATTATTATTATTATTATTAGTAGTAGTAGTAGTATTAAATTAAAGGGGAAGCTTTGAACCCATAAGGATCATACATCCCCAAGTAAGTGGGAAGTGTTGGGGTACAGAGGTTTGATATGAGGATAAGAATGGTAGTTACAATTCCTTAGATCAGCAGCCTTTCACCAGCATGAAGGTATATCCCCCTGGAAGGGTAACTAGTAGTATTGCATAAGCTTAGGTGGCGAGTAGAGTCCCTAGAGGATCAGTGCTTGGGCTCTTACTTTTCCTGATATACATAAGTGACCTGCTGGAGAAAAGTGAGTCCTGTGTATCACTTTTCTTTTTTGCTTTTAAAAGATGTAAAATTAATGAATAAACTGCATAATAGTCAAAAAGTACATGAATTCCATGAGAGAGATGACCACACAAACTTGCACACGAAAATCACTCACTACGAAAGCAAAAGACTTGGCAGACGATGCAACATCCCCCCAATGAAAAGCAGGGGTGTCACTAGCACGTTAAAGAGACCATACAATAAGTGTCATGGGCCCGAGACTGTTCAACTGCCTCCCAGCATACATAAGGGGGATTACCAACAGACCCCTGGCAGTCTTCAAGCTGGCACTGGACAAGCACCTAAAGTCGGTTCCTGACCAGCCGGGCTGTGGCTCGTACGTTGGTTTGTGTGCAGCCAGCAGCAACAGCCTGGTTGATCAGGCTCTGATCCACCAGGAGGCCTGGTCACAGACCGGGCCACGGGGGCGTTGACCCCCGGAACTCTCTCCAGGTAAACTCCAGGTATCCATTAAGGTCCTTGGCCTCAATATAGTATGTTTGACTATTTTCAGTTCAGTTATTATTATTACTGCATTATAATCAAAACTAAGCACTAAACCCACAAGGGTCATATAGCACTGACTATAGTCACACAATAAAAAGATATCTGGATCCACTATAAGTTATATTGAAGGTAGGAAGGTTGATACACATTTTACTTTTTATCAAATGTTTTTATTACAGCTAATATACTCTCCTACACCACAAATTTTGGAAACCTCATGTGAGGCTCTTGCCTACCTTCACAATTTTCTACGTTTGAATTCTTCCATAAATTCCTTCCAATCCTATGCATTTTCCCAATACTCCCATGCATTAGCTCAAATATTTTATTCATGAAAAAGTGCTACATTAATACACTGGATTCATACGGCGCTAAAATTTTGACTAGGTGGAAATATCCTCACTGTTTAAACCAAAGAAAATGTTTGATTCTTCATCCATGGAAGACAATAGTCACCTAAGCACAGTTCATGGAATCACCCACCTTGTATTATTATTACATTCCATGAAGGATGGGTGGAGATGCTGCATTTCAGGTCATTGGAACTGTATGTCCACACATTTCTGGTAAGACAACCATTAAATAAATGGTACTGATTGTTTTCTTCTTTAGGTACACAGTGCCTTGGTGATTATATTTAGGGGAAGCACTAAACCCATAGGGATCATACAGTACTTTTGGGATTGTGAATTATTATTATAATCAAAACCAAGTGCTATACCCACTCAGTGGGGAATGTGAAACAGTCGAATTTCATCCAAGGAAGACAGGCCTGGTTTTCTGCTCAGCCTTCAAAAACAGTCAGTGTAGTGAAAAAACTGAAAAGCATCAAACCTGTATAAGTCATTCAGCATTACATGGTAGCAGTGAGAGAGAAAGAGGAGAGGTACTGATGTTGTCTCACCTTCCGGTACCTCTCTTTCTCTCACCCCTACCATGTAATACTGACTGACCTGTACAGGTTTACTGTTTTCCAAGAAGGAGGGGATTCCCCAGCCATCTAAAGGTGGCTCAACTAGAAGCACAATGTATACAGGAGGATCCTGCATATACATCTCCTTTTCAGTGTTCCACATTTTCGCTGGCTTCAAACTGAATGACTGTCAGTAGCGGGTGGAACAAGGCTCAATTGAAAGCCAATGAAAACATGGAACATAGAAAAGAGGTGCTGTATATGCAGGGCCCTCCTGTATCAGAGAATACCAGGGTTAACTCCTCTGGTTAACAATAAATACCTGGTACCCAAACCATATATAGACATGGAAAAAGGAACCAGATTTTTTTTTTTTTTTCAACAAGTCAGCCGTCTCCCACCGAGGCAGGGTGACCCAAAAAAGAAAGAAAATCCCCAAAAAGAAAATACTTTCATCATCATTCAACACTTTCACCACACTCGTACATTATCACTGTTTTTGCAGAGGTGCTCATAATACAACAGTTTAGAAGCATACACATATAAAGATACACAACATATCCCTCCAAACTTATTTAAGAATTACAAATACTCAAATTAACTAAATTCTGTGACATTGTAATTATGTACCTCAAGCACGAAATATAGACAGAATACACAATAATGCAAAACTCTTGCAACAAAAGTATCAAATTACATTTCAAAAGGAGGGATTGTCTGAAGCTGACCATTTTCTGTCACAACCCTCAAATTGTGATGACATGTACATTACTGTAATAACTGGCCACTTTAGCATTTAAGATTTTCATACATTTAACTTTGGTATGCAAGATTTTACTGTATACTGTAGTGAATATAAAAATAAAGGGACTTCATATAAAATGTTCAACATATTTACCCAAAATAGAAATTAAATGATTTCAAATCTGAATTTATTCAATTTTAAAATATAGAGGAAAGTACTAATATGCCAATAGTTATAGACTACTGGAACAAACTGCAAAGTTTTTTCACATACACAAGTGGGAATGGTTGGGCAAAAGATGGATTTGTCTAGCATGGTTCAGTAGCCCTACTACAGTGCTCTCCTATTAATATTTTCATGCTCTTATATATAAATAAAAACATTGGTTTTGCAATAGTTCTAGATGAGTGGAATGTTATAAGGGACATTGAAGACGAGTGGAATGTATGATACAGAACCTACTCTATTCTTGTGCTTACTATAGGGGTTACAATTTATAAATTTCAACCTTTCATAAATGTCCATGAATAAGTTGATCTAATCTCCCCCCCCATCCCCCCACCAAAAAAAAATGGCCTTAGAACCTCAACCTATACTCGATTATATACGGTATGCCATAAATTGACATGTAAGTACTATTTCAAAAACGAAAGAGGGTTGAACTTAACATTCATAAAATAAAGAAGTAATAGCTATATTTTCTGATGTTGCTTAGGAGTGGAATCAACTGGATAGGCATTACCCAAACTCCCATTCAGCTGGCTGCACCTGAGGTGTATTAACAAGGGTATCACAAGTTTGGTCAGATTTAGTTATACACCACAAAGGCAAGGTAGCCATTATTTAAAATGCACTTTTTATTTTTCAAGTTTAAGTCTATTCTAGGCCATCTCCTTTACATAATTTTTTTATACAGGATATATACAGTACTGCATCTACAGTAGTTTTATTATACAGTAGTACAGATATGAAAATTCTTCAGATCAACAAAAGCTGGAAAATTGGATACATCAAACATACATTTATATCCCACAGTCATGTCACACAATAGTTAATACACTGGGTTCATGCCCTCTGAAACTGGCTCACATTTACATGGTGGAAATTCTATGGATCATGCCTGAAGAACTCTGAAGCACACTCCATGGACTACGAGCCTAGCATTTTCTTTGGTTTAGATAGCAAAGATATTTTCTCGTCCAAATTTTAGCACTGAATGACTAACTAATTTAGCTCTTTTGTGAACAGAATAAATAAAATACTTAATTTTTGTTAAGGAAAATGGTGAATGTATATATATTTATATACCCACTGCTACCAACCATAAGATCAGGAAATAAAATAAATGATACAGTGGCTGTAACTGACATACAAATGTATGCATAAATCAACTTAAATAACTTTATAGACATATCTATATACAATAAGGCATTTCCTACATTACAGGTAGGTAAGTACATACATTATATCATATATACACATCTATTATAGTACATGTGCACAGTTTTTGTTTATTGATATAATATCAGCCCTTAAAAAATACTGAATACAAACAGGCCTTTCAAAATAATATTTCATTCAACACCTTTTATAACAATATGATTCAATTGTGAAAACAAAAATGGCTAACCTCTGGTGAATTCATATTGAATGCTAAGAGTGTAGAAAGTTGCACCAGGGACATGACGTTAAGCCTCACAGTAAATGCAGACAAAAGGTGCAAAACACTGTGAAGAAGACTATGTAGAAAATGTTGGCTAATATACTTAAAATTTCTCTGCACGGTGCTTACATGGAGAGAGAGAGAGAGAGAGAGCCTATGCCTCCAAAAATAAGCCAGTTATTAAAATAAAATAATAAAAAGCACCAACAAAAATGTTATTTAGATGGTTATAAATAGCTGCAATCCCCAGGTGATATACAATTACCTCAATCGTGTTTCCAGTAGACTAGTGCTAGCCAGCTGTCTCTTTAATAAGCATAGCCAGCTGGCTCATTAATAACCACAGTTTTTATAAGGATCAGCATGAGTAGTGCAAACTGATATCACTATGACTAAGTCTAATCACAAAGTGAAGGAAAGTACGTTTCTGTACCCAAAGTAACCAAATACGAGTGCAACAAAAATAGATGAGTACTAGATTATGTAGTATCATTATATGCCTTCTATATTCAATTCAGAGTTTTAATTAAGTTACATTTAAAGTAGAAATCAAAGTTATTCTGTTTTGTTGAAGAAATTGGTAGTATTAATTCCTAAACTTGGAATACATATACAGAAAATTATCAGAATTTGATGGTTCAAGAAATATATCTTTTAACACAGGAACTTGTGAGTGAAAAATAATATCCATGACATTTTTAAACAATTATTTTAATAATGCACAATACCAAGGCAGCTAATATTACTCTACTCTTTTTTTTTTTTTTTGAAAACCAGTAACTAGGATCTATTTCAATCATGGATAATAATTATAATGAATACGTATTAAATTCTCAAATGTACAGAGGACAAATACAATGTTAACATATACTGTACATAAGTGAATTTAGTTATTATTTATCTTATTTATAAACCTAAATTATTAACAGTGTTCCCACCGTCTTTATGTATTTTTATACAGCAATTCTCAAATGCGCTGATTTTTATAAAGTAGATGGTGCATGTGTGATGTGGCAATATTTAAGGGGTAAAAGGAGATTAAGAAATTTAGGCTTTTTAATAGAATAGTAAGATTGTGTTTTCTTCTCATATTTCTTAAATCCTAGTGCATTATACATGCATATTCTTCTTGGGATCTGGGCATAGAAAACAAACATGTGTTTCATAGACCATTTTAGTGAAAAAATTATTTGAACCAAAAAAAAAATCAAACTTGGAAGTACTGTACTGGGAATGTCTCTCATTCCCAAGTCTGTTACTATCACAAAATTAAGCAATCACTGTACTGTAACTAAAATTTTAGTATAACCCTAATTGAATGAAGGTGGTTTAATTATATTTTGACATGACTATAGTCCTCAGAATGATTTTGGTAAAATGCACGAATATGATAACAGATTCCTTCGAAGAGCACACCTAGGCAGACAGTAACATTATGTGCAGAATTTGGTGTTATGTAAGTATACAGTACAAGAGTAACTCCTATTATCACCTTAGAATTGTTTGTAACGAAACAATGGTCCAAGTCTGCCTTGAAAACTTTTGTAATAACTGATCTAAATGGGGTACAACCAACAATGGTGAAAAAAATTCCGTTGCAGATTATTTTTTGGAATCATTGTTTTGTTCCATGTAGAGTTTTAAGTTATGACTTGATAAAGCTCTACATAACAAAATGTTGCCCCAATAAAAGCTTCTTCTACGATGTGTGTCTCTTCTTTGATAATAATGAATGGGGGGAAAAGAAATATAAACTGTTCCTCTTTCGAAGCAGAGTGAAATACTGTTTCTTCAAACAGAATAAGCATGTGTGATTCCCATTATTACATACCTGGAACTGTCTATTGAATCAAATGATTAAGTCTGCCTTGAAAGAGTTTATAATTAAGAACTGAATAAAAAAAAATATGTCTTCCTTACCCTAAAGGGACAGAAAATGTGCTATAAGCTCCCAACTTTATTTTTCGTGTACCACATTAACCATTTCTTGCCAGGTTAGGGTGACCCAAAGAAGGAAATACTGAATATTGTGTTTGTATGTAAGCATCTATAAAAGTGTAATATACACTGATTAATGGCACAAATGATGAACATAGAGGAATAAAACAATAAATGAAATGAGATGCTAAGAGCACTCATTCGGGTAAAAATTTATAAAGTTTATTTCTTAAATTTGTTTTGTCTCCATGTGGGTCATTTGTGCCATATTAAAAAACTCTTTACCATATAATAAGGCAAAAAAAATTTTCCCAAAAAGAAAAAACAATCACAAAAACATCATTGTGTACCATTCTTCATCTAAAAACCCCCACTTTCTAAAAATTTAAAAAAATGTGTAATCAATTTAAACAAAAGAAATTATTTCCCCTTTTAATTTTTTTTTAGTTAATTTAGAATGTAAGCTATCTCTTTACTTGAGCTAACATTAATACACTTTTACCCAAAAGGGGTCAAAATATTCAAAATTTAAAAACAACTAATAATTACTAAATTTTTTTCCCCAGCTCAAGTTATAGTACTTTACTAACACGATGATAACAATTCCTTTGGTCTGCTTATAACGATTTAGTTATTTAAAAAATATTTCCCTCTTCTCTTGGGCGGGGTCAAGGGAGGAGCCACATGAGTGCAGTAAACCAGCAAAACCCCAACCACACTCTCATTTGGGATTGCGAAAAAACAAATCATTGAATAGGTGTAACCAAGAAAAATGCAAGTCATGCCTAAAAGATTTCCCTTGAATGCTAACAAACAAATTAAAATTACATTACCTGGGGGTCCCAATTTAAGGCAGTTGCATTCCTATTTTTTTTTAAACTTACAATGATTTTTTTTAAAATATCTGTGTAAAATTTGGTGTGTTTTGCAAATACAGGGGGTCCCTAATTTCGTACAGCTCCCAACTCGAAACAATTATGAAGTGTTTTTTTAATGATTTTTTTGGTTTCTGAAAAAGGGCTAATCTTTGTTTACGTTATTCCTTATGGGAACAAAAATTTGTTTTTGTAATGCACTTGAAAGCCTTCTGGAACAAATTTCGGTCGATATTCGGGTTCACTGACAGTGGTTCCTCGCTTTTTGTAGTTCCCGGCCCAAACGTAAAATTTCCCAATAAGGGGTATTTTCGATAAACAGGACTCGCTATTCATAAGTTGACTCGCGAGTCGTAATTCGTCCGGGATGCGTACCCATGGCGTGAGCCGTGGCGGCAGCCAGTCTGGCATTGTTTACCAGTAAGCGAAGGTCCACTCACATGCTCAAGTTAAATATTTCATAATACAGTGGACCCCCGCATACCGATTTTAATCCGTGCAAGAGGGGTCATTGTTATGCGAAATAATCGGTATGCGAATGAATTTTCCCCATAAGAAATAATGGAAATCAAATTAATCCGTGCAAGACACCCAAAAGTATGAAAAAAAAATTTTTTACCACATGAAATGTTAATTTTAATACACACAAACTGAAAAAGGCATGCACACTTACATGACACTTACTTTTATTGAAGATCTGGTGATGATTGATGGGATGGGAGGAGGGGAGAGAGAGTGTTAGTGTTTAGAAGGGGAATCCCCTTCCATTAAGACTTGAGGTGTCGAGTCCTTTTCTGGGGTTACTTCCCTTCTTCTTTTAATGCCACTAGGACCCGCTTCAGTCACTGGACTTCTTTCGCACAACATATCTGTCCATAGTGGCCTGTGCCTCTCGTTCCTTTATGACTTCCCTAAAGTGTTTCACAACATTATCAGTGTACAGGTTGCCAACACGGCTTGCAATAGCTGTGTGAGGGTGATTTTCATCAAAAAAGGTTTGCACTTCAAGCCACTTTGCACACATTTCCTTAATCTTTGTAGTAGGCAACTTCTTCAATTTCTCTCTCCCCTCCTCTGAACCAGTTTCCTCAGGTCTGGCCTCTTGCTGTTGAAGTTGATCTATCAGCTCATCAGTGGTTCTTCATTGTCCTCCTCCACCAACTCTTCCACATCCTCCCCACTAACCTCCAACCCCAAGGACTTTCCCAATGCCACAATGGATTCCTCAACTGGCATAATCCTCTCAGGGTTAGCCTCAAACCCTTCAAAATCCCTTTTGTCTACACATTCTGGCCACAGTTTCTTCCAAGCAGAGTTCAAGGTCTTCTTAGTCACTCCCTCCCAAGCCTTACCTATAAGGTTTACACAATTGAGGATATTAAAGTGCTCTCTCCAAAACTCTCTTAGAGTCAGTTGAGTTTCTGAGGTCACTACAAAGCACCTTTCAAAACAGAGCTTTTTGTGTACAGTTTTTTGAAGTTTGCAATAACCTGCTGGTCCATGGGCTGCAGGAGAGGAGTGGTATTAGGAGGCAAAAACTTGATGTTAATGAATTTCATGTCCCCATAAAGTCGCTCTGCCACGTCTGTAGGATGACCAGGGGCATTGTCTAACACCAGGAGGCACTTAAGTTCTAATTTCTTTTCAGTTAGGTAATCTTTCACATTGGGGGCAAATGCATGGTGTACCAGTCATAGAAAAAGTCCCTAGTGACCCATGCCTTACTGTTTGCCCTCCACAGCACACACAAAATTCTCCTTGAGGACATTCTTTTGCCTGAACGCTCTGGGAGTTTCAGAGTGATACACTATAAAGGCTTAACTTTGCAATCACCGTAGCATTGGAACACATCAACAAAGTAAGCCTGTCTTTCATAGGCTTATGTCCTGGGAGTGCCTTTTCCTCCTGAGTAATGTAGGTCCTGCTTGGCATTTTTTCTTTCAAAACAGGCCTGTTTCATCACAATTAAACACTTGTTCAGGTTTCAGTCCTTCAGTCTCTATGTACTCCTTGAATTCAATGCACATATTTTTCAGCCGCTTTGTGGTCCGAACTGGCAGCCTCACCATGCCTTATCACACTATGTATGCCACTACGCTTCTTAAATCTCTCAAACCAACCTTTGCTGGCCTTAAATTCACTCACATCAGCACTAGTTGCAGGCATTTTTTTTTAATTAAATCCTACATGCAACTTCCTAGCCTTTTCGCTTATGATTGCTTGAGAGACGCTATCTCCTGCTAGCTGTTTTTCATTTATCCACACCAATAAGAGTCTCTCAACATCTTCCATCACTTGCGATCTTTGTTTCAAAAACACAGTTAAACCTTTGGCAAGAACAGCTTCCTTGATTGCCTTTCTGGTGCCCACAATAGTAGCGATGGTTGATTGGGGTTTCTTGTACAACCTGACCAGGTCGGCGATACGCACTCCACTTTCATACTTATCAATGATCTCTTTCTTCATCTCTATTGGAATTCTCACCCTTATTGCTGTAGGGTTGGCACTAGAAGCTTTCTTGGGGCCCATGGTCACTTATTTTCCAGAAAAAGCACCGAAAACACTGTAATAATACGAAATATTGCGATTGTATGCTTGGATGTTACCGCGGAGGCTGGCTGGTAAACAATGCCACCGGCGGCACATGTGAGGCTGGCTGAAGGCGCACATTGGACGCATCTCGGACGAAAATTGGTGAGCGGGTTTTTAAGCGGTATGCGAGGCAAAATTTTTGCGATTAAAGCAAGCGGTATGCGGATTAATCGTTATGTGATGCCATCGGTATGCGGGGGTCCACTGTATTCCATTTACTTTAGTGCTGCAAGTACTAAATAAGCTACCATGGCTCCAAAGAAAGCTCCTAGTGCCAAGCCTGTGGTAAAGAAGGTGAGAAATATGATTGAATTTAAGAAAACCATCATTGAACAATATGAAAGTGGTACAAGTGTGGCCGAACTGGCCAGGATGTATAAGAAACCATACACAACCTTATGTTCCATAGTGGCCAAGAAAAAAGAAATCAAGGATGCTGTTGTTGCAAAGGGGGTAACTATGCTGACAAAAATGAGATCACCAGTACTCGAAGAGGTTGAGAAGTTATTATTGGTGTGGATAAATGAGAAACAATTAGCAGGAGATACTCTTATGACTTCGATTATTTGTGAAAAGGCTAGGCAGTTGCATGACGATTTGGTAAAGAAATTGCCTGCAAATAGGGGTGATGTGAGTGAATTTAAGGCCAGCAAAGGCTGGTTTGAGAGATTTAAGAACCGTACTGGCATACACAGTGTGGTAAGGCATGGTGAGGCTGCCAGTTCGGACCACAAGGCGGCTGAATTTTTTTTTTTTTTTTTTTTTCAACAAGTCGGCCGTCTCCCACCGAGGCAGGGTGACCCAAAAAAAGAAAGAAAATCCCCAAAAAGAAAATACTTTCATCATCATTCAACACTTTCACCACACTCGCACATTATCACTGTTTTTGCAGAGGTGGTCAGAATACAACAGTTTAGAAGCATATACGTATAAAGATACACAACATATCCCTCAAAACTGCCAATATCCCAAACCCCTCCTTTAAAGTGCAGGCATTGTACTTCCCATTTCCAGGACTCAAGTCCGACTACATGAAAATAACCGGTTTCCCTGAATTCCTTCACTAAATATTACCCTGCTCACACTCCAACAGATCGTCATGTCCCAAGTACCATTTATCTCCATTCACTCCTATCTAACACGCTCACGCACGCTTGCTGGAAGTCCAAGTCCCTTGCCCACAAAACCTCCTTTACCCCCTCTCTCCAACCCTTTCGAGGACGACCCCTACCCCTCCTTCCTTCCCCTATAGATTTATATGCTTTCCATGTCATTCTACTTTGATCCATTCTCTCTAAATGACCAAACCACCTCAACAACCCCTCTTCTGCCCTCTGACTAATACTCCACACCTTTTCCTAATTTCCGCACTCCGAATTTTCTGCATAATATTTACACCACACATTGCCCTTAAACAAGACATCTCCACTGCCTCCAACCGTCTCCTAGCTGCTGCATTTACCACCCAAGCTTCACATCCATATAAGAGTGTTGGTGCTACTATACTTTCATACATTCCCTTCTTTGCCTCCATAGATAACGTTTTTTGACTCCACATATACCTCAACGCACCACTCACCTTTTTTCCCTCATCAATTCTATGATTAACCTCATCCTTCATAAATCCATCCGCCGACACGTCAACTCCCAAGTATCTGAAAACATCACTTCTTCCATACTCCTCCTCCCAATTTGATATCCAATTTTTCTTTATCTAAACCATTTGATACCCTCATCACCTTACTTTTTCTATGTTCACTTTCAACTTTCTACCTTTACACACATTCTCAAACTCATCCACTAACCTTTGCAATTTTTCTTTAGAATCTCCCATAAGCACAGTTTTCATCAGCAAAAAGTAACTGTGTCAATTCCTATTTTGAATTTGATTCCCCAAAATTAATCCCACCCCTCTCCCGAACACCCTAGCATTTACTTCCTTTACAACCCCATCTATAAATATATTAAACAACCATGGTGACATTACACACCCCTGTCTAAGCCCTACTTTTACCGGGAAGTAGTCTCCCTCTCTTCTACCACCCCAAACCGAGCCTCATTACCCTCATAAAAAACTCTTTACAGCTTTTGTAACTTACCACCTTTCCATATCATGTATTTGCAACTCTCCACTTGCCCTTACCACTCTACATATGCCTTTCTAAATCCAAAAAAATGCAATAAAAATTTCCCCCCCTTTATCTAAATACTGTTCATATAATGCTTCAATGAAAACACTTGATCTGCACACCCCTACCCCCTCGAAACCCCCCTGCCATCCGCAATCCAAAAACGTCTTACCTCAATTTTTTCAATTATAGCCCTACCGTCATTTTTCCTGGAAATACTCAGAAAACTTTTCCTCTCAAATTTTTTATATCTCTTTTGTCCCCTTTCCCTTTATATAAAGGATTTAACATGCTCCCCCGCCATCCCGGGGTCCTTTCCCCCCCTTTTCATACATTTATTAAACAAAGTAACCAAACCACTCCAACACTATACTCCCCCCTTTTAACATTTCTGTCATATCCCACATTTCCCAGCTGCTTTACCCCCCTTTCATTTTACAAATGTCTCACGAAACCTCCACCACACTTACATTCTGCTCTTCTCCTCCTAAAAAGGGTATACCTCCCAACCAGTGCATAAAATTTACTGCCTCTGTTTCTTCCTTAACATTAAAAGTTCCCAAAATATTTCGCCATCTACCTAATCCTCCATCTCCCCATTACTAACTCCCCCACTCTGTTTTTTTTAAATGACAAAACCTACTTTCCCTAGGCTTTCTTAACTTTTAACCCACTCCAAAATTTTTTTTCTTTTTTCATTAAAATTTCTTGAAAAATTTCCCTGAAAAATAGTGCAGAATTCCGGGGTACATAGAGGCTGAAGGCTGAAACCAACAAGTGTTCAATTGTGACGAAATGGGCCTCTTTTGGAAGAAAATGCCAAAAGGACTTCATTACACAAGAAAAAAAGGCAATCCCAAAGGACACAAGTATAAAGAGGCTACGCTAATGTTCTGTGCAATGCAGGGGAGATTTAAAAAACCATTACTATTTTCCCATTCTGAAAATCCCAGAGTGTTCGGGGAAAAACAAGTTAGAAGATAAATTGTTGTGTTTTGGAATTAAATAAAAGGCAGGGGCACGGGGGAAAAATTTTCGTCGAGGGGTTCAATGAATGTTTGGCCCTAGTGTGAAAGTATCCCCGGGAAAAGAAATTGGTTTCCAAGTGCCTGCAGTAAAGAAAAAAATGCACCTCTCATCCTCCAAACTTGGATACCTAATTTTCGAGATTTGGGTTCATCACAGTAAAGTTTTGTCCCCAAATACCACTCCTCTCCTCCGCCCATGGCCCACGGGTCATTGCAAATTTTAAAAACTACAAAAAAGAAATGTTTCACATGCTTGACTGGCCACAGACACTCATTTGACCCTAAGGGAATTTTGGAGAGAACATTCCATCCTCCATTGCATAACCCCTTAAAGGGTATGGTTTGGGGGGGAGTGACTAAAAGGATTTTGAACTTTTCCTGGAGAAAATTGTGGCCAGTTTAGCAAAAAGGGGGATTTTAAAGGGGTTTTGGGGACTGACCCTGATACCTATGTCTGTTGAAAATAACTGTGGCACGGGGAGTTCCATGGGGTTGCATGTGAGTTTGGAGGATGTGGAAGAATTTTGGGGGAAGACCACAAAAAAGAGCTCACCACTGAGGGCTGCAAAAGCTTCAGCAGGGAAAAGCAAAAAACATTGCACCGAAACTTTGCGAGGAGGGGGAAAGGATGGAAGAAGTACCCTTTTTCAGAAATTTAAAAGATTTTTTCTTGTGGGGTAAGAGGAAAAACTTTATGGAGAAACATCACCCAACAAGTTGTTGCAAAAACCATATTGGGGAAAATGTACAGTGACAAATCTTGGGCCTTTTAGGGGGGTGTTAAAGGAAACCCAGAAACAGATTCTTCCACAGTTATTTTGCGAGACAGGACTCCATGACTTCCCAAAGGGGTCCTAGGGCATTTAAAAAAAAAGAAACAAGCAACCCCAGAAAAGCAATTGGTACCTGAGGGATTGCTAGAAAAGGGGAATTTCCCTTCCAAACTAAAACACCCCTCCTTTTCCCCCCTCCTCCAGTCCCATCACTAAGAAGAATCACCAATAAAGGTAAGTGTTTTTGTGTTAAGGTTTTTATTCACATTTCCCTTTTATTTTTTATGTAACAGTATATTTCTTTTTTAAATTTTTTTGTTTTAATACTTCTGGGTGTCAGGAACGGATTAATTGTATTTACATTATTTCTTATGGGGAAAATTGATTCGCAAATTGTAAATTTCGTTTATAGTAGCTCCTCCAGGAACGGATTAATTACGAAAAATGAGGGACCACTGTAGTTATACTCCATTTAGCAGTTGCAACAGTTTAGTTCCATGCCAGAAGTGCATTACTATCTACATACATTAGTTTTTGTGTTGTATAAAAATATTCTTAACAAACATTAAGCTCCTTCTTTAATAAATGTGTCTTCCTTTCCCCTCCTAACCACATCCACATACACTAGAAAATAATAAATTATTACTTACTGGTTCTGTAATACCACCCTTGGATTTTCCAAGAGCTTGGCCTTCAGACCATCCCATTTTCTGCAGTATTGTGTAGCCTTTGTTGTTGTCTCTCAATGCTCTGTTGAAGAATAATCAAGAGTGAAATATGTATCTCAATTTTTTTTTTTAACAAGTTGGCCATCTCCCACCGAGGCAGGGTGACCCAAAAAGAAAGAAAAAATCCCCAAAAAGAAAATACTTTCATCATCATTCAACACTTTCACCTCATTCACACATAATCACTGTTTTTGCAGAGGTGCTCATAACACAACAGTTTAGAAGCATATACGTATAAAGATACACAACATATCCCTCCAAACTGCTAATATCTCGAAACCCCTCCTTTAGAGTGCAGGCATTGTACTTCCCATTTCCAGGACTCAAGTCCGGCTATATAAAAATAACCGATTTCCCTGAATTATTATTTTATTTTATTAGCACACTGGCCGATTCCCACCAAGGCAGGGTGGCCCAAAAAACAAAAACTTTCACCATCATTCACTCCATCACTGTCTTGCCAGAAGGGTGCTTTACACTACAGTTTTTAAACTGCAACATTAACACCCCTCCAGAGTGCAGGCACTGTACTTCCCATCTGGTTTCCCTGAATCCTTTCATAAATGTTACTTTGCTCACACTCCAACAGCACGTCATGTATTAAAAACCATTTGTCTCCATTCACTCCTATCAAACACGCTCACGCATGCCCGCTGGAAGTCCAAGCCCCTCGCACACAAAACCTCCTTTACCCCCTCCTTCCAACCCTTCCCAGGCCGACCCCTATCCTGCCTTCCTTCCACTACAGACTGATACACTCTTGAAGTCATACTGTTTCGCTCCATTCTCTCTACACGTCCGAACCACCTCAACAACCCTTCCTCAGCCATCTGGACAACAGTTTTGGCAATCCCGCACCACCTCCTAACTTCCAAACTACGAATTCTGTGCATCATATTCACACATTGCCCTCAGACATGACATCTCCACTGCCTCCAGCCTTCTCCTCGCTGCAACATTCATCACCCATGCTTCACACCCATATAAGAGTGGTGGTAAAACTATACTCTCATACATTCCCCTCTTTGCCTCCAAGGACAAAGTTCTTTGTCTCCACACACTCCTAAGTGCACCGCTCACCCTTTTCCCCTCATCAATTCTATGATTCACCTATCTTTCATAGACCCATCCGCTGACACGTCCACTCCCAAATACAGTGGACCCCCGGTTAACGATACTTTTTCATTCCAGAAGTATGTTCCGGTGCCAGTACTGACCGAATTTGTTCCCATAAGGAATATTGTGAAGTAGGTTACTCCATTTCAGACCCCCAAACATACACGTACAAACGCACTTACATAAATACACTTACATAATTGGTCGCATTGGGAGGTGATCGTTAAGCGGGGGTCCACTGTATCTGAATACATTCACCTCCTCCATACTCTCTCCCTCCAATCTGATACCCAATCTTTCATCACCTAATCTTTTTGTTATCCTCATAACCTTACTCTTTCCTGTATTCACTTTTAATTTTCTTCTTTTACATACCCTACCAAATTCATCCACCAACCTCTGCAACTTCTCTTCAGAATCTCCAAAGAGCACAGTGTCATCAGCAAAGAGCAACTGTGACAACTCCCACTTTATGTGTGATTACTTTAATCTTTTTAAACTCCACGCCTCTTCCCAAGGGACCCTCACATTTACTTCTCTACTACCCCATCTATAATATTTTAAAACAACCATGGCGACATCACACATCCTTGTCTAAGGCCTACTTTTACTGGGAAATAATCTCCGTCTTTCCTACATATTCTAACTTGACCCTCACTATCCTCGTAAAAAACTCTTAAACTGTTTTTCAGTAACCTACCTCCTATACCATACACCTGTAACATCTGCCACATTGCCCCCCTATCCACCATGTCATATGCCTTTTCCAAAATCCATAAATGCCACAAAAACCTCTTTAGCCTTATCAAAAATACTTTTTCACCTTAATGTTTCACTGTAAACACCCGGTCCACACACCCCCAAACCTTTCCTAAAGCCTCCTTGTTCATCTGCATCCATTCTCTGTCTTACCTCTTAATTCTTTCAATAAAAACTCTACCCTACACTTTACCAGGTTTTACTCAACAGACTTATCCCCCCTATAATTTTTTTCACTCTCTTTGTCCCCTTTGCCTGTATACAAAGGAACTATGCATGCTCCTCTGCCAATCCCTAGGTACCTTACCCTCTTCATACATTTATTAAAATAATAGCACCAACCACTCCAAAAATATATCCCCACCTGCTTTTAACATTTCTATCTTCATCCCCTCAATCCCAGCTGCCTTACCCCCCCTTTTATTTTACCTACTTTCCTCACAAACTTCCCCACCCTCACAACTGAATCTTTCTCACTCCTACAAGAGTAATTCCTCCTTGCCCAATACATGAAATCACAGCTTCCCTATCTTCATCAACATTTAACAATTCCTCAAAATATTCCCTCCATCTTCCCAATACCTCTAACTCTCCATTTAATAACTCTCCTCTCCTATTTTTAACTGACAAATCCATTGGTTCTCTAGGCTTTCTCAACTTGTTGATCTCACTCCAAAACTTTTTCTTATTTTCAACAAAATTTGTTGATAACACCTCACCCACTCTTTCATTTGCTCTCTTTTTACACTGCTTCACCACTCTCTTTTTCTCCATATACTCTTCCCTGAATCCCTTCACTAAATATTACCCTGCTCACACTCCAACAGATCGTCAGGTCCCAAATACCATTTGTCTCCATTCACTCCTATCGAACACGCTCATGCACGCCTGCTGGAAGTCCAAGCCCCTCGCCCACAAAACGTCCCTTACCCCTTCCTTCCAACCTTTTCGAAGACGACCCCTACCCCGCCTTCCTTCCCCTATAGATTTACATATACGCTCTCCATGTCATTCTATTTGGATCCATTCTCTCTAAATGACCAAACCACCTCAACAACCCCTCTTCAGCCCTCTGACTAATGCTTTTATTAACTCCACACCTCCTAATTTCCACACTCTGAATTTTCTGCATAATATTTACACCACACATTGCCCTTGGACAGGACATCTCCACTGCCTCCAACCACCTCCTTGCTGCTGCATTCACAACCCAAGCTTCACACCCATATAAGTGTGTTGGTACTACTATACTTTCATACTTTCCCTTCTTTGCCTCCATAGATAACATTTTTTGTCTCCACATATACCTCAACGCACCACTCACCTTTTTTTCCTCATCAATTTTATGATTAACCTCATCCTTCATAAATCCATCTGCCGGCACGTCAACTCCCAAGTACATATCTGAAAACATTCACTTCTTCCATACTCCTCTTCCCCAATTTGATATCCAATTTTTCTTTATCTAAATCATTTGATACCCTCATCACCTTACTCTTTTCTACGTTCACTTTCAACTTTCTACCTTTACACACACTCCCAAACTCATGCACTAACCTTTGCAATTTTTCTTTAGAATCTCCCATAAGCACAGTATCATCAGCAAAAAGCAACTGTGTCAATTCCCATTTTGTATTTGATTCCCCATAATTTAATCCCACCCCTCTCCCGAACACCCTAGCATTTACTTCTTTTACAACCCCATCTATAAATACATGTATATTAAACAACCATGGTGACATTACACATCCCTGTCTAAGACCTACTTTTACCGGGAAGTATTTTCCCTCTCTTCTACACACCCTAACCTGAGCCTCACTATCCTCATAAAAACTCTTTACAGCATTTAGTAACTTAGCACCTATTCCATATACATGTACTTACAACATCTGCCACAGTGCTCCCCTATCCACTCTATCATATGCCTTTTCTAAATCCATAAATGCATAAAAACTTCCCTACCTTCATCTAAATACTGTTCACATATATGCTTCACTTGATCTACACATCCCCTACCCACTCTGAAACCTCCTTGCTCATCCGCAATCCTACATTCTGTCTTACTTCTAATTTTTTCAATTATAACCCTACCGTAGACTTTTCCTGGTATACTCAGTAAACTTATTCCTCTATAATTTTTACAATAGTAGTAGTAGGTTGGTAGACAGCAACCGCCCAGGGAGGTACTACCGTCCTGCCAAGTGAGTGTAAAACGGAAGCCTGTAATTGTTTTACACGATGGTAGGATTGCCGGTGTGTTTTTTTTCTGTCTCATACACATGCAAGATTTCAGGTATGTCTTGCTACTTCTACTTACACTTAGGTCACAATACACATACATGTACAAGCATATATATATACACACCTCTCTGGGTTTTCTTCTATTTTCTTTCTAGTTCTTGTTCTTGTTTATTTCCTCTTACCTCCATGGGGAAGTGGAACAGAATTCTTCCTCCGTAAGCCATGCGTGTTGTAAGAGGCGACTAAAATGCCAGGAGCAAGAGGCTAGTAACCCCTTCTCCTGTATATATTACTAAATGTAAAAGGAGAAACTTTTGTTTTTCCTTTTGGGCCACCCCGCCTCAGTGGGATACGGTCGGTGTGTTGAAAGAAAGAAAGAATTTTTACAATCTCTTTTGTCCCCCTTCCCTTTATGTAAAGGGACTATACATGCTCTCTGCCAATCCCTAGGTACCTTCCCCTCTTTCATACATTTATTAAACAAAAATACCAACCACTCCAACACTATACCCCCCCCCCCCTGCTTTTAACATTTCTGTCATGATCCCATCAGTTCCAGCTGCTTTACCCCCTTTCATTCTACGTAATGCCTCATGCACCTCCCCCACACTCACATCCTATTCTTCTTCACTCCTAAAAGATGGTATACCTCTCTGGCCAGTGCATGAAATTACCACTTCTCTTTCTTCGTCGACATTTAAAAGTTCCTCAAAATATTCTCGCCATCTACCCAAAACCTCCATCTCCCCATCTACTAACTCAAATGATTCAATTATAAACAATAATTTTGACCTGATAAGCTGCTGGAGTGTGAGAAAGACAACATTTTGTGGAGGGATTCAGGAAACCTGGTTAGCCAGATCTGCATCCTGAGGTGGAATGTACAGTGCCTGCACTCTAAAGGAGAGGTGAGGTATTTGCTTTGGAAGGGCATCTGAATTGTAGTATCTGTTTGCCTCTGGCAAGACAGTGAGTAATAGAATGAATGATGCTGAAAGTATTTCTTCTTCAGGTCACCCTATCTCGATGGGAGATGGCTGGTGTGTTCATAAGAAAATAACAATACATACAGTACTTCTTCCAACACTTCTTTCAACACACCAGCTGTATCCCACCGTAATAATAAAATATTTTAAAATGCACAGTAGATAGATACGTACTAGTAGTGTATTACAATAGGTGTGTATGCAGCTGGGTTTCAGATTAAAAATGCCCCCAGTTATGGAATGTGCTGTTTTTTGGGCAGATAAATTAGGGATGAGATATAAATGTGTTATATGGTTATAATTTTAACCCAACAGTTAACTAAAGACAGCTATAATAAAACAAATTTAGAATGTGTTGTACTGAGTCAAAATACTGTGGCTGTAACAATTCACCAAAAACTCACACTTAAGAGAGGAACCTTATAACACATTTCAGTCCTTCCTGGACTATTGTCAAGACACTTGACAATGGTCTATGATGAGCCAAAATGCTGTCATGAGGTTCCTCTCCTAAATACTAGTTTTTGATGATATGTTCTTCTATGTTTTCATCAGATGTCTCCCACCGAGGCAGGGTGACCCAAAAAGAAAAACAAGTCTTTCTTTTTACATTTAGTAATTTATACAGGAGAAGGGGTTACTACCTCCTTGCTCGCAGCATTTTAGTCACCTCTTATGACACTTGTGGCTTACAGAGGAAGAATTCTTCTCCACTTTCCCATGGAGACTAGATATATATAGTGGCTTATAAAAAAATTAATGCAAAATAATCTAGAACACTAAATAATAATATTTATTAATATAGCACGTAGAAGTGACTCCCTGTGTATAACTGATGTCATACTCATTTTCCCTGAATGCATCCATTATAATGAACATAAATTTGTGAAGCATCAGTGCTTACCAAATGTAAATGAAACACAGTATTGTACTATTATTATTTTTTTAACACACTGGCCGTCTCCCACCGAGGCAGGGTGACCCGAAAGAGAAGAACACTATGGTTTTTCTTTCTACATTTAGCAATTTATACACAAGAAGCTAGCTCCTTGCTCCCAGTATTTTAGTTGTCCTTTATGACACACATGGCTTTTCCACTTCCCCATGGAGAATTATTATTATTAGATTCATCAAGACTAAAATCATAAGTGGTGTCACGCAGCACCTGCGAAATAAGTTGTAACCGTATTTGATCTGAGGACTAGGAGTACAAGTTCAACTGCTGGAATCAAGAGCTCTTCGCTAACATTGAGGCACCCCCACTGAAGGGACCAGATTTACAGTTATCATTTAAGAGCATCAAAACTCTGTACTTACGTGTCAGTTGATGCTACTTCTGTCTTTTCGTAAGGATTATCAGAGCCAACTTCTTTCAAGCGCTTCAAGGAACGATCAGTGTACTGGCCGTCGGTGGAAGGCAATTCACCTTGAGCAGTAACAGCGTACTTTTTCCGCAGAGCTTTCAACTGTTTCTTCCTGGCCTTTTCCCGTGATTTGGCATCCTTGAAGGAAGTTACAGATCCTCCTACCACTGTTTTAAGGATTTGTAAATTAAGTATGCTAATTTAAAAATAAGGGAAAATACTTTTACCTTTAAATTGTTTTAAATGAAAAGTAAAAAATTTACTAAGAAATAATTACTAAACTCTTAAAGGTCATACAGGCCTGGGGAAGGGAGGTAATCAAATTAGAGACAAGAAAGGAAAAAGTATTCCCCCTTTCCGGACAAGAGCCCTTCACGGGCATCAAGGCCCCCAAATACGGGAAATTTTACATGGTACAGAAATTTCTTTAGAGCATGAAACCCCACCCAAAATTTGCCCAAAAATGATCCAATATTTAGGCCCCTTTTATGAGGTTACACTTGGTTATAATTTGAAAAAATTTAATTTAAATTTCAAGGTTCCCTTTTGCCACAGTTCCCATGAAGACCCCTGCCAACAATCGAAAAACCCCTTGTCTTAGTTTTTCCCCACAGACTAAGAAATTTTTGTTTCCCCTTTTTGGGATGAGTTTCAAAAAGTTTTTCAAACCCTAAAACCCAAAGGCCCAGGGGCCCCAGGCTCGTCCGGGGGTAAAAAAAATATCACAATAATTGATTTTTTAAACATTTGCAGCCATTTTCCCACTTTTTTTTTTAACCAAAGTTTTTTCATTTTGTAAAAAAAATAAACAAAATTATAAAAATCAACAGAAAAAATTTAAACTTTTGAGAGTCACAAACCATTTTGTTGTACGAGAATTTAAGTTTTTTAAAAAAAAATTTAAATTAAAATTCGGGTACTTGCCAGGAAAGTAACAAATTCCCCCTACATATTTGGTATCCCTTGCAAAGCAAAAAACTAATTTTAAATTTAAAATCCCAATTTTTAAAAAAATTATAGGTGGGAAAAATCCCAGTTTAAATTTTAAAGAGTCAAAATGAGGTAAAAAAAAATTTATCCTAACAACTCGCCTTTCTGGGGTAAAATTCCCTTGATTGAATAAAAGCAAAAAAAAGCTTTAAAACGGACGCAATTAACCCCTTAAAAAAACATGTTTTTTTAAAAATAACAAAGCAAGAGAAAGGGAATTAGATTTCAACTAATTTCAATTTCTAAAAAATTCTGTATCGCAAATGGGCAATTTTTTAAATAGCAGACTTTTTTTTCTAGCTTAAAAAAATAAAAACAAAATTGCCTTAAAAACATAGAAAAAAGTCCAAAAAACAGCTTTTAAAAAGTCTTAAAAACTGATAAGAAAATGTTTTTCCCCCCCCCCTACGACAATGACAAAGCACACGGGATAACACACCCTGATTTATATCTAGGGCCCCAGATCCGGAAAAACTTCAAAAATAATATTTTCTTAAAAAATTTTTCAATTTTTTTAAAAAAGTACTAAGAAAACCAGTTTCAATTCCCAAAACTAGAGGTAACCATAATCAGGCACTGCAAAAGCGAATTTTTGTTCACACTAACCCCCTTTTATTCACTGTAACTTTTTTTTTCCCCCTTTTTACTCCTCCTGGGCCCCCCGGAAAACTTGTCAAGGAAAATTGCATATAAAATTTAAAGGATAGTGCAATAAACCCCCCCCTTTAACACTGGTAATCAATCCCAAGAAAATGTTGAGGATTTTCCTGTTAACAGGTTTTATGCTGAGAAAGGGTAATTTTTGCATACCTAGAACGTACTCTAAATTCCATTATTTTAATTCTTAAAAACAAGAATTTGGTAATCCTTTTCATTTCACTGATGAAGATTTCTTAAGGGATTTCAATACAGTGTTAATGTTGTGTAATCAGAGAGATTTATGGAAATAAGGTTGCACAAAGCCTGTCTGCCACATTATGTTTGTGCCAACACCCATGCAATATAGCTGCCATCACAAATGCTATTCAGAAAATAAGGCCTAAGATATGGTACAAAATATTATTTACTCTCAAAATAATCTTGTCCCAGAAAATACAAGTTGAGGGCTTGAAGCTGAACATGAGTCTACATTTGAGACTACTGACCTGACTTCATCTGTGATGAAATGTTCGAGAGAACTAGGCCTGGTTCACACTCATTACAAGTTAGTCTTTTTGGGTGTACGTGACACTTGAGTTTCACAGCACCAAACTGCAACTGCCAACCATGGCCAATCTGCGGCAATAAGTTAAAATACAATAGCAGAAGTCCTATATTATTATCAGGTTCATGGGGAAGCGCTAATACCATATGGGTCACACAGCATCTGGGGAATGGGAGGCAATCAGGTTTGATCCAAGAGAGGCATAGGTAGCTCAAATTCCTTGGATCAAGAGCCACACATCAACACACACCACCCCCTTGAGGCAAAAATTCCCATAAACTTGTGTACTCTACATCTACAGAACTCTATACCTTAATTTTTCCTGACCTAGGGCTCGTCCTAGAAGGCTGACAAAGAGGAAGAGAGATGTGATAATCACATACAGTATAACACTGTCAAAAGATATGAACGAATTTAGAAGGAAAATTTCATAACCCCATCAACAGGCAGAACGTGATGTCAAAACAATATGCCAAAAAAGAGAGACACAAATGATACCCAGAAAGTTCATGAATACTTGTAATTTAGTTCAATACAACAATGGATTGATGAATTAAGCACAAGGTACCACCTTATCCCTTGGCACTTCTTTATTAGTTCATAGCTATGATCCCTTGTTTCCCATACCTGGAGTATACCAGGAGGGGGGCTTTGGGGGTCAACACCCCTGCGGCCCCATACATGACTAGAACCAGTTAGAAAATCTTCCTTATTAATTCCTTCATACACTTAAATAATCTTATACAGTACAGTAGTACCCCAAGTTTCGGCCATAATTCGTTCCAGAAGGCTGTTCAAGTGCTGTTACCGAACGAATTTGTTCCCATAAGGAATAATGTAGATTAAATTAGTCCATTTCAGACCCCCAAAAATACACTTACAAAAGCACTTACAATAATACACTTACATAACTGTACGAGTTGGGAGCTGTAGGAAACTTGGGGTACCAATGTACTCTACGTGGTACACAAATAACCCGCACATAAAAGAGAGAAGCTTACGATGACGTTTCGGTCCGACTTGGACCATTGACAAAGTCACACTAACAGAGGTGGAGCAGGACAGCTATATATAGGCAGGAAGAGGTGGTGGTGGCGGCGGCAGCAGCAGCAGCAGCGGCGGCAGCGGCGGCGGCGGCAGAGGCGGCAACAGCGGCAGCAGCGGCAGCAGCGGCAGCAGCGGCAGCAGCAGCAGTAGTTTTAGCAGTTTTAGCAGAGGACCTGTCTTCCCTACTTCGAACTCGAACAGTCGCCGTCTAGTTGAATCCTCTCTAATACACAACTTTCCTTGTATGAACCTTAACCCTGGCTTCGTCGCTGTAGATGCCTTCCTCTCCCACTACATTGTAAAATGCTCCAAACTTCAGAACACCCATGACTTAACCTGAATCCTCATTTTTTCTTTCTTTTTCTTCTTCCTCTTCCCCTTTCCTCTTTCCTTTTCTCCTCTGGGTTGTCTTTCTCTCTCCTGTCTCGTGTTTCTGTTCCTTCTTCATTTATTTTATTTCACCACTTCCCCTTTCATGCACCTCTGTGCGCTTGCTCTCCCTCTGTGGGCATCTAGCTCTCTTGCAGTGCTCCCCTTCCTTGTTTTTGACTGGCTCATCATCCTTATTTCCCACTTCTACCACTACCACTACTACTACCTCTTCTTCTTCTACTACTTCTACAACTACTGATGAAATTAAGACACATGTGCGGCGTCTGGTTGTCTTTGTTGTGGACATTTCGCCATCCAGTGGCTGGCTGGATGGCGAAACGTCTATGATGGGGATGCCCGGGTGTTGTGCATGTGTCTTAATTTCATCTTGTCGGTATTATATACAATTCTTGTACTACTACTACTACTACTACTACTACTACTACTACTACTACCTCCACCTCTTCCTGCCTATATATAGCCGTCCTGTTCCACCTCTGTTAGTGTGACTTTGTCAATGGTCCAAGTCGGACTGAAACGTCGTCATAAGCTTCTCTCTTTTATGTGCGGGTTATTTGTGTATCGTTCCAGTCATGGTATTGTGCCTTTTTGTTATTTACTCTACGTGGTTATCACCTCATCTCTTATCTTCCTATCAGCCAGCGAAGGCATGTCTAATGTAGGTTATTCAGGGCAAGGACTGACAGAAGCATTAGGCAACATACAAGCTCCTGTACTTGACTATTCCTCCATGGGTTTCATATGAAATACAAACACAAACTTACTTCCACCTCTTGGCTGGTCTCCCTCGCCTCACTAAGACGTACTCCATTGACAAAAGTACCATTATTACTTCCTAGATCTTTTATAAAATAATGATGATCGTCAGGGCCATCTGATTTGTAGCTGATTTCTGCATGAACCTAAAATGGAAAATTTTGAATAATTAGATATACAAATGACAATTTAAAATATTTACATGCACAATGTAACAAATTCTGATTGTATAAGATTATTGAATAATCAAATTTTAAGAATTATTATTATATTTACGCAAAGCGCTAAACCAATGCTAGTCACACAGCACAAGGTGTGGTGAAGGCTCAATCCTCCATCCACTAATTTGCCTAGTTGTGTATAATTCCAACAAGTTATAATAAAAACTGGAAAGGAAACTCAAGCACTAAATTTGCATACATTATAACACCCATGTCTGAGATAGTAGAGGGAGCAGAGAATATAAATGGCAACTAAAGACAGAAGAGTCCTATGGATGTTAGGAAGCACTTTCTCAGTCCTAAGGTGATAGTGGATTCTGGCAAAGTGGTGAAGGCGAACACTATGCACAATTTCAAAAAATATCATCAAGGCCTGGAGGCTAGTACATCAGTAAAACCAGTCTATTAGTCAAGAGATAGGCCCAGGAGCAATGACTCAACTTCTACAAGCACAACTAAGTGTATACAGTGGACCCCCGCATAACGATTACCTCCGAATGCGACCAATTATGTAAGTGTATTTATGTAAGTGCGTTTGTACGTGTATGTTTGGGGGTCTGAAATGGACTAATCTACTTCACAATATTCCTTATGGGAATAAATTCGGTCAGTACTGGCACCTGAACATACTTATTGAGTGAAAAAATATCGTTAACCGGGGGTCCACTGTATAATGTAACAAAAATGTCAGTTTTCAAAATGATACGTTTAGCAATTCCTTCTGAAATTAAATTTCCCCTATATTACCTGTTGGAAGTGCATCCAAAATAAAATGTTTTACTAAAGGCCCAGATAAACATAGCCACAGCCCATACTAGAACTGTGAGGAGGATTGAGAAACTCCCAGCAAAACCCCTACTAATGGGTTACAAGCCTGAAATGTAGAGTTCATTTATACTTGTCTACTATTATAATCAAAAAAGAAGCGCTAAGCCACAAGGACTATACAGCGTTACTTGTCTACTTCCAGCAGGGATTGAGTCTTGGATATTAACCCTGCCTCTCAACTACTCATGAACATTTACATATCACGAACACAATATCTCTATAGTTTCTAGCTGAACTTATGAGAGAAGCACTATAGACAAACCCCAAAATGGGAGAGCACTTTATTTTAGCCATATGTCTTTGCAAGTCATGCTGAGGACATACTTGCCAAGGACAGATACAAAAAATATTTTAAGAAAACATATAATATAGTACACAAATAACCCGCACATAAAAGAGAGAAGCTTACGACGACGTTTCGGTCCGACTTGGACCGAAGTCGGACCGAAACGTCGTCGTAAACTTCTCTCTTTTATGTGCGGGTTATTTGTGTATCGTTCCAGTCACGGTATTGTGCCTTTTTGTTATTTATTATATAATATAGTAGACAAAGTATTGAACATACTAAACTTACCTGAATGCAATAAATTAACAATACACTAAGACAAATTAATTACCTATTAACCACCCATCTATGGTTTGTTTTTGCCATTTATTTTTTTACATAATTTTTTCCTAATCTATATGGTAAAATGCTCCTCAGATTTCTATTAATCTTTATGGGTCACCTACCCACCAAAGTAGGTGACCCATAAAAGAAAGACTTTCACCATCATTCACACTATCACTATCTTGCCAGAGGCATGCACATATGACAAGTTTAGATGTCCCCCTGAACAGCAAATATCCCAAACCCCTCCTTCAGAGTGCAGGCACTGTACACAATAAACTATCAAAGAAAAGCACTAATTACATGTGTGAACCTTATCTTACCTTACTGATGGTGAGGTCTGGAAGCTGAACCAAATTCCGAGACTCTCGGCCTACTGTTCCACCATTCAGTGTGATTAGGTGCAGTGTTCCCACCTTGATTCTCCCACTATCGCTCTCTGTCACCATTAACCGTAATGATGGCGGTATATGAACTTCTTCCTCTGTTTTAGAATAAATAAAAAACTGGTTGCAATAATGGAGTTCCAAAAAAATTACACATACAGTACACATATATATACTCTCAGATTAAAATACTGAACATATAAGAACTTGCAAAAGTAACATACAATGCTACAGTTTCCATAAACTAACGAAGAATAATTAGCTGGGTGAAAAAGCTTCGAGTCTCTTATTCGTTCTTTTCACAACATTAAAGTTACTGGCTAAGAGTCAACATTCTGACTCAGCTTACTTCAAACTACAGCCCTAAGGCATACTAACAACCCCTAGGATGCAACTTACAGCTGTTGGCTAACACTAAGGTACTGTACTTATTTAGTTTTAGGTAAACCTTTACACAAAGTGTAATTGGTCATCTCTATCTGTCCTAACCCACCAGATAATCAAAAACAGGTCTCAGTGCTTATAAGCCAAGTTATCCACCATTGAGCCACAGGCTACTTTACCAGGTAAGAGAATCATCACAATTGTTGTAGATTGCATAATATGAAGTGCTAAACCTGTGTAGGTCATTTAGCATATGGAGTGGTAGAGGTTAGATATTCTGTCCGCTGATATGAGGCGCACACACTACATTAGCAGACAAAACTAACCCCCTCAAAGGAAGATAAGACAATACACAAATAACCCATAGAAGACTGCAACTTGTGACAACGTTTCTGTCCAACTTAAACCATTAACTAGTCACACCACGTGACTAGTTAATGATCCAAGTTGGACTGAAACATCATAAGTTCAGTTTCCTACATGAAGGTTATTAGTGTATTGTTCCAGCCACAGTATTGTGCCTTATTATTCTTCCCCAGAAAAGACAAGCACATTTATTACTATACTTCCCTTAAAACTGATCCCCAGGCCTCACTGGTAAGAACCACTAGTTCTTACCAGTATTAAGCTAGGAATGTCTGTCTCTCCCCCTTTTCAATACAGAATCATCAAGCATTTAAAATTTTTGCATGGTGTACTCAATTTTCAAAGGTACAAATAAAATGAGAGTTACTAACTGAAGGTATTTTCCTGTTAAGTTTTGCTCTCTGGCAAATTCTGACTACTTCACAGCATACTGTATATTACATATTTACAAGGAACCAATAAATATGTAATGGTCATAAATTACCAAGAGAATGGAAAGCCTTGACTCAAGAAAGAGGAGGGAAGTTCGAATTCCTTGTATCAAGAGACTTTTACCAGCACCAGGATAATCCCCTTGATAGGACTGTTAAACATATTATTATTATTATGAATGCACCGAAGTATCAATATTAGATGATTATGACTGTATAGTACTGGCCTAAAACTGAGTATCAGTAGTGGCAAAATATTTGTAGTCCCATCCCTAATTATTATCATTATTTTTTTTTTTTCAACAAGTCGGCCGTCTCCCACCGAGGCAGGGTGACCCAAAAAAGAAAGAAAATCCCCAAAAAGAAAATACTTTCATCATCATTCAACACTTTCACCACACTCACACATTATCACTGTTTTTGCAGAGGTGCTCAGAATACAACAGTTTCAGAAGCATATACGTATAAAGATACACAACATATCCCTCCAAACTGCCAATATCCCAAACCCCTCCTTTAAAGTGCAGGCATTGTACTTCCCATTTCCAGGACTCAAGTCCGACTATATGAATATAACTGGTTTCCCTGAATCCCTTCACTAAATATTACCCTGCTCACACTCCAACAGATCGTCAGGTCCCAAGTATCATTCGTCTCCATTCACTCCTATCTAACACACTCATGCACGCTTGCTGGAAGTCCAAGCCCACAAAACCTCCTTTACCTCCCCTTTCCAACCCTTTCGAGGACGACCCCTACCCCTCCTTCCTTCCCCTATAGATTTATATGCTTTCCATGTCATTCTACTTTGATCTATTCTCTCTAAATGACCAAACCACCTCAACAACCCCTCTTCTGCCCTCTGACTAATGCTTTTATTAACTCCACACCTTCTCCTAATTTCCACACTCCGAATTTTCTGCATAATATTTACACCACACATTGCCCTTAGACAGGACATCTCCACTGCCTCCAACCGTCTCCTCGCTGCTGCATTTACCACCCAAGCTTCACATCCATATAAGAGTGTTGGTGCTACTATACTTTCATACATTCCCTTCTTTGCCTCCATAGATAACGTTTTTTGACTCCACATATACCTCAACGCACCACTCACCTTTTTTCCCTCATCAATTCTATGATTAACCTCATCCTTCATAAATCCATCCGCCGACACGTCAACTCCCAAGTATCTGAAAACATTCACTTCTTCCATACTCCTCCTCCCCAATTTGATATCCAATTTTTCTTTATCTAAACCATTTGATACCCTCATCACCTTACTCTTTTCTATGTTCACTTTCAACTTTCTACCTTTACACACATTCTCAAACTCATCCACTAACCTTTGCAATTTTTCTTTAGAATCTCCCATAAGCACAGTATCATCAGCAAAAAGTAACTGTGTCAATTCCCATTTTGAATTTGATTCCCTATAATTTAACCCCACCCCTCTCCCGAACACCCTAGCATTTACTTCTTTTACAACCCCATCTATAAATATATTAAACAACCATGGTGACATTACACATCCCTGTCTAAGACCTACTTTTACCGGGAAGTATTTTCCCTCTCTTCTACACACCCTAACCTGAGCCTCACTATCCTCATAAAAACTCTTAACAGAATTTAGTAACTTACCACCTATTCCATATACTTGCAAATCTGCCACATTGCTCCTCTATCCACTCTATCATATGCCTCTTCTAAACCAATAAATGCAATAAAAACTTCCCTACCTTTATCTAAATACTGTTCACATATATGCTTCAATGTAAACACTTGATCTACACATCCCCTACCCACTCTGAAGCCTCCTTGCTCATCTGCAATCCTACATTCTGTCTTACCTCTAATTCTTTCAATTATAACCCTACCGTATACTTTTCCTGGTATACTCAGTAAACTTATTCCTCTATAATTTTTACAATCTCTTTTGTCCCCTTTCCCTTTATATAAAGGGACTATACATGCTCTCTGCCAATCCCTAGGTACCTTCCCCTCTTTCATACATTTATTAAACAAAAGTACCAACCACTCCAACACTATATCCCCCCTGCTTTCAACATTTCTGTCATGATCCCATCAGTTCCAGCTGCTTTACCCCCTTTCATTCTATGTAATGCCTCACGTACTTCCACCACACTTACATTCTGCTCTTCTTCACTCCTAGAAGATGGTATAACTCCCTGGCCAGTGCATGAAATTACCGCCTCCCTTTCTTCCTCAACATTTAAAAGTTCCTCAAAATATTCTCGCCATCTACCTAATACCTCCCTTCCCCATCTACTAATTCCCCTACTCTGTTTTTAACTGACAAATCCATACTTTCCCTAGGCTTTCTTAACTTGTTTAACTCACTCCAAAATTTTTTCTTATTTTCATTAAAATTTCTTGACAGTGCCTCTCCCACTCTATCATCTGCTCTCCTTTTGCACTCTCTCACCACTCTCTTCACCTTTCTTTTACTCTCCATATACTCTGCTCTTCTTATAACACTTCTGCTTTGCAAAAACCTCTCATAAGCTACCTTTTTCTCTTTATCACACCCTTTACTTCATCATTCCACCAGTCACTCTTCTTTCCTCCTGCCCCCACCCTCCTATAACCACAAACTTCTGCCCCACATTCTAATACTGCATTTTTAAAACTATTCCAACCCTCTTCAACCCCCCCACTAGTCATCTTTGCACTAGCCACCTTTCTGCCAATAGTCGCTTATATCTCACCCGAACTTCCTCCTCCCTTAGTTTATACACTTTCACCTCCCTCTTACTTGTTGTTACCACCTTCCTCTTTTCCCATCTACCTCTTACTCTAACTGTAGCTACAACTTAAATAATGATCCGATATATCAGTTGCCCCTCTATAAACATGTACATCCTGGAGCCTACCCATCAACCTTTTATCCACCAATACATAATCTAACAAACTACTTTCATTACGTGCTACATCATATCTTGTATATTTATTTATCCTCTTTTTCATAAAATATGTATTACTTATTACCAAATTTCTTTCTACACATAGCTCAATTAAAGGCTCCCCATTTATATTTACCCCTGGCACCCCAAATTTACCTACTACTCCCTCCATAACATTTTTACCCACTTTAGCATTGAAATCCCCAACCACCATTACTCTCACATTTGATTCAAAACTCCCCATGCATTCACTCAACATTTCCCAGAATCTCTCTCTCTCCTCTACACTTCTCTCTTCTCCAGGTGCATACACATCTACTATAACCCACTTTTCACATCCAATCTTTATTTTACTCCACATAATCCTTGAATTTATACATTTGTAGTCCCTCTTTTCCTGCCATAGCTTATCTTCAACATTATTGCTACTCCTTCTTTAGCTCTAACTCTATTTGAAACCCTGACCTAATCCCATTTATTCCTCTCCATTGAAACTCTCCCACCCCCTTCAGCTTTGTTTCACTTAAAGCAGGACATCCAGTTTCTTCTCATTCATAACATCCACAATCATCTCTTTCTTATCATTTGCACAACATCCACGCACATTCAGACTTCCCACTTTGACAACTTTCTTCTTATTCTTTTTAGTAATCTTTACAGGAAAAGGGGTTACTAGCCCATTGTTCCCGGCATTTTAGTTGACTTTTACAACACGCATGGCTTACGGAGGAAAGATTCTTATTCCACTTCCCCCTGGATATAAAAGGAAAAGTAATAAGACCAAGAACTATTAAGATAAAATCAAAGAAAACTCCGATGAGTGTGTATAAATAAACGTGTACATGTATGTGTAGTGTGACCTAAGTGTAAGTAGAAGTAGCAAGACATGCCTGTAATCTTGCATATTTATGAGACAGACAAGACACCAGAAATCCTACCATCATGTAAAACAATTACAGGCTTTCGTTTTACACTCACTTGGCAGGACGGTAGTACCTCCCTGGGTGGTTGCTGTCTACCAACCTACTACCTATATATTATCATTATAATTATTATTATTATATTCAGGGGAAAGCACTCAATCCATCAAGGTCAAACAGCACTTATTGGATTGAAGGTAATCAGGTTTGCTTCTTTAATTTCTTAGATCAAGAGCCCTTTATTAGTATCAACAAACCCTCTTCAAGGGACTTTTAAACATAAAATATACATGTACAGTGAAGCTGAGAATATGAAGTCACATTCTATTTACAAATTACAATGGAAACTGTTCTACCTTCATTTTCATTCGAGTCTTCAGACATCCCAGTGTCTTCACCGATTTCTTTAATTACTTCTATTTCTTCCTCACTGCCTACTGCTACTTCATCCTTATTGTCTTCTTCGTCTGTGTCTGAACATTCTCCTTCCTCTTTTTCTGCCACATTAATGGCCTTCAAGTTAGTTAGCTTTTTCTTTTTTTCCTGAAAATCACAAAATTTCATCTTCAGTCACTGTCAGATGATGAGGATGATGATGATTATGACAGTGCCTACACTCAGATGAACTGTAGTATCTGCACACCTCTGGCAAGACAGTGATGGAGTGAGTGATGATGAAAGCGTTTTTTTCTTTTTCGGGTCACTCTGCTTCGGTGGGAAACGCCCAATGAGCTGATAAAAAAAATCATGAAGTGAATGGAATTTAACCCTTTCAAGGTCCGCCCCGTAGATCTACGGCTTTACGTTCAGGGTCCAAACCGTAGATCTACGCCATGAACTCAGCTCACTCTGATAAACTGTGAGTGGTACATTTGGGCCTAGATATGAGAGAATACATCTATGTGGTATGTGTGCACCACATAAAACAGATCCTGCAGCACACTGTGTATAATGAGAGAAAAAAAATGAAATCATGATTCTTCGATTAAAACAGCAACTTTGCAGTGTTTTTTCGTATGTTTTTTATAGTTGTATTTGCGATTTCTTGGTCTCATTTGATAGAATGGAAGACATATTACAGAAATAGAGATGATTTTGATTGGTTTTAGCACTGGAAATGGCTTGAAACTGAGCTCAAAGTAGCAGAAATGTTAAATTTTTGCCGATATTCAAGAGTAAACAAACGACCTCACACGTCTAATACACGTCAGCTGGTGGGTCTAATATACATTCACAAATATGGTGATGATATTTATACATTATTACAGTATTGCATAACAGTAAATCTCTATTTTTTGGTGTGAATAAAAATTCATTATGTGAATAAAAAATCAAAATGGAATTTATTTGTAAAGCCTCAAAACATAACTAATGAACAGAGGAAATGTTAGTTTAGTGCCAGGAATGCCTACATTGTTCATTCTGGACCCTATTTTGAAATTGGAATATATTTTGAACTTTGTGTTAAATTGGCCAAATTAACAATTTCCGATCACTTTATTTTGTAGTTGAAACAGTTGACTTGGCGATTTCTTGTGCTCAATCGATAGAATAGAAGTAATACTAGTGAAATAGCTAAGAATTTGGTTGATTGGAATAATGTAATTGGCCTAAAATGGGAGTCAAAATCAGCAAAATCGCCGATTCGTAAATATCGCTGACACATCAAAATTCGCGAGAGCATAATTTCATCAATTTTCCACCAAATTTCTTACTTTTTGTTTTATTACCTTCACAAAAAGATTCTCTACGATTTCATAAGAAAAAATAACAAATTTTTTTTTTGAAAATTCTTGGACACTGGTGCGTGACTCCAGATTTGGGCCTTGGACCCTGAAAGGGTTAAACTCAGTCTGGCTCTCCAATGATTACCCAGTAAATTTGGTTGAACAATCTGACTCTGTGGTCTAGTGACTAAGTACTCTGAGCTGGTAATTCCCAGACTAACAAAATCACTCACTAACACATACCTGCTGAGTCTCCTCATCACCCTCATCTTTCTTTAGCTTTCTTTTGCCTTGGTTCTTCGTTGCAACCTGAGAGTAAAACTCATAGGCCTGTTTGGTATGGTCATAGTAGAAGTATGTGCCTGTCTTTCCATCATAGTACAGACCATTCTCCTGCAAGCATTATGAAAAATATAATACGTACATTATTTTATCTTATATTAATATAGTACACAGTATGGGAATATAAATACGTACAATATAGAGGGTCGCCAAGGTACAAACACGTGTTCCAGGTGTTCCACCTTACAGTAGAGATTTTTGCAATTAAGAACATATAGAAATGAATACTACATTCTGTACTGTATAAAGGGCTGTTTTGTATTACTCATAATGCTTAACTTATTTCATATGGACCAAGGAAGGATAACCCAAAGAAACCATTTGCTCTTTCTTCTGTGGTCAGATTACCTTAATGTTAAGAGGTTTGATGTGCTTATGAGACTTACTAGAGACTCAAGTAAGCCAGATATTAATACTATTTACTAACATAAGGACAAAAAAGCTTTGAAAATGAATTAAGACATAACCAAAGACAAAATCAAATATATTAAAATTTGTAAAAGACAAGGCTAAAAGTAAAGGACAAGATATAAGGAACAGAGAATGGCAAAACTGCCAAATCCGAGGAGGAATAGTGTAAGATACAATAGTGTACACTAAGTTGCAAAATAATATTACCGAAATAGTCCTTTAGATGAAGAAAATTTGAACCCCTGGAGGATGTTTACCTGGATGGTGTTTTGGGGATCAATGTCCCCACAGCCCAATCCATGACCAGGCCTCGCAGTGGATCAGGGACTGATCAACCAGGCTGTTACTGCTGGCCACATGCAAACAGATGTACGAACCACACCCCGGCTGTTCAGGAACTGACTTTAGGTGCCTGTCCAGCTTCTTGAAGACAGCCAGGAGTCTATTGGTAATCCCCCTAACAATTAATAAGAACCCCCCTATACTGTGTGTACCTGTGGTCAACCAGGACTCTTGGGAGTATACACACCCCTGCCCTGCAACATGCAAAAAAAACAAACACACACACACACACACACACACACACACACACACACACACACACACACACACACACACACACACACACACACAGAACCCTAATATTCAATCATATCACAAATATCAGCTCCACAAACTTCTATTACACATTGTATAATTTCAAGATGGGACACTATATACAAGACAAATATTTGAAGGCCTTTCACAAGAGTCTATGTAGCTTTGTATTCATTTATTTGTATGACCCATAAGGGTCATACAGATCCTGGGAAATAAATGATGATCAAGATTGATCCCAGAAAGAAAACGACAGCTCTAATTCCTTGGATCATGGGCCTTTCTCCAGCATTAATGCACCACCCTCTTGTAGGAATTAGTTGCAAGGCACTTCCATCTTGAAGGAACTAGTTCCAAGGCACTTCCCTCTTGAAGGAATTGGTTTCCTCTACCCCATACCTATTTTTTGTCACAATGGCCATCTCCCACCAAGATAGTCATACGGAAACACATGCACCATCATTCACTCTATACCTATCTTACCAGAAGTATGAAGACCATCACAATTCAAATAACACACTAAAGTGCAATATTCCCCAACCTTCCTTCAGTGCAGACACTGTACCACTAACCAGTACAACCCTCCTTCAGTGCAAGCACTGTACCACTAACCAGTACAACCCTCCTCCAGTGTATGCACTGTACCGCTAACCAGTACAACCCTCCTTCAGTGCAGGCACTGTACTGCTAACCAGTACAAACCTCCTTCAGTGCAGGCACTGTACCACTAACCAGTACAACCCTCCTTCAGTGCAGGCACTGTACCACTAACCAGTACAACCCTCCTCCAGTGTATGCACTGTACCGCTAACCAGTACAACCCTCCTCCAGTGTATGCACTGTACCGCTAACCAGTACAACCCTCCTTCAGTACAGGCACTGTACTGCTAACCAGTACAAACCTCCTTCAGTGCAGGCACTGTACTGCTAACCAGTACAACCCTCCTTCAGTGCAGGCACTGTAACTGCTAACCAGTACAACCCTCCTTCAGTGCAGGCACTGTACTGCTAACCAGTACAACCCTCCTTCAGTGCAGGCACTGTACTGCTAACCAGTACAACCCTCCTTCAGTACAGGCACTGTACTGCTAACCAGTACAACCCTCCTTCAGTACAGGCACTGTACTAACCAGTACAACCCTCCTTCAGTGCAGGCACTGTACTGCTAACCAGTACAACCCTCCTTCAGTACAAGCACTGTACTGCTAACCAGTACAACCCTCCTTCAGTACAGGCACTGTACTGCTAACCAGTACAACCCTCCTTCAGTACAGGCACTGTACTGCTAACCAGTACAAACCCTCCTTCAGTACAGGCACTGTACTGCTAACCAGTACAACCCTCCTTCAGTACAGGCACTGTACTGCTAACCAGTACAACCCTCCTTCAGTGCAGGCACTGTACTGCTAACCAGTACAACCCTCCTTCAGATACAGGCACTGTACTAACCAGTACAACCCTCCTTCAGTGCAGGCACTGTACTGCTAACCAGTAACAAACCCTCCTTCAGTACAAGCACTGTACTGCTAACCAGTACAACCCTCCTTCAGTACAGGCACTGTACTGCTAACCAGTACAACCCTCCTTCAGTACAGGCACTGTACTGCTAACCAGTACAACCCTCCTTCAGTGCAGGCACTGTACTGCTAACCAGTACAACCCTCCTTCAGTACAGGCACTGTACTAACCAGTACAACCCTCCTTCAGTGCAGGCACTGTACTGCTAACCAGTACAACCCTCCTTCAGTACAAGCACTGTACTGCTAACCAGTACAACCCTCCTTCAGTACAGGCACTGTACTGCTAACCAGTACAACCCTCCTTCAGTAACAGGCACTGTACTGCTAACCAGTACAACCCTCCTTCAGTACAGGCACTGTACTGCTAACCAGTACAACCCTCCTTCAGTACAAGCACTGTACTGCTAACCAGTACAACCCTCCTTCAGTACAGGCACTGTACTGCTAACCAGTACAACCCTCCTTCAGTACAGGCACTGTACTGCTAACCAGTACAACCCTCCTTCAGTACAGGCACTGTACTGCTAACCAGTACAACCCTCCTTCAGTACAGGCACTGTACTGCTAACCAGTACAACCCTCCTTCAGTACAGGCACTGTACTGCTAACCAGTACAGCTAACTTGCTTCCCTGAATCCCTCTCCCTAAATCCAAAAGTACAGATAACTCATTAAGCAACTGAGCAAACACTTGATATTTTAATACTGTATACAAACACAGTATACAATACAGTACTCTATACATAAATAGTACTCAAAATACCCAGACATATATTTTTTCACTTCACCTGCTTTAATGTTAAACTTTAATTATGTCTACAGGTACTTTCTGGTCAAGCATTTGAGCCTCTGAAGAACATCTTGATATATTTTTGCGGCCCCAAAAAATTAATACGTAATTTTAAAATTCAAGTACACCTACCATCCGACTTACGACCTGCTCGACTTACGACCACTCGACTTACGACCATGTTTTTTATGCCAAATTTCTGGGAAATAAACAACTATTTGTGTTGTACACAGTGTTTATCCTAAACCTTGCAGTATAAAATACAGTACTAACAACATAAAAAGTAAAGTAAAACATGAAATACCAAAATAAAACAATAAAATAAAGTCATTACAAAAATGTTTTGTTGATATTCAGTAGTAAAGTTCGACTTACGACCATTTCGACTTATGACCGGTTTCTCGGAACCGAACTCGGTCGTAAGTCGGATAGTAGGTGTAGTTGGCAACACTAAAGTGTATTGTCTGTTGACATTTCAGGGGATCAACCTTAAGGCTTAATGTCAGACTAGGTCTCTTAAAGTGGAAAGAATAAATGTATAACAAGAATAAGAACTATTAAGAGACTACATAGGAAAGTACTAAGTGTACAATGAATGCAAGTACACAAATAGCCCATGCGGGTTATTTTTGTATTGTTCCAGTCATGGTATTGTGACTTTTTATTCTTCCTGAATGTAAACACTAGTAGACTAAGATTTTCCTGTAATTCTGTGCTCATAAGTATTGCTAAAATCTCAAAGAACAGAGGCAACTGAATGAAATTTTGTTAAACTTCATTAAATTGACATTAATAACTTAGCTACTCACAGCATTATAGTAGTATCCTGAAGTGTAATCAAAATAAAGTCCCAGGTCCTCTTGAAACACATAACCACTGCCATATACAGCCTCTGTAGCTACGGCCTTCACCTGATCCGTGACGCTCAGTTTTCCCGATGGATCCCACCCATAACCTTCACTCGAAGTTTTAATTTTCTTATTTTCACTTTCCTCTGTCATTTCAGGGGGGTGGTGATCAAGTTTGCTCTTTTTTCCGTTGCTTAACATATTTTGTTCGTAATTTTTACATGTGGTACTTACCATTTTTTCTGAATTTTCTGTTACTTTGTCTGAGAAACTAAGAGCAGAGGAGGTTGTTGCACACTCAATATCGTTCACTTTCTTCACTGGTTGTTGAACATGCCATTGTGATTCTTCTTGAGACTTACTTAATTCATCTTCCTTTGATCTTGTCTCCTTGGTCCACTTTTGATCACATTCTTCATTAGCTTCAGCCGTCTCACCTAAGCTTTGTGCTTGAATATCAGATCTCGTAGTGTCATGCTGACTCCCCTGACTGTCCAGTGATGTCTGAGCATCATGATCCGCTCTTTTATCTTCCTGGTGGCTCAGGCTGCTCTGTTCATTACTTTTCAAAGTACTCGTACAATTTTTGCCAGAGATAGAATCCTCCTCATTCCCTGTAGGATTGACTTGTGGTATAGAAGAGACTGTTGTCAGTTGAGCATAATGTCCGGGCCAGTAATGAGTGCTGGAGGGATCACTCTCACCATAATACTGATGCCAAGATCCACAATACCACTTATTCCAAGCATTAGCAAAGTCTTCATCTGTGGTTTGACAATTTTGGTCTCTCTTGTTTTGCCTACTCTTCCTCACTTGCTGCTTGAGGTCTACAATCTGAAATAATAGAATATAGTAAAAAAAATTCACATAGCAATTATTATACTCACATAAACTGCTAAACCAGTAGGGGCCATTTAACACTCATCAGCAGACAGTAAAAGAAGATAAGAGATAGTAGAAGAAAGAAGTGGAGTAGTTGAAGGAGTGATGACAGGAGGAAGGACAGGAGTTCATAGCCGGATTAAATCAGTGTCAGCTAAGAAACTGCAAAGTGAGTTTGCATTAAAAGTGGGACTAAAAGAAAGAAAAGGGCAGACAAAGCAAGCATGTCAGGGAATATAAAAGAGCATAACAGCCTGGTTGATCAGGCCCTGATCCACCATGAGGCATGGACTGGGCCACGGGGTGTTGACCTCTGGAACACCCTCCAAGTACACTCCAGGTAAGTGGCACGTTCTTGATGTAGGGACAATCAGTTTGGAGATGAGCTACTGACATGATGAGATGACATGAGAGTTTAAGTATGCAACACCATAGAGTACTAGTAACAATATCAGCAATGAAGAAAGCATTTAATCATAATTACTGCTGTTATAATCATGGGTGAGTGCCAAATTCTAAAGGGCCATACAGTACCTGGGAAAAGGAAGGAAATCAGGCTTGACTGTAATAAAGTGAAAGCAGCACCAATTCTTTGAAGGATCAGTTATTACAGGTGATCTTATGTATTTTTATTATATCCTGGAGTACACCTGGAGTCAATTCTGGGGGTCAACACCCCAGTGGCCTGGTCCCAGGCCTGACCTTCTGGTGGATGGCTGTTGATAGTAGCTGTATGCACCACTGTCCAACTGAACAGGAAATGACTTGAGGAACTTACCCAGTTCCCTCTTGAAGAAAGCTAAGGAGTCTGTTGGTCATGCCACTATGAACTAATTAAGGAGAAATAATTAACTCTCAAATGCACTTATAACCTAGTACACAAATAACCTGCACATAGGAGAAAGAAACTCATGATAATGTTTTGGTCTGGCTTGGACCATTAACTAGTTACACACTGAGACTAGTAAATGGTCCAAGTCAGACCAAAACATCGTCATAAGTTTCTTTCTCATACGTGCAGATTATTTGTGTATTGTTCCAGTCATGGTATTGCACCTTTTTGTTCCTTATAACTTAGTGGCAGATGTTGCAAGTGTATGGTGTAGGAGGTAGGTTACTGAAAGCAGTGAAGAGTTTTTACGAGGATAGTGAGGCTCAAGTTAGAGTATGTAGGAAAGAGGGAAATTTTTTCCCAGTAAAAGTAGGCCTTAGACAAGGATGTGTGATGTCACCGTGGTTGTTTAATATATTTATAGATGGGGTTGTAAGAGAAGTAAATGCGAGGGTCTTGGCAAGAGGCGTGGAGTTAAAAGATAAAGAATCACACACAAAGTGGGAGTTGTCACAGCTGCTCTTTGCTGATGACACTGTGCTCTTGGGAGATTCTGAAGAGAAGTTGCAGAGATTGGTGGATGAATTTGGTAGGGTGTGCAAAAGAAGAAAATTAAAGGTGAATACAGGAAAGAGTAAGGTTATGAGGATAACAAAAAGATTAGGTGATGAAAGATTGAATATCAGATTGGAGGGAGAGAGTATGGAGGAGGTGGAACGTATTCAGATATTTGGGAGTGGACGTGTCAGCGGATGGGTCTATGAAAGATGAGGTGAATCATAGAATTGATGAGGGAAAAAGAGTGAGTGGTGCACTTAGGAGTCTGTGGAGACAAAGAACTTTGTCCTTGGAGGCAAAGAGGGGAATGTATGAGAGTATAGTTTTACCAACGCTCTTATATGGGTGTGAAGCGTGGGTGATGAATGTTGCAGCGAGGAGAAGGCTGGAGGCAGTGGAGATGTCATGTCTGAGGGCAATGTGTGGTGTGAATATAATGCAGAGAATTCGTAGTTTGGAAGTTAGGAGGAGGTGCGGGATTACCAAAACTGTTGTCCAGAGGGCTGAGGAAGGGTTGTTGAGTGTTCGGACATGTAGAGAGAATGGAGCGAAACAGAATGACTTCAAGAGTGTATCAGTCTGTAGTGGAAGGAAGGCGGGGTAGGGGTCGGCCTAGGAAGGGTTGGAGGGAGGGGGTAAAGGAGGTTTTGTGTGCGAGGGGCTTGGACTTCCAGCAGGCATGCTTGAGCGTGTTTGATAGGAGTGAATGGAGACAAATGGTTTTTAATACTTGACGTGCTGTTGGAGTGTGAGCAAAGTAACATTTATGAAGGGATTCAGGGAAACCAGCAGGCCGGACTTGAGTCCTGGAGATGGGAAGTACAGTGCCTGCACTCTGAAGGAGGGGTGTTAATGTTGCAGTTTAAAAACTGTAGTGTAAAGCACCCTTCTGGCAAGACAGTGATGGAGTGAATGATGGTGAAAGTTTTTCTTTTTCGGGCCACCCTGCCTTGGTGGGAATCGGCCGGTGTGATAATAAAAAAAAAAAAAATAATAACTTAGTAAGGAGTATTTTTCATCCGTAGCAAAACATATTTTAACAATAACACCAAATTTTATCAAAATTATACATGCAATCAGTATCTCAATGTATCACCTCACAAGTTCATATAGAAATTTAAAAACTTTTAAACTTACCTTTAGCCTAAGATAGTCAGCATCTTGCTCTATCCTACGGCCCTTTGAGAGGAGGTCTAACAGCTTTGCATTGAGGGTATTGATAATGCTGTCTCGCAACCTCAGCTGGGATACAAGCAAGACTGGCCAATCATCAAGGGAAGGGTCAAGATCCTGAAGTGCATCCACAGACATAAAACCAACCTCGACTTGCATTGTGACTAGATCTGGGGAGTAATTACTAAATTCACTCGAATCCAGTAACTGGATAGCAGTCTGGGTTGCTCTGTTTATAGATGGGTTCCTTTTTTTATATTTCTTTTTTATTTTTTGACATTCGGAATTTTCAAGATTATCTATCTGACTATCTTTTTCTTCATATGTACAAGGTGAAACTTCTTCGGCAGCTCTAAGATCTGCAGTCCTTTGCTCATGTTTGCTTTCCAATAATGGCGCCTCATCAAGCTGTGGTTTTGGCATTTTGATGCTCTCTCTGGCACTTTCAGAAAAAATGGTATAACTGTTATTGGTACTTATATTTTTAGTATCTTGTTCAGTATCTGTTGTAGGCATATTTTCAAAAGCAAGTTCAGGCGTAGAAGCTGCTTCCTCATCTCTCCCATCCAGGATTTGCTGTTTTCCATCATCAAGGATAGATGCTTGTTCATTCTCTGTCTCATCCAGCAAAAGTTTTTTTCCATTGTCGAAGATAACGACACCTTCATAATCTCTATCTAATACTGGCTGGTCTTCATTATCAGGAGTATACACTCTCTTGACACCTCTTCCCTCAACCACCAAATGTTTGTTATCAGAGCTAATAGCCTTTTCACAATCTTTTCCATTCAATACCAGATCCTTTTCATTGTCTGGTGTTTCTACAGAATCCTCTTCATTACCACTGCGACTAGTAGTGTTAAATTCTTTTCCACTTTTTTCACTGGATTCAACAGATGGTTCTCTAACTGTTTTCAAAAAACTTGCAGGACTATCAGTGCTCTTACTTTCATGTGCAGATACTTTGCTTTCTACAACAGATTCTTCTGCCTCTGGTGAATTCTCATGACCACATCTGACACTGAGAGTAGGCAAATGTGTACCACTTTCTGATGAAAATTCTGAAACCAGCGTTCCTTCACTTATGTATAAAGAACTCTCCATGCGCAACACATCTTGTTTACTCTTCTCAACTGACTCCTCACAAACTTGCTCATCTGCCTTCAACACACTTTTCACACTAGTATTATTGCTATCTGTGGTCACTTATTTTTTTCGTAATCTATTATTGTCATGCTTTCCTTTGCCTCATCACCAATGGATTCCTGAGTGGTACTGGCACAACTGGTATCCATTTTCTCTTCACACTCAAGTACAGGTGCTTGGAGAGTTTCTTCTGTACTATCGACTAAAGATTCTGAAGCAACTGATTCTTCATCTGTTTCCAAGTAATTTGACATGTACAGCAGATCTTGTTTAGATTTTGCAACAGATTCCTCAGGTTTCTCTTCTGCCTTTAACAAATTCTTCACAACAGTACTGTCGTCGTTTGCCACCATTTCTTTATCACAATCCACTGCTGTTACAGTCTCATTTTTCTCATTACTTTTGGGCTCCTGGACAGTATTTGTGCCCACTTTCTCTTTATTCTCTAGCACTTGTTTCTGAGGAGTTTCTTCTGGGTTGTCCACTGATGATTCTGAAGACATTGATTCATCTCTTATTTCCAAGTAATTTGACATATGCAACAGATCTTTCTTGTCCTCTGCAACAGATACTTCTTGCTCTTCTTTCAAAGACTGGCACACACTACTGTCATTGCCATTTGTGCTGACTTCTTTATATCCAATCACTGTTATGGTCTTCTCTTCCTCATTACATTTATGTTCCTGGACAATATTGGGGCTACTGGTGTCTGGTTTCTCTTCACATTTAAGCACTGGTTCATGAAGAGATTCTTCTGTGTTGTCTGCTACAGATTCTGAAGCCACTGATTCTTCATCTGTTTCCAAGTAGTTCTCCATGTACAGAAGATCCTTTTTACCACATGTAATTGGTTCTTCAACTTGTTCTGCTTTTGATGAACTACTCAAAACTGTACTGCTATTTCCTACTTCTTCTTGTCCAGAATCCATTCCTGTTACAGTCTTATTCTCTGTATTACATTCAAACTCTTGAACAGTAATGGTCTGCATTTTCTCTTCATTCTTGAGCAATGGTGCCTGAAGACTTTCATCTCTGCTGTCTAATGAAGATTGTGAAATCACAGAATCTTCATATATCTCCGAGTAATTCTTTATGTAGAGCACACCTTGTTTGTCCTCTACAATTGATTCCTCAATATATTCATCTTCTGGATTCAAGAGGCTCTTCAAAACAGTACTGGTCGATTCCATTTTTCCTTTATTATAATCCATTTTCATTTCAATCACTTCTTTTTCATTAACTACGTAATTCTGAACAGCACTGGTACTGCTCGTGTCCATTTTCTCCTCACTCTCAAGCACTGGCGCCTGAAGACTCTCTCTTGTGCTGTTTAATGAAAATTCGGAAACCAACACTTCATTACTTTCTTTTAAGCATTTCTCAGTGTTTTGCATATTTTGTTGATCTTCGGCTACAACACGGTCATCAACAACTTGCTCCTCAAACTTTGATAAACTATTAATGGCAATACTGTTGCTGTTTGTTCCCGCTTCTCCTTTCTCACATTTTTTTACAACAGCAGCTTCAACATCATCTTTACATTTAGCTTCCTGAAGCATATTGGTTCTACTGGTATCCATTGTCTCCTCACTTCCAACCAATGATTGAAGAATTTCTTTTGTATGGTCTGCTGAGAATTTTGAACCTGCTAACTCTTCTTGTGGTTCCAAGCAATTCTGCATGTCTTGCACAACTTGTTTGCTTTCTGCAGTTGATTCCCCGGCAGCTTGCTCTTCTGCCTGCAATAAACTGTTTACAACAGTACTGCACGTTTCAACTTCCCCTTGTTCATACTCCATCACTGTTGTAATTTCATCTTTCTCATTACAAGTGGACTCTTGCCCAGTATTGGTGCTGCTGGTATCCATTTTTTCCCTACTCTCAACCTCTGGCTCCTCGAGAATTTCTTTTACGATATCTACTGAAGAGTCCGAAATTGTTGATTCTTCATTTTGTTCTAATGAATTCTTCTTGTCCAGCACAAGTTGCATGTCCTTTGCAACTGGCTGAACAACAATTTGCACCTCTGCCTCCAAACTGTCAACATTAGTAATGCTTGTTCCAACTTCTTTTTCATAATCCACTGATGCAGTTTTATCTTCAACAGTATGAGTATTAAATTTCTTTTCACTAACATGTACTGCCTCAAGAAGGTCTGTGTCTTTTAGCGGTTTTGAAGACAGTGAGTCTTCACCTGTTTCTAAGTAATTGGGTCTGCACAGAACACCTTGTATTGGCCTCTGCAACAGATTGTTCAACAACTTGCTCTTCAACCTTCAATTTACTGTTAATAGTACTGTTACTGTTTGCTCCTGCTCCTGTTATTTCAGAATTTATTGTTCCTTCAGCTTCATCTTGCTCATTTGATTTGTGATGTTGATCAATAATGGTGTTACTAGTGTCTGTTTTCTCCTGTTTTTTAACGACAGATTCCTCGAGAAATTCTGTGCTGTCTAATGAAGATTCTGAATCCACCAATTCTTTATCTGTTTCCAAAGAATTCTCAGTGTCCATCACAACTTCTTTGCCTAGTGTGCCAGATTCTTCAACTCGTTCATCACCCTTCAATAAACAGTTTACAGCAGTACTCTTGCTGTTTGCCTCCATTTCTTGTTCATAATCCCCAGTTTCAATATCATCATATTTGTAATTCTGAACATCTTTGGTGCTACTGGTGTCCATTTTTTCCTTCTTCTCAATCACAAGGTCTTCATGAATTTCTAGGCTGTCTATTGAAGATTCTGAATATGCTGATTCTTCATCTGTTTCAACTGATTCATCATCTGTGTACGGTACATCCTCTTGGGCCTCTGCAACAGATTCCTCAAGAACTTGATCTTCAGTATTAAACAAACTAGTCACAACAGTACCACTGTCATTTGCTCCCACTTCTCTTTCTGCATTATCTATTATAGTTGTAATTTTGTCTGTCTCGTTATATTTGGAATCTTGAACAGTAGTGGTGCTACTGGTGTCCATTCTCTCATTACATTCCACCACTGGTTCCTCAAGAATTTCTTCGGTACTGACTATTGAAGATTCTGAATAAAGATCATCTTGCTTGTCCTCTTTAACAGATTCTACAATGACTTGTTCTGTCTTTAACAAACCACTGACATCAGTACTGCTTGTCCCTGCTTCTATTTTTTCATGATCCATTGCTGTTGCAGGTTCATGATGTTTGGACTTCTGAACAGTACTGGAGCTACTGATGTCCATTTTTTCTTCGCCTAAATGCACTGGTGCCTCAAGAATTTCTTCTGTTCTGTCTAATAAAGATTCTGAATCCACTGATTCTTTATCTGTTTCCCCACAGTTCTCTGTGTACAGCACCTCTCTCTTGCTCTCAGCAAATGATTCCTTTGCAACTTGCTCATCAGTAATCAAACTGGCTACAGCTGCACTCTTGCTGTTTGCTTTTTCTTTGCCTTTCTCTATTTCACTCTCATCTTCATTACATTTCAACACCTGAACAGCACTACTGTCACTGGTGTCCATTTTCTCAAGCCTTGGTGCCTGAAATATTTCTTCTGTGCTGCTGTTTAATGAAGATTCAATATCTGCCGATTTTTTATTAATTTCCACATTTTTGTCTGTGTTGAGAACATCTTGTTTGCACTCGGCAACTGATTCCACATTTTGCTCGTCTGCCTTCAACAAGCTGCTTACAACAGCATCTTTGGACTCCTGGACAGTATCAGTGCAAATGGCAAATGTTTTTTCTTCAGCCTTGAACAATGGTATCTTAAAAATAGATTCTGAGCTGTCAGAAGAATCTGAATCCACCAATTCTTCCTCTTGTTTCAAGGAATTCTCTGGGTATGGTACATCATGTTTACCTTCTTCAACAGATTCCTCAATGACCTGTTCTGTTTTCAGTAAACTGGGGACAGTAGTGCTACTGGTTCCTACTTCAACTTTTTCATAATCCACTGTTCCTACTTCAACTTTTTCATAATCCACTGTTCCTACTTCAACTTTTTCATAATCCACTGTTTTAGTCTCATTACATTTCGACTGCCAACCAGTATGCATGCTACTGGTGTCCATTTTTTCCTTGCTGTCAATCACAGGGGCTTCAAGAGTTTCTTCTATGCTGTCTATTGAAGATTCTGAATACACTGAGTCTTCATCCGTTTCAACTGAGTCTTCATCTGTGAATTGTTCGGCTTGTTGGGCCTCTGCAACAGATTTCTTAAAATCTTGCTTGTCAGTGCTCAACAAACTGGTCACACCAGAACTGTGGTCATTTGTTTCTACTTCTCTTTTTTCATAACCAATTGATGTTGCAATTATATCTTTCTCATTATTCTTGGAATCCTGAACAGTATTGGTGTTACTGGTGTCCATATTTTCATTGGTCTCACCCACTGGTTCCTCGAGAACTTCATCGCTGACTACTGAAGATTCTGAATACAAAAGTTCTTCATTTTGTCGCAAAATATGCTCTGAGTACAAATCTTGTCTGTCTTCTACAATGGATTTTTCAGTGTTATGTTCTTCTTTCTTTAGTAAACTTGTGGCAACATTGCTGCCTTCCCCCACTTCATTTCTTTTGTGATCCACTACTGCTGCATTTTCCTGAACAGTATTGGTACTATGGAAGTTCATTTTTTCTTTACTATCAAGCAGTGGTGCCTCAAGTATTTCTTTTGTGCTCTCTACTGAAGAGTCTGAATTCATTGACTCTTTATTTGTTTTCAAGTAATTCTGTGTGCACAGCACATCTTGTTTGCACTCAAGATCCAATTCTTCAATTTGCTCCTCAGGTTGCAACACACTTTTTGCAGCAGTATGATCACTGTTTGTCTCAGATTCTTGTTCACAATGAATCGCTGTTTCTATTTCATCGTATTTACAATCCTGACTAGTGTTGGTGCAACTGGTGTCCATTTCTTCTTCACTCTCAGTTACTTGCTCCTTAAGATTTTCTTCAGTGCTGTCTAATGATGCGTCTGAATCTACCGATTCTTCATCCGTTTCCACACAGTTCTCTGTGTACGGCACCTCTTGCTTATTCTCAGCAACCAAATCCTCAACAACTTGGTCTTCTGCGTTTGAAACGCTGCCTACTACAGTTTTGTCCATTTCAACCATTTCTTTATTATAATCAATCCTAGCTACACACTCATCTTTTTCATTACCTTTGGACTCCCTAACAAGATTGGTGCAACTGGTATCAGTTTTTTCTTCACTCTCGAGAAATGGTATTTTAATCTTATCATCCGAGCTGTCAGAAGAATCCGAATCCATTGATTCTTCCTTTCCTTCCAAGTAATTCTCTGAGTAAAGAACATCATGTTTACTTTCTGTAAAGGATTCCTTAATAATCTGATCTGTTGTCAACAAACTGGGGACAACAGTACTGCTTGTTCCCACTTCAATTTTTTCACAGTTAATTGCTTCAGTCTCATTTCCTTTTGATTCCCAATCAGTACTGGAGCCACTGGAGTCCACTGTTAACTTGCTCTGAATTATGGATTCCTGAAGACTCTCTTCCGTGCTGTGTATTGACGATTCTGAATACACTGATTCTTCGTTCGTTTCAAAAGATTCTTCATCTGTGTACAGCACACCTTGTTGGACCTCTGTAACAGATTCCTCAATAACCTGCTCTTCAGTATTCAACAAACTGGCCACAACAGTACTGTTGTCATTTGTTCCCACTTCTCTTTTTTCATTAGCTATTGGTGATGAAATTTTGTCTCTCTCATTATATTTGGAATCATCAGTGGTATTGATAACATTGGTGTCCAGTTTTTCCTCACCCTCAATCATTGGTTCCTTAAGACTTTCTTCTACATTTTTTAATAAAGATTCTGAATGCATTGATTCTTCATCAGATTCCACATAATTTTCCATATTCAGAACTTGTTTATACTTTGTATGTGATTCTCCAACAATCTGCTCATCTACCTTTAACAAGCTGCTTACCACAGTGCTAACTGTTCCAATTTTTTCTTTATTACAATTAATCTCCATCACAGACTCCTCTTTTTCATTGCCTTTAGACTCCTGAACAGAACTGGTGCAACTGATATCCATTTTTTCTCCATCCATAAGCAGTGGTATCTTAAGATTATTTTCTGAAATGCCAGAAGAATCTAAATCCACTTTTTCTCTCGTTACTTCCAAATAATTCTTGGCATACAGAACATCATGTTTACCTTCTTCAGTGGATTCCTCAACAGTTTGTTCTCCTGTCTTTGACAAACTAATGACACCAGTATCACTTGTTTCCACTTTAGTTTTTTCAACATCTATTGGTGTTGTAGCCTCTACACATTTGGATTCCAAACCAGTATTGGTGCTACTGGTGTCCATTTTCTCCTTGCTCTTAGTCACTAATGCCTCAACAATTTCTTTTGTGTTGTCTAATAATGGTTTGGTGTGTGCAGATTTGCCATCAATTACTGTGTATTTCTCTGTGTGCAACACATCTTGTTTACTATCTACAACTGATTCATCGTCATCTTGTTCTTCTGGCTTCAGTAATCTGCTAGTCCTAGCTTCTCCTTTTACAATATGCATGGCTGTTACACTTTCATCATTAGTATTAGATTTTAATCCTAAACCAGTAGTGGCACTACTGGTTCCTGTTTCCTCCACACTCTCCAGAACACCTACTGTGTTATCTAATAAAGACTCTGAAATCACTGATTCTTCATCAGTTTCAAAGTAACTCTCTTTGTCTGGCACAACTTGTTTCTCTTCTGTACCTAATTTCTTAGCACCCTGCTTTTCTGCCTTTAAGAAACTGCTCATAACAGTACTGCTGTTGCTTGTCCCCACTTCTTGTCCATAATTCATTATCGTTACAGCTTTTTCCTCATCCTTATCTTTGGATTCCTGTACAATACTGGTGACACAGGTTCCCATTTCTTCCTCTTCGCTCTCAAGCTCTGCTTCCTGAAGTGCTTCTTCCGTGCTATCTGATGAAGATTCGGAATCCTCTGATTCGTCAATAATTTCCACATAATTCGGCGAGTACAACACCTCTTGTTGTTCTGCAAATGATTCTTCAGTAACTTGCTCTTGTGTCTTAAGTAAAATGTTAATAACATTGCTACTTCTGTTTGCTCCAATGTCTTGTCCATAATTCGCTACTGTTACGATTTTATGTTCCTTATTACACTGGGATTCCTGAGCAACACTGGTGTTATTAGTGTCCATTTTCTCTTCATTCTCTACCTCTGATTCTTCCATATTTTCTTCTGTGCTATCTAAAGAAGATTCTGAATACAATGATTCTTCACTTTGTTCCAAGTAATTATTCATGTTCACCGCACCTTCCTCTTCTGCCTTCACCAAAGTGTCGACCACAGTACTGCTCATCCCTAAGTCTCCTCTCTCAAATCCAAGTGCTGGAACAGTCATAGCTTTATCATTACATTTGGATTTTTGACCAGAAGTGGAGCTACTGGTTTCCATTTTCTCACTCTTAAGTGCTGATACCTGGAAAGTGTCTTCTGTGCTCTCTAATAGAGTCACTGAATCATCTGATTCATCGCTTGTTTCTACATAACTGTGTGTGTACAGCACAGTTTGTTGGTTAGCAACTGATTCCTCACAAACTTGCTTTTGTGCTTTCAACAAATTGGTCACAACATTACTATTGCTGCTTAATCCAACCTCTCCCTTTTTGTAATCCAGTATTGTCACATCATTATCTTCCTCATTACCTTTGGGTACCAGAACAGTACTGGTGCCACTGGTGCCCATTTTTTCATCATTCTCAGGAACTGGTGCCTGAAGAATTTCCTTCAGAATTTTCCTTGGAATGCCTACATGAGAATATACTGCTCTTACAGGATTAATTTGGTAATCCTCAAGTGGCGAGTCACTATCTTGCTCTTCCCTAACAGGTGCCTCATCGAGAGAAAGGCTGTCCACAGAACTGTCACCACTTTCCTCCTCTATGACAGAGCTGTCTGTAGAGCTATCATCACTCTCATCCTCCAGATCAGAGCTATCGCTAGAGCTTTCATTACTTTCGAGGATCTTCTCCTTACTAAGTGCTTGTTCTTGACTGCCCTCATCACAATCCATCTTTAAATTAGTTTTCTTGTTTCGTCCTTACAATGACACACTGCCACTCAAGGCTGGAAAGAGAACAATATTATTTAAGTATATTGCACAGACTAGGAAAGAACTAACCTAATATGGGAACTCTTTGTGCCTTGTTATATACCCAGAGAGCACCCTTGTTTCCTTCTCTATTACTGCCCAGTTTTAGAAATATTTCCTACCAGGACACTGGCTAGCAAGGCTCAATAAGGCACAGCCAAGTTGTCAATGACCCTTTATTATTAAAATCATGAAGCACTAATGAATGAGAGATGATCAGACTTGATCTGAGGAAAAGGAGGGTACCTCCAATTCTTTAGATCAAGAGCCCTTTACACTACATCTCTAAACTAATACAGTATAACAATACTGCCATTTATCTAGGTCTCTTATTTCCATATTTCATTGCCTAACAGTCTTAAACTGCTAAGCATTAAACCCATTAAAGCTCTTGGGGACTAGATACTTATTACATGTTCTGGGTTTTATTTTTATTTATGTTAGGCACTAAACCCATTTGGGTCATTCAGCGCAAGACATGATGGAAACTTAATTTTGGGGACTAAAAGGTAATCAGATTTGATCTAAGGATGACTAGCTTCAATTCCTAGAATCAAGAGCCCTTAACCAGCATCAAGGTACCCTTCATGAAGGATCATAGGACATCTGGAGAATAGGGAGACTAAGAACGAGAGAATTATATTAATGGTATACAATACCAAAGAGTAAACCTGGAGAGAGTTCCGGGGGTCAACGCCCCTGCGGCCCGGTCTGTGACCAGGCCTCATGATGGATCAGGGCCTGATCAACCAGGCTGTTACTGCTGGCTGCACGTAATCCAACATACGAACCACAACCCAGCTGGTCAGGTACTGACTTTAGGTGCCCGTCCAGCGCTTGCTTGAAGACAGCCAGGGGCCTATTGGTAATCCCCCTTATGTGTGCTGGGAGGCAGTTGAACAGTCTTGGGGCCCTGACACTTACTGTGTTGTCTCTTATCATGCTACTGGCACCCTTGCTTTTCATTGGGGGGATGTTGCACCGTACCTGGAGTTTACCTGGAGAGAGTTCCGGGGGTCAACGCCCCTGTGGCCCGGTCTGTGACCAGGCCTCCTGGTGGATCAGAGCCTGATCAACCAGGCTGTTACTACTGGCTGCATGCAATCCAACGTACGAGCCACAGCCCAGCTTGTAATAATCAGGTTTGATCCAAAGAGGGGAAAGGTAGCTCCAATCCCTAGGATCAAGATCCCTTAACCAGAATCAAGGTACCCCTCATGAAAAAATGTATTATAGGACGTCTGGAGAATAGGAAGACTAAGAATGAATTATATTAATGGTGAAAAATACCGATAAGTAATGGGTAGGAATGGGAGGAAATAATCAGGTTTGATCCAAAAAAGGGAAAGGTAGCTCCAATCCCTAGGATCAAGATCCCTTAACCAGAATCAAGGTACCCCTCATGAAGGGTGAAATTTTAAGACGCCTCGGTAACAAGAATAAAAATTTGAAAATTAAACTAATAATACACCATGCCGACAACTATATTAATAATAATGAGACGAGATAATCTTCTCTGATCCAAGGAAGGGGAGAGGTAACCCCAATCCCTAGGATGAAGAGCCCAACACAGCAAATAATACAAAGTACCACTTGCCGATAGTGGACTCAGAGGTCCGCCATGAGGTAATTACCACCACCTGAGTAATGTTAAAGGTTGTCTGAGTGCCACCTGCCACACTCACCACTCCTCACACCATCTGCCTCACTATACTCACACTATTACACTGCCTAAGTGCCATAAAGTAGGTCAACTGTGCACCAGACTGAGCACTCCTGAGAGAGTCAGTGTTGTTGTTGTCCACCAGCTCAACACAGCGTTCGTCTAGAGAATCCGGATTCACCTTCGGTTCTTATACACTCAGACGGATTTATCCGGATTATTTTTCATATTAAATTTAAAATCAAAATTTTGGTATTAGTGAATAACTAAATTGTGTTTTTAATGTTTAGTAATAATTCACATGAAGACAGGAATTTCAGGAGATAGATTTTCCTGTATTTTTCGACCATCTTCTAGCATCCTCTTCAGCATTAAATTATTAAGTAAATGAGTCAAATCAATAAGAAAGTAAGCAAGTTTATCTAGGTATATGTACACATAAGTACAATTATCATAGTGTAAATTACCTAAGATAACTCAAAAATGTCAGACAGTGACTTATTTCCATTAGAGTCCTTGTACAGTAAGTTGCTTAATTACAACAGAAATATAATGGGACAAGATGAGTAATTAATTTTCTATGGGAGGTGAAGGAAAAAACAGTAACAGAACAACAGGAACAAGAACAGGGACAGAGTTGCATGAGTTGGTCTTGTTTGTTATAACATATTGCTGGTTCAATTACATTAGGGAGTTAGTTATTTTAATATGTTTATTATGCAGCCCATAACCATGGTGTGGGTGGTAGTCTAAAGATTACAGAGGTACATAATGGGTCCAAGGACTGGACTCCAACGTTTTGACAGCTGAACAAGTTACAAAGGTAATGAACTAGATCTGGTCACAATCATGACCAAGTTACAAAGGTAATGAGCTCCAGGTAGAGCTGGTCACACTCATGACTAATTACAAAGACAATGAACTAGGTCATAATTATGACAAGTTTCAAAGGTAATGAATCATAAACACGTTAATACATGGTTACAATCATCAACAAATTACAGAGTAATGAGAAATTATAAAACATTCTAGGGAATTCCTCCATTGCCCCAACAACAGGACCCCAATGGAAATAAGTCACTCTGACTTTTTTGGGTTATCCCAGGTTCTCAACACATACGCTGCTATGTATGTTAATTCTATGTAACTGTATTTGTGTATACCTGAATAAACTTATTTACTTAACAGATGTTGCTAAATGCCTGTCCCTCCTCAACAGGACAGCAGACAGCCATTACCATCAGCAGCAACCAGGATCTGCTTCTTGCAGGAGGACCCTCGACCCTCCCCAAGAGGTCCAAGAGGTCAGCGACTTCGCCAGCAGCCTGAAGAAGAGCCACCATGGGGACGTGTTAACGTCCTGATGGACGCCAATTTGAAGATTCCAGACCCTCTGATATCACCTCTGTCTGCTGGAAGGCACTATTGGTTGTGCCCACCTGGAGCCTCCAGGTGCCCAGATACCCACCGTGTGCACGGATATTGGTTTGAGGAACTAAGTGCACATCTCTGTGGCACATGACGCGTTATTTAATAGTTCTAAATTAATTGCAATGACTGGCGGACAGGGAAGGAGGGGCTTTCTATACTTCAGGCAATGAATTCCAGATCTCAGGGCCTTTTATATCCACTGAATTTCTTGCAGAGTTGAGCCTAACACATGGGATGTCAAAGAGGGTTTTATCTTGTGTTGTCTGTGTTCTGTTGCTGCCATTAGGAAAAAGTTTCAGAGGAAAGTGTATGTTGGAGTTTCATGTTCTATATATAGTAGGCACAGTAATATGAGTGTATATTTTGTATATTAAGTCAGTTCAAGGTCTTGGAGAATGGGCCCCTCCAGGTAGGTTCCCTGATGCTGGTGAGGGGCTCTTGATCTAGGGAATTGGATCTGTGATCCAGTTCCCTGTATTGAGCCTGAATGCTTTCCATCACCCCCCCCCCCATGTGCTGTACAACCCTATGGGTTTAGCGCTCCCCATGATTATAATAATAATTGAAGACTGGTGACTGTGTCACTGGAAGGGATGAACATCAAAATGGTATAAAAGGGATGACAATCTACACAGCAGTTTTTTCTTGGGTTATTAATTGTTTTAAGTGATTTAGTGTAGTAGATCCCCAGGTACAAAGGTGAAGTAAAGGTAGACTAGAAAGTGGTAGTGTAAGTAATGCTGTTTGAAGTTACCACGTTTATCAACTCAAAAATAAATCAAGGAATCTGACTCAAAGTCCCACCATTACTGTACAAACTAGCGGCTCGTGTCCTTTAACTATTACTCTAACAAATCACTAGAAACTAGCACATCAAAATGGTATACAATACCGACAGGTTGGTAGGTAAGACACATAGGCAACAGTTAGGCAACTTTATTCCGAAACGTTTCGCCTACACAGTAGGCTTCTTCAGTCGAATACAGAAAGTAGGCAGGAGACAGTTCCTGACTATGGAACTGAACTTCTCCAGGCCGAGGGACTGACAACCTCAAATTCTACGACTTCAAGGGTGATGGACTGATTACATCGTCTTCACATCTCTACTGTTCCTGCCTACTTTCTGTATTCGACTGAAGAAGCCTACTGTGTAGGCGAAACGTTTCGGAATAAAGTTGCCTAACTGTTACGCCTATGTGTCTTACCTACCAACCAGAAACTAGCACACTAATACAACTACAGGCTAATATCAAACTTATGTTACTCTCCAAAATCTTCGAGAAACTCATGCACAAGAAACTATATACATTTATAACAGCGAAAAACATACTCACCACCTGCAAATTTACTTTCAGAAAAAGCCTAAAGCATAAACACCATTTAAAGCTAGACTGTTCTACACTGGAAAAAATAAAGATCCATAGCCACTTTACCGACCTAAGGTAAAGTTTTTGATACAGTAGACCACAGTATCTGTATACCCTTGTGCTTAGCGCTTCTTTTGACTTAAAATAATATATAGTAACCACATATCCTACTCCACAAACTTGATCATATAGTATGAGCTATTCACTTACATATTCAAAACCACTTATAACAGGCATCATCATCTCATTTAGGCAACTTATCAAGACACTGATACTGATACACAGGAATAGATTTAGATTTTGCCACCGAAGTGGCTAGTTTATTGTGCAAAACTGCAGACCTGGAGAATATACAGAGAACCTTCACAGCACGTGTAAGTACCATAAAGCACCTAAATTACTGGGAATAGTTAAAAAGCCTTTGATCTGTACTCCCTGGAATGCAAGCGAGAAAGATACATTGATAATACACACTTGGAACTCCCACATCTGCACACAAAAATCAGTCCCTACGAAAGCAGGAGATGCAACATCCCCCCCACAATAGATTATCCTTGATAACCTACACATATGACAATCAAAAAACACATTTAAAAAAAGATGATAAACACAGGAGTCCTGGTCACAGACCGGGTCACGGGGGCTTGACCCCCCGGTACACCCCCACGTGTACTTGTGTGAGGTATAAACTGATAATAAATAAGTTTATTCAGGTACATGTACACATTAATAGTTACATAAATTATACATAGCAGCATATGTGTAATTACCCACCAGGAAAACTCAAAAAAAAGTCAGTGACTTATTTCCATTAGGGTCTTTGATTCAACTGTGTTTTTTTTTTCAATTTTTGGCTACTTGACAATATTTTATTACATGTAAACTACCCATTGTATACTGTACAAAAAAAAAAAATGATTTTGACCATATACTCGCATTATATTTGCTTACTTTAATATATATTTCCTTTCTTTACTTATTTCCTTACTTTACTTATTACCTTCTTATTTAACTATTAACATTTTAGTAGTATGTAGTTAAGATGACCTTGAGAAGTTACAGTGAACAGTGTATAATAACAACTCTCTAACTCATTACACAGTATTATATACGCTGTTCTTGGGCTATATGTTATCTTTAAAGATAACTCTAATGTATCACTGTCTTACAGAGGCCAGCCCATGCCCAGGAAAATGGAAAATGTGTGTTTTTTGAGGAAGAGGAGCCATTAATAGGGGTGAAAATTTTTGGGAGAGGACCCAAGGTGTCGCCCTGAGGAACCACTGGTAAAAAATGGATTTTTCTCGTTTTTTTTTTACTTTGAGCGTTGGTTTATGTGATGGAGTTATATTATTACATTCCTGGTGTATTTATTTTGGTTTGTAATTGTAAATTATATTGATTTGAGGAGAGATTTGGTGGGTAGGAAATTTTTGGGTGGCGAACATTGAGATTTTTTCATTTTTTTTCCTTCATGGAGAGGGTTTTGATCCAAGGAATTCTGACAGTCCTCCTCTTCCTTGGATCAGACAACATTATATTAATTTGGGGAGATATTTAGTGGGTGTGAATTTTTTGAAAGGCGAAAATTTAGATTTTTTCCATTAGCTTTTTTTTAAATTCACTGAAAGGGTTCCTGATCCAGGGAATTCTGGCAGTCTTCCCCTTCCTTGGATCAGACCATATTACCTCCCTGTGGTTTTATTTTTGCAGTTTTCCCCATGAAAATAATAATAATAGCTACTTGTGGTTGTACTGTTACAAAATGGTTTTTATGATCATATAATTATAGACATAAATTAGCATTAAATTATCCACTGCATATAATGTAGGATAATTCGCCTAGTAAGTACGTACTTACCGTACTTACCCCAATGGAAATAAGTCGCTTTATCTGACTTTTTTGAGTTATTCTGGTGGGTAATTTACACTATGTATCATAATTGTACTTATGTGTACCTGTACCTAAATAAACTTACCTATGAAGTAGGTTCCTGGATATTAGTCGACTCATGGGTCGCATCCTGGGGGAAAAGATTTAAGAACCCTAATGGAAATAAGACAGACGTCCCTGATGACACGGACTTTCTCCGGTTATCTTGGAGTGCTAACCCTCCAGGTTAAAAATTTGAACAAACTCTTAAGTAAATTTATTTAGGTACAGGTACACATACCTGGAGAGAGTTTACCTGGAGAGAGTTCCGGGGGTCAACGCCCCTGCGGCCCGGTCTGTGACCAGGCCTCCTTAGGTCAGTGTCCCAGGATGCAACCCACACCAGTCGACTAACACCCAGGTACCCATTTTACTGATGGGGAACATAGACAACAGGTGGAAAGAAACACGTCCAATGTTTCTACTCTGGCTGGGAATCGAACCCAGGCCCTCACCGTGTGAAGCGAGAGTGTTAACCACCAGGCCACCAGAGCAGGTACAATTATCATACATATTTTAACATATGTGTAAACTATTCACTGGGATAACCCAAAAAGGTCAGATAAAGTGACTTATTTCCAATGGGGTCCTTGTAATCTTATGGTAGCTTGAACACAAGTACGTACTGTAAATTTTTTATTTAGGTTAGCCGTTTACAATTATTTTATTGCACATACTCCAGTAATAGGTATACAGAAGTTAATGATTATATATATTGTATATACAGTTCCATAATCATCATATCGTTTTAGATATATGAGTGATGTTTAATGGTGTAACCTATTATGTATTATTATTATTATTATTATTATTATTATTATTATTATTATTATTATTATTATTATTATTATGTATGCATTTGCTGCAATTTCTGTTTTGGCTAGATATTGTCAGTTAGGTATTTCTGGTTTTATATTGTTTGTACATTTCATCTGTCCCCCTAATTCAGTGCCTTTCCAGAGAGTGAAGTTCAGTGCCTTCAGCCTGTCTTTGTAGGAAAGGTTTCTGATACATAGGATCAATCATGTCATCCTTCTCTGTATACAGTAGTACCTCAGTACTCGAACAGCTCCCAACTCGAACAGTTCGGTATTCGAACACTTTGTTTGGTAAAAAAATCGCTCAGTAGTCGACTTTTTTCTTGGCACTCGACCAAACAATGTGCATCAGTCTCCCCGCAGCTATCACTCAGTGCTGAACTTCGCTGTAAACTATTTCGTGTTTCTTTGCATTTTTTTTTTTTTTTTATATTTGTGTAAATAAGTCACCATGCGGTCTAAGAAGATTAGTGATAACAGCCAACCAAAAAGAAAATTGGTTAGAGTCACAATAGAGATGAAAAATTATTATTAATTTTCTTTATGGGAAAAATTCGTTCGGTATTCAAACAGATCGGCACTCAAACAGCCTTCTGGAACGAATTAAGTTTGAGTACCAAGGTTCCACTGTACTTCATATTAATGTCCACTACATGCCATGCCCATTCTGCTCTATATCTTTGGTAAGGCTACCAAATGAGGACTTTGATATATTGTTTGCCAAGAATTCTATTAGCTTTACTGTAAACATTTACATACACCGCTGTCTTGTCTTTAAATTTCTGCTAACCAGAACTTGTAAGTTTTTTCACATTCAGTTTGATAATAATAATAATAAGTTTATTTCTTTGTAAAGGTTACAATGTGTAATTACAGTTTTAATTTGCTAAGTACAAAGATAGCCACTAACATGTTGAGGCATTTCGGGCAAACTAATCCTAATACATAGTAACTAATTTAAACTAGATAAGACAATAGTACATAGTAATTATTACTTAAAACTAAACATAGAATAGTGGTTAGCTGTTTTACAATCTTATTTGGACTTAATAAATCGTATGTATACTTAGTTAAAAATCTAATTTACAAGGAATGGTGCAGGTGGTAATATTTTATGGAATGGCAGAATTAAATGCCAGGAGGTGATGTGATAAAACTAGTCAGTAGATGTTTGGTTGATTTGGTTAATATTGTGGGATAAGATGGTTTTTTAGCAGAGTCCTAAATTTATAAGTTGTCTGGGGATCCTTGACCTGTTCCAGTAGCGAGTTCCAGATCTTTGGGCCGTTTATGTGCATAGCGTTCTTGCATAGTGAGAGTCTTACTTGAGGGATGTTGAAAAGGGCCTTATAATTTACATTTTCATTTATATATATACCATTGTTATTTTCTTTTCCCAGGAATTGAATCTTACACTTTTCTTTTCTTATTAACACATCAGCCATTTCCCACCAAGGCAGGGTGGCCCAAAAAAAGAAAAACTTTCATCATCATTCACTCCATCACTGTCTTGCTAGAGGTGCACTTACACTACAGCTATAAAACTGCAACATTAACACCCCTCCAGGAATCAAGTCCAGCCTGCCGGAATCTTACACTTGTCTGTATTAAATGGTATCTAATACTTTTCTGACCACAGTTCATCTTGTAACTCTTAGTGTTCTCATCATCAGTTACTTGATGGCCTATTTTAGTGTCATCAGCAAACTTGCTTATCTCACTGTTTATTCCCTCATCTATGTTGTTTATGTAAACTGTGAATGACAAGGGTCCCGGTACTGAACCTTGTCGCACACCACTAGTATTGAGTCCCCATGCTGATATCTTCCCATTTATGCAAACTCTCCATTGTCTATCAGTCACCTATGCATTAACCCAGAAGATAATTTCTCTACCTATACCATGTTTGTAGTTTGAACCCTGGCATGGGTGGAAACATTGTGCATGTTTCCATACGCTTGGTGCCCCTGTTCACCTAGCAGTGTGTTAGTTGACTGTTGTGGGTGGACCTTAGACAGGCTGGGCTTTGCAGTGAGCTGAGGTAGGATAACAGATCTTGGCCTGTAAAAATGATGTATGTAAAAAAAAAATTCATCAGGATATTCCTTTGATGAGTGTCAACATTTTTTCTACTACCAAAGCCTGGCCCGAGGCCAGGCTTTGGTAGTAGGGACTTGTTTGGTAACCTTTAGCAGGGAACTTACGTATATGATACAATTAAATATTTATGTTATTGTTTTCTTTCAGACTGATGTCATTGGGAAGACCGTGTAGTAAGCTGCACATCAGCCATCTGTTAGAGAGACTACATATTACTACACAGAACTGTTGCTGGAGCTGACAAAAAGCACTTCATAATGAAAGAGTGGTTGTGGATACCAGGTAGACATTACTGAGTTTTTTCACAGTTGGTGTAAAAATAAAACAAATCCTTTTTTCTTTTTCATTCTTTATAGCTCAATGACTATTTTTCACTTGGGTTGGCAAGAAAAGACATTCACCATCACTCATTCATATCTCTTGCTAGAAATGTGCAGATCATCCCCCTTTTTTTTTTTCAATGTACCAGCTATTTCCCACCGAGGCAGGGTGACCCTTGCTCCTGGCATTTTAGTCGCCTCTTACTACATGCATGGCTTATGGAGGAAGGATTCTTTTCCACTTCTCCATGGAGTAGACACCCCTTACTCATTCATTTCTAATTAAATTAGTGATCTTTGCAGCAGTTGGGTATCTCAGCGTCTCACAAACAAATCTTCATTCTACAATTTTTGTACTCTTTATTCATTGTTTAACATATTCTACTTAGTTGATTTTTTCCCTGTTTTACAGCTGTAGTGCTGGTTGTGCTGTTTATCCTTGCATTATGCTGCCTCTTCTTCTCCGACTATACTTGTTGCCCATGCCGCCGCAAGAGGTATGTACTGTAGTATACCAGTGTGATATTTTTCACATTATTATTGTAATGCTTTTGTATTTATAAAATATTACATGGTATTATTTGATCCTAGGAGTTGATAATTTAGGTTAGGTTAGATTGGGTTAATATCAGTCACATTTAACTAATTATAACTTTTATTTATTAACACAAATAAATGCAATAACAAATGAGAGTAAGGTGCAGTTTCATATTACAATGATGTACAGTACCTACATAGTGAGTAAGATACATGCAATACTTATGTATCTTCGCTGATGAAATATTTCTCCCACACATCAAGTTTCAGTCGAATACTGGAGAGGGAGTAGAAGTGGGGAGGTAGCTTTGAGGCGATCAGTCTCTGAACCTTGATAGATAATGGTCAGTCTCTTAGTCTAGCAGAGGCATGAGGTGTAGTCATAGGTACCATTGAAGAGTTCAAGAGTTTCTCTACTCTCTGAGCCCGGCTAGGTGTAGCTGCAAGGAAATGATGTCTCAGGTGAATGGGGCCCACTATTGGAAGTGATCATGCTAAACAGCTGTTAGCAGTAGAAGTGTAGATGATGATAATAATAATAAATAATAATAATAATAATAAATTTATTTCTTTTCTGCAGTATACAGGTAAAGTAGTATACTCCAGGCACAAAAGAAAGCCACTAACATGTGGTTGGTGTGTCAGACTTGTATTGTATTCCAAGACTGACCATCTTTTATCGAGGTTGAGTGACTGGTTACTTCAAAAATTACCTCTCCACTTTTACTGTCTCCAGTATTTTAATCGCTTCTGTATTTGATTTACGAAGCTTTCACGACTCACAAACTCGTAATATCATGATTGGTTTGTTTGCAATTGTGTTACTGCGATTCCATGAGTCACGAAGGTGACTTTGAGAGGACTTTAGCTAGAGTTAGTCACAGCCTTGCTGCCGGGAGATTCATCTTTAAAAACTTGCATTTGTGGTCACAGTGGGAACCATGCTAACCTCCCTAGGGTGGAGGAATCTTATTGTAGCCAGCTGGTCCAGTGGCTTATTCACTGGCCTGAAGTTTTACCACTCTTGCAATGGGTTCAAGCCCCACCCATTCCATGGAATGAAGCCTTCTGTACAAGTGGAATAAAGATACCTAGGTGCTGCACTTGTGTCAGTAAAGTATTGTGCTGTAGCAATTTTCACAATCAAGTGTTACAGTGGTTTTACTGATGGTCTTGAGCCAGATTGCTTAAGAGAGTCAGTTGAATTTTAAGCACTGAATGAGTAAGATCATTTTTTCTGAGCCATATTGCTCATTTCTCCTGTAAAATAGAACCATGTTTCCCTATAATACAGTACATGTACAGGTGTTCTTTGACTTATGATGGAATTACGTTCCAGTGAACCCAATGCAAGTTGAATGTGAATATGATATGATAAATAGATAAGTAAATAAGTAACTATTGTCACTGAAAAAGTAAATAAAGAAATAATTACAAGCTTATTTTACCGAACCCTACTATTATTAAGTTTAAATAAGATTGTAAAACAGCTAACCACTATTCCTTGTCTAGTTTTAAGTATAGTTACTATGTACTATTATCTTATCTAGTTTTAATTAGTTACTCTGTATTAGGATTATATTTTATTATTTTATTATCACACTGGCCGATTCCCACCAAGGCAGGGTGGCCCGAAAAAGAAAAACTTTCACCATCATTCACTCCATCACTGTCTTGCCAGAAGGGTGCTTTACACTACAGTTTTTAAACTGCAACATTAACACCCCTCCTTCAGAGTGCAGGCACTGTACTTCCCATCTCCAGGACTCAAGTCCGGCCTGCCGGTTTCCCTGAACCCCTTCATAAATGTTACTTTGCTCACACTCCAACAGCACGTCAAGTATTAAAAACCATTTGTCTCCATTCACTCCTATCAAACACGCTCACGCATGCCTGCTGGAAGTCCAAGCCCCTCGCACAACAAAACCTCCTTTACCCCCTCCCTCCAACCTTTCCAAGGCCGACCCCTACCCCGCCTTCCTTCCACTACAGACTGATACACTCTTGAAGTTATTCTGTTTCGCTCCATTCTCTCCACATGTCCGAACCACCTTAACAACCCTTCCTCAGCCCTCTGGACAACAGTTTTGGTAATCCCGCACCTCCTCCTAACTTCCAAACTACGAATTCTCTGCATTATATTCACACCACACATTGCACTCAGACATGACATCTCCACTGCCTCCAGCCTTCTCCTCGCTGCAACATTCATCACCCATGCTTCACACCCATATAAGAGCGTTGGTAAAACTATACTCTCATACATTCCCCTCTTTGCCTCCAAGGACAAAGTTCTTTGTCTCCACAGACTCCTAAGTGCACCACTCACCCTTTTCCCCTCATCAATTCTATGATTCACCTCACCTTTCATAGACCCATCTGCTGACACGTCCACTCCCAAATATCTGAATACATTCACCTCCTCCATACTCTCTCCCTCCAATCTGATATCCAATCTTTCATCACCTATTCTTTTTGTTATCCTCATAACCTTACTCTTTCCTGTATTCACTTTCAATTTTCTTCTTTTGCACACCCTACCAAATTCATCCACCAATCTCTGCAACTTCTCTTCAGAATCTCCCAAGAGCACAGTGTCATCAGCAAAGAGCAACTGTGACAACTCCCACTTTATGTGTGATTCTTTATCTTTTAACTCCACGCCTTTTGCCAAGACCCTCGCATTCACTTCTCTTACAACCCCATCTATATATATATTAAACAACCACGGTGACATTACACATCCCTGTCTAAGGCCCACTTTTACTGGGAAATAATTTCCCTCTTTCCTACACACTCTAACTTGAGCCTCACTATCCTCGTAAAAACTCTTCACTGCTTTCAGTAACCTACCTCCTACACCATACACCTGCAACATCTGCCACATTGCCCCCCTATCCACCCTGTCATATGCCTTTTCCAAATTCATAAATGCCACAAAGACCTCTTTAGCCTTATCTAAATACTGTTCACTTATATGTTTCACTGTAAACACCTGGTCCACACACCCCTACCTTTCCTAAAGCCTCCTTGTTCATCTGCTATCCTATTCTCCGTCTTACTCTTAATTCTTTCAATAATAACTCTACCATACACTTTGCCAGGTATACTCAACAGACTTATCCCCCTATAATTTTTGCACTCTCTTTTATCCCCTTTGCCTTTATACAAAGGAACTATGCATGCTCTCTGCCAATCCCTAGGTACCTTACCCTCTTCCATACATTTATTAAATAATTGCACCAACCACTCCAAAACTATATCCCCACCTGCTTTTAACATTTCTATCTTTATCCCATCAATCCTGGCTGCCTTACCCCCTTTCATTTTACCTACTGCCTCACGAACTTCTCCCACACTCACAACTGGCTCTTCCTCACTCCTACAAGATGTTGTTTATGTGCACAGCTTCCCTATCTTCATCAACATTTAACAATTCCTCAAAATATTCCCTCCATCTTCCGAATACCTCTAACTCTCCATTTAATAACTCTCCTCTCCTATTTTTAACTGACAAATCCATTTGTTCTCTAGGCTTCCTTAACTTGTTAATCTCACTCCAAAACTTTTTCTTATTTTCAACAAAATTTGTTGATAACATCTCACCCACTCTCTCATTTGCTCTCTTTTTACATTGCTTCACCACTCTCTTAACCTCTCTCTTTTTCTCCATATACTCTTCCCTCCTTGCATCACTTCTACTTTGTAAAAACTTCTCATATGCTAACTTTTTCTCCCTTACTACTCCTCTTCACATCATCATTCCACCAATCGCTCCTCTTCCCTCCCGCACCCACTTTCCTGTAACCACAAACTTCTGCTGAACACTCTAACACTACATTTTTAAACCTACCCCATACCTCTTCGACCCCATTGCCTATGCTCTCATTAGCCCATCTATCCTCCAATAACTGTTTATATCTTACCCTAACTGCCTCCTCTTTTAGTTTATAAACCTTCACCTCTCACTTCCCTGATGCTTCTATTCTCCTTGTATCCCATCTACCTTTTACTCTCAGTGTAGCTACAACTAGAAAGTGATCTGATATATCTGTGGCCCCTCTATAAACATGTACATCCTGAAGTCTACTCAACAGTCTTTTATCTACCAATACATAATCCAACAAACTACTGTCATTTTGCCCTACATCATATCTTGTATACTTATTTAACCTCTTTTTCTTAAAATATGTATTACCTATAACTAAACCCCTTTCTATACAAAGTTCAATCAGAGGGCTCCCATTATCATTTACACCTGGCACCCCAAACTTACCTACCACACCCTCTCTAAAAGTTTCTCCTACTTTAGCATTCAGGTTCCCTACCACAATTACTCTCTCACTTGGTTCAAAGGCTCCTATACATTCACTTAACATCTCCCAAAATCTCTCTCTCTCCTCTGCATTCCTCTCTTCTCCAGGTGCATACACGCTTATTATGACCCACTTCTCGCATCCAACCTTTACTTTAATCCACATAATTCTTGAATTTACACATTCATATTCCTTTTCTCCTCCATAACTGATCATTCAACATTACTGCTATCCCTTCCTTTGCTCTAACTCTCTCAGATACTCCAGATTTAATCCCATTTATTTCCCCCACCGAAACTCCCCTACCCCCTTCAGCTTTGTTTCGCTTAGGGCCAGGACATCCAACTTCTTTTCATTCATAACATCAGCAATCATCTGTTTCTTGTCATCCACACTACATCCATGCACATTTAAGCATCCCAGTTTTATAAAGTTTTTCTTCTTCTCTTTTTTAGTAAATGTCTACAGGAGAAGGGGTTACTAGCCTATTGCTCCCGGCATTTTAGTCTCCTCATACGACACGCATGGCTTACGGAGGAAAGATTCTTTTCCACTTCCCCATGGACAATAGAAGAAATAAAGAGGAACAAGAACTATTTAGAAAAAGGAGAAAATCCTAGATGTATGTATATATATATGCATGTGCGTGTCTGTGAAGTGTGACCAAAGTGTAAGTAGGAGTAGTAAGATATCCCTGTTATCTAGCGTGTTTATGAGACAGAAAAAGAAACCAGCAATCCTACCATCATGCAAAACAGTTACAGGTTTCTGTTTCACAGTCATCTGGCAGGACGGTAGTACTTCCCTGGGTGGTTACTGTCTACCAACCTACTACCTATTAGGATTAGTTTGCCCAAATGCCTCGGCATGATAGTGGGTATCTTTGTACTTAGCGAATCATAATTGTAATTACATATTGTTTTTTATTTTTTTTTATTAACACACTGGCCAATTCCCACCAAGGCAGGGTGGCCCGAAAAAGAAAAACTTTCACCATCATTCACTCCATCACTGTCTTGCCAGAAGGGTGCTTTACACTACAGTTTTTAAACTGCAGTTTAAAATTACATATTGTAACCTTTGCAAAGAAATAAACTTGCTTACTTTACTTTACTTTACTTAAATACCAGTATTGAAAAGTAAATAAAGTATTGTATCACTGGCCCAGGAACAGATCAGAATTCAGAGTTTGATATCTACTGAATGTGCATTGCTATCGCACCATTGGAAAGTCAAAATAACTTAAGTTAAACCATCGTAAAGCATGGAGCATCTGTAACAGCTGTACAGCTTGAAGTTAATAATAGTGAAAAGGAATTTTTTTTATCTTAGGAAAGATAGGAAAGTTTTCTCTCTAAAATATAAAATATTTTTTTCAGACGACCAGAGCCTGTCCTTCCAACTTCAGTTGAGCATTGTATGCCCACAGCCTCTGAGCAAGAATGGGTCTCACCAACTTTACCCTCGACCACCTCGGTTACCCCAGGCTCTCCATCTACGCTGCCTTGGCATTATCCAGTTTCACTGTCTTCAATCACCCGAAGTGTCAAACCCTATACATTCACACCAAGCGTTAAACCCACACTGCCTCAGCAGCATCGAATCACATCATCTTCAGTCACACCAGGTGCTCCAGTTACACTGCCTCGACATCATCCATCTGCTGCACACTACTTTGCATTATCACAGACAGACAGCCCAAACTTACATTTAAAGTTTGCTGATCTTCCCAAAACCCAGGTGCTTAAGACAGAGCATGGTGTTCCTGTTTTAGATCTCCACAAAATGACTGTCAAAGAAGCTACACAGACAACTAATAATTTCATCAACCATAGTCATGGTCGGTATCGGAAGGTTAGAATTGTGACTGGCAAGGGTTTGCATAGCGAAGGGGGAGCACCCAAAATCAAACCAGCCATTGCATCGATGTTAAAGAATGCAAATTACAAATTTCAAGAGGTGAGCGATGGTGGGTGTTTTGAGGTGCTCCTTCAGTAAGAGGACTACTTCATGGTCTTAAAATAAAATTTGTGCAGCTGCTTCATTTCAAAAAATTTAAGGAAAGTGAATTATGAGTTTTGAAAAGTGGATAACAGTGGGCAACTTGAGGTACTCTTTTTTAGTACCTTAAAATGTAGGAATTTATGCAACTCTCTTTATTTTTATACTCATTAGATAGAAAGGTTAAAAAATGATGAATAAACAATCATCAAATGAAGACCACATGCCATTCTCTTATATTGAATGTTAAGTAAGGTAATGTGCCATATGTTTAATTTTATTTAAAAATTAAGGGAATTATCATAGATCAATCTGTATTATGGTATAAGTCAGACCGAAACGTTATAAATTGTATGATAAAAGTCGCAAAGCTATAACCAAAACAGTTTGTAATTAACCCACAAGTTGGAAAGGAAACTTTAGATAACCTTCTGGTCCGTCTTGAACCAAAATGTCGTTAATGTTTCTTCTCCAGATTGTGGGTTAATGGTGAAATAAGTTGTAGTTACAATATAACATAAGATAAGATCTTTTTTTCAACAAACCGGTCATATCCCACTGAGGCAGGGTGGCCAAAAAAGAAACATGTAAGTCTCTTTTTAACTTTAGTAATATATACAGGAGAAGGGGTTACTAGCCCCTTGCTCCCAGCATGTTAGTCACCTCTTATGACACGCATGGATAAGATAAGATATTTCATGAATATCTGATATCATGATGGTGAAAGTTTTTTTATTTTGGGGGGAGGGGGGTCACCCTGCCCAGGTGGCAGATGGCCAGCATGATAAAAAATATCTGATAAAGAATATCATTGTTACAGTAATTTCACATAAGTTTGTTAGTTTATTATATCCTGGTTGTATCCCAGGAACCAAGCCAAAACTTTCCCGAGTCAAAATTAAGACACTCCCTGATACAATGCTCGACTAGTAACAAACATGTTAGTATGGAAGGATGATATATTGTGTACACTGACTAAAAAATACCACGTGAGAAACTTATGGTATACAGGTAAGCCAGGGTAATAGTTTTGATATCTTGAGTCTAAAATCACATGTTTAAAACGATGAACACTCTGGTTTGTTTTTTCGACCAGTTACATTTAGCAATACAGTAATATACTTTACAGTTGCTTGATTTGGTATGTTTCTTGAAATAGTATTGTAAGAGATGTTTTTTAAGATGTTTATTTTTTCTAGTATGACTGCATATTGCATCTTTAGCAAAGATGAATTTCTATTATAGAATAGGGATTATATATTCTGAATATTTTCAACAAATTTTGTTTTAAATGTAATATGTCTTAACTTTACTCTCTTGTGAATTATATTAATAGAATATCCATTCACAGTAAAAAATTTTGCCCAATGCAAACTTACAGGCCGTCATCCATTTTGGATAACGAGGTTTCTCATGATTGAACTGTGTACTGGGCAATGGTTTCATTAACAATTTATTTCCTAATCATAAATTCATAATAAAAAAAATCTTCAAGTCTTGAACCAAAGTTCCTAGTTGTACAAGTAGCTTGAGTAGCCTTTACCAGAGAATATTTGATATTTCCTTATATGATATTTCGTCATAGTACAGCAGTAAATGGGGTGGCTCTTTCATGTAAAATAACGCATTGTAGGGACAACCCTTAATTTACAGACACCTGAACTGTGAACATTCGCATTTAGGAAAATGACATTTAGAAACTGTTAAGGATTTATAAATGCTGATCCACAGTTATGAATACAAGTTCAGGATTTTGTCCCTTGTTTTCAAATCAGTTCACCCAGCGGATGTCTTGCATTTCCAAAGTTCCTTATATCAAGGGTTTACTGTAATTCAGATCTTATTTTTTACAGTATAACATAGAAGTTTCAGATCAGCCAGACTGATATCAGACTATGTGGGCTTATGGGCTGCTAGCAGCAACCAATTGGTTAATTAGGGAATCAACAAGGAAACCTGTCCTAAGGCTGGGCTGCGAGGGTAGTAGAATCTTCAATATCAGTCACAGGTATGACACTCGCAACAGAAAAGACGTTACGATGGCCTTTGAGCTTAATTTGCAGATCCACTTTTACAGAAATTTTGCTCTAGGTAATCATAAGATATCAAATCAGCCAGGCTGTGAGGCCTGTTAAAGGACTATGTAAAGCAGAAGCCTCTTAAATATTGTGAAATCTGGCAGGATTCCTGATACCTTCTGTTTTATTGATATGCAAGGTGACAAGTAAATCTCATAGACTTCTACTTACACTCATTTTACACCTATCTTTACCTTCCTGTGGGTTTTATACTTCTTATTCTTATATTTCCTTTCCAACTGAGGGGCCTAGTCTGAGATTCAGCCACAGGGTAAATGGTCCCAGAACCATTAATAGATATTAACAGATGCAATAAGATCACAGTAAACAGGTGATAACACAGTATACAGAACAGCCACTGTGAAAAATCATGAAAGCACTTGGAAGTTCACTATTTTTTTCCAGTGGCTGGTCTGCATATTAACAGATGTAACAGCTTCTCTGATACCTTAATTACATATACAGTGGACCCCCGCATAACGACCACCTCCGAATGCAACCAATTATGTAAGTGTATTTATGTAAGTGCGTTTGTACGTGTATGTTTGGGGGTCTGAAATGGACTAATCTAATTCACAATATTCCTTATGGGAACAAATTCGGTCAGTACTGGCACCTGAACATACTTCTGGAGTGAAAAAATATCGTTAACCGGGGGTCCACTGTATATAGATTGGTACTAGTCAGGGTTGTTGAAAGAACTGTAGACAGAACAAAAAATGTAGCAGCTGTGTTGCTAATAGACAATAACCACTTTACTCGCACTATGATAGAAAAGCACTTAGTTGATTAAGTGATTGAGAAGGGACAAGAGCTAGAATTAGTTATAGGATGCTGGTCACATTGGAGTTTCTCCATGTGAACTCGTGATTGGGTTGCAGTTGTGGCTGTCATGAACCTGCCCAGGACTCGTTGGAAAAATCTTGTAACTCTCTGTGATGCGATGGACAAGTGATGGGCTGGTAATCCCAGATCGTGGGTTTCGATGCCAATTACTCCATTGAATTTAGTCGATTAAGGCTGATTGGTCTGAAACCTCCAGTACAGCATATAGACTTATGAGTCATTATTTTTAAGGATATTTTGTTTTATTAAGTTTTACACTATTGTTTGAGATATATTTAATATTGTTTTGTATTTGAAAGTTTAATCTTTTTTTTCTAGAATGTAAGTTTTTTTTGTTTTTCATTGGTATCATTTAAAGATGAGCACAGATATTTATTAACTTACTTCAACTTACATAAACACACAAGAAGAGGTACTAAAATTTTCTTTAACTAAATACTGAAGATGGGACACAAGCTTAACTCTGCTTCTGTAGCTGCAAATAGGTAATCACACACTTAGTGAATAAAATAGTAGACATTGGTATCTTAAATTTTCTTTGTTTAATTGAGAAAGTTTAGGCAGTGTTCTTAATAATTGTTGTATTCACTCATTGGAGGAAATAGTATCTTAGGGCACACTTGGGGAGTGTTTTCATGCCAGGGTGGCTGGGGACATTTAGATTCACATAGTGATACCCATGTGTTTGCTATACAGGATGACCTGTATATGTCCCATTTCTGTTTGGCTGAAAGTTGGGCCTACCTCTGGAGGTGTGACCCATTCGTGGGTAACATGACTCATGAAATCATAATGACACGATTGCAAACAAACCATACCATGGGTGGGGATGAACCCATGATCAGAGAGTCGGTCTGGAGTTTTATGAGTCTCTGATCGCGGGTTCTGTCCCCACTCGTGGTATTTTTTTTTTTTTAGTGGATAACGTGCTTCTTTGGTAGGTGAGCAGAGGTCAAACAGGAGGCTCTGACTCATTTGCCTGGTCATGTACCATTTCATTGTGATGTACCCAAATAGATGTTTTGGTCTGAAGTTGGACCAAAATGTTATTATAAGCTTCATTCTCCTATGTGCAAGTTCTTTGTGTATTGTTCCAGTCATGGTATTGTGCCTTTATATTCTCCATTGTGATGTGATATTGGGTTAAATGCTGTTTTGTTTGTATATTTGCTGTCCAAGGTTGCAGTTTGAGTTGGGTGGTGCTTAGTCTGTTGTCAGTTTGTAGTGCAACAGTGTACAGTGGACCCCCGGTTTACGATCAGCTCCCAATGCGACTAATTATGTAAGTGTATTTATGTAAGTGCGTTTGTACGTGTATGTTTGGGGGTCTGAAATGGACTAATCTAATTCACAATATTCCTTATGGGAACAAATTCGTTCAGTAATGGCACCTGAACATACTTCTGGAATGAAATAATATCGTAAACCGGGGGTCCACTGTACTTGGTAAGGGTCATGCAGGCATAAGAGAGCTTGCTTCATTTTGACACCGAAGCTCCTCCCAGACCTTTCGGTGCTTGCATATATCTGTTAATTTCTCCTTGGATCCTTGGTGGTTCTAGTGCCTATTATTGTTGAGATTTATGATAGTTGGAGAGATAAACAGATGAAATTATATTTTTTGTTGATGATTCTTTGTACTTTACAGTATTGTGGTGCATTGTCATTATGTGCATTCATATACGTTAAGGTTTTATATCCTGATTTGGTTTCCAGTATTTTTGGCTTCCATACATCTTGAGTTATGTCTGGATGACTCAGTTCAGAGTGCAGTCATCAGCCCACCTGGAGAAGGGTCACTCATACTGATGTCCTCTCCAAACTCCAGATAGTGGCTGTCACATTTATTCTTAGTCACTGTTCTTAACTCATTTCACACTACAGAACTGTTATCCTTCCTCAAACTGGATACTGTACTGATGACATCCCATCACCAGTTTCAGGGGACCTTTCCCCTCTTCAAAAGTGTGTGTGATGTGTAACTATTTTAACTCTCATCAGAAATCCGAGATCAAGATTTGATATAAGTATGTACTTGAATAAAAGGCACTTAATCACTGTGGTGTAGAAAGTAGCTACTGTATATAAAGTATACAGTAGTATGGTTTCTTATCATCAAATAAGCTTAGCCATTTTGTTCATTCTTATTAATGGCAATAGCCTGACCATTTTCTTGTGTTGTTTTACCAAAATGCCTTAAATGGCTGGTAAAATTGATAGCCAAATAAACACTTTAAATTTATAAAGAATAAAAGTCACAGTACCTCGGCTGGAATAATTCACAACTAAACTGCAAATGGGAGATAATGAAAATTGAGAATAAAAAGTCATAATGCCACTGTGGCTGTAACAAATCACAAATAACCCACAGTTATCTATGACAAAGCTTTCTCTATAAGTGCAGGTTTTTAATGATAGTCTAAACCTTTAGACAAAAGGACAGTTAATCTTTGTGGTGTAGAAAGTAGTTATAAGGCCTGGTGATGGACCGGGCCGCAGGGGCGTTGACCCCCGAAACACCCTCTATGTATGTTTGTGTACATCCTGGATCATTATGAAGTCTCAGTCTGACACTTCGTTTTTCTTAGTCTTGCTAGCTTTATAATGCTCATGTTAGTCTACCATATATATATGTATTCTTATATATGTACGTACATATATAAATTTTCCTCTAAAAATTATTCTGCATTCTTTATATTTTATTTTATTTATTATCACACTGGCCGATTCCCACCAAGGCAGGGTGGCCCGAAAAAGAAAAACTTTCACCATCATTCACTCCATCACTGTCTTGCCAGAAGGGTGCTTTACACTACAGTTTTTAAACTGCAACATTAACACCCCTCCTTCAGAGTGCAGGCACTGTACTTCCCATCTCCAGGACTCAAGTCCGGCCTGCCGGTTTCCCTGAATCCCTTCATAAATGTTACTTTGCTCACACTCCAACAGCATGTCAAGTATTAAAAACCATTTGTCTCCATTCACTCCTATCAAACACGCTCACGCATGCCTGCTGGAAGTCCAAGCCCCTCGCACACAAAACCTCCTTTACCCCCTCCCTCCAACCTTTCCTAGGCTGACCCCTACCCTGCCTTCCTTCCACTACAGACTGATACACTCTTGAAGTCATTCTGTTTCGCTCCATTCTCTCTGCATGTCCGAACCACCTCAACAACCCTTCCTCAGCCCTCTGGACAACAGTTTTGGTAATCCCGCACCTCCTCCTAACTTCCAAACTACGAATTCTCTGCATTATATTCACACCACACATTGCCCTCAGACATGACATCTCCACTGCCTCCAGCCTTCTCCTCGCTGCAACATTCATCACCCATGCTTCACACCCATATAAGAGTGTTGGTAAAACTATACTCTCATACATTCCCCTCTTTGCCTCCAAGGACAAAGTTCTTTGTCTCCACAGACTCCTAAGTGCACCACCCACTCTTTTTCCCTCATCAATTCAATGATTCACCTCATCTTTCATAGACCCATCCGCTGACACGTCCACTCCCAAATATCTGAATACGTTCACCTCCTCCATACTCTCTCCCTCCAATCTGATATCCAATCTTTCATCACCTAATCTTTTTGTTATCCTCATAACCTTACTCTTTCCTGTATTCACCTTTAATTTTCTTCTTTTGCACACCCTACCAAATTCATCCACCAATCTCTGCAACTTCTCTTCAGAATCTCCAAGAGCACAGTGTCATCAGCAAAGAGCAGCTGTGACAACTCCCACTTTGTGTGTGATTCTTTATCTTTTAACTCCACGCCTCTTGCCAAGACCCTCGCATTTACTTCTCTTACAACCCCATCTATAAATATATTAAACAACCACAGTGACATCACACATCCTTGTCTAAGTCCTACTTTTACTGGGAAAAAATTTCCCTCTTTCCTACATACTCTAACTTGAGCCTCACTATCCTCGTAAAAACTCTTCACTGCTTTCAGTAACCTACCTCCTACACCATACACCTGCAACATCTGCCACATTGCCCCCCTATCCACCCTGTCATACGCCTTTTCCAAATCCATAAATGCCACAAAGACCTCTTTAGCCTTATCTAAATACTGTTCACTTATATGTTTCACTGTAAACACCTGGTCCACACACCCCCTACCTTTCCTAAAGCCTCCTTGTTCATCTGCTATCCTATTCTCCGTCTTACTCTTAATTCTTTCAATTATAACTCTACCATACACTTTATCCCCCTATAATTTCTGCACTCTCTTTTATCCCCTTTGCCTTTATACAAAGGAACTATGCACTTTTTAATCTTTCAAAATACATAAGTGCCTTCAATAGTATAGCAAACATAATTTTTCTTTTTCACAAATTAGACTTTTAAGTTGTAGTTTCTATGACAGCACACTGTACAGGTGTTAATATAACCAAACCTTCGTTGATATACAGACTAGTCTAGTTATTGCAAGACAATGAGGTTCCTACTCCGTACATTGTGATGGCAGTCATTATGCTACCTAGCCATGACAACTGCATACAAATACTCAAAAATTACAAGCATAGATATGGTATATAAATGGTACATTAGGTTGGTGCATAGGTGTAGTACATTGGTACATAAATGTGGTATATAGTTTGGTGAACAGGTGTGGCATATCAGTACATAAGTGTGATAAATAGGTGTTAAACATAAGTGTGGTACGTATGTGTGATATATAGGCGTGGTAAATAGGTATATATGTGTGGTATGTAGGTGCAGTGCATAGGTGTGTATAAGATATGATATTGTTACAAGTCCCATGTTATGCTGAGCATTTCAGTAAGACTTACACTAATACAAGAAATTAGCTCCAAGCATTCAAAGATGCAACAAGAATAAGAGAAACAATTGATGGAATAGGCAGCTGATTGAAGCTTCAACAACTAGATGTTAAGGGCAGTTGCATATTGTAGATAATCTCAGCTAAGATTTTAAGGTGGGCACATTGATTTTAAGTAGTCTAAGTACAAAGACCATGCCTCTGGGGGCAAGTGTGAAACCAAGCACTTTGTAGATAGGTAAAGTTGAACTGGGTAAAAGTTTTTAAGGAAATGAAATAAAATAGGACCCCCATGTATTTGGGGGATAAGTTTCAAGGACCTGCTGCGGATACTGAAACCGTGGATAGTAGCAAACCCTATATATGAGTCCTATGCATACCTATTATAAACTTTAATTGATAAATCATGCACAATAAGTGGAGAATTATTCCTTTTTCACTGGTGGGAAGCACTTCACAACTTAACTTAGGCTTTGAAAAACTGCCAGCTTCTCTACCTTTGCAATTTGGGGCCATTATTATGCAAAATTAAGAGGTATTTTTGGGCCAGAGTAAACTGTGGATAACTGAAACCACAGATACCAAATCAGTGGATACAGAGGTTCTACTGTATACAATGCATAGAGTTTTGTGGGACTTATTCATTTTTATCTACTACTGATTTACCATTTGGTATGTAATGCTGTACTGTGTTACATTTCCCAGTTATTTTTCAATACTGTAATCTTGTAGTTTGTAAATGTGTTCTCACCCTTGTTTTGTAGGGGCTAATTCACAGTAAGCACTAAACTCATGTGGGCCATTCAGCACAAGATGTGGTGGAGGCTTGTTCCTCTGTCATATGTGTGCCAGACAGATGCTCTTCCTCTTTATACTCACTTTGATGTCAAGCTCTGGCACTTGGACCCCATCTCTTAACCAGATGCCAACCTAATTGATAAGAGAGAGAGAGAGAGAGATATGTCTCCCTAATCACTTAAATCTTGTTAGACTTACTTTTAAATTTATGTGTGGAATTTGAATTAAGTTGGTAATGTACATGTATTACTTTGTGTAACTCAAATCTCAGATGGAAACAGAGGTGAGGTAGCAGATTACAAAGGCTGTAGATTTATGTGATTTTCCTCAAAGGGAAATGCCATGAATTAGTGACAATGGTGTGATATTACTGTGTCAGGAGCAGCAAGCTTGTGATTTGTCAGGATTGGCCTAGCCATGGTGAACTGTATCTGCAAGTCCACTCTTTGTCATAGCCCTGTTTTAGAAGACCTTTTGCTTAGGTTAGATATCTTTTTGCTCTTAACCAATTAACTCTTATAGAATTTCAGTGTTAGCATATCATTAAGCTGCCTGCTATTCCTGTCAAGTCAGTATTGTATGTATTGAAGGTGGGATTCCACAAGCATAACACTGATCCTGTTAATAAAAATAGGTTATTACACACCCATGTTGAACACATTGTGGAGTGATGTTCAAATAGAGATAATTCAGCCACACTGAGGATATCAATGGACTCTCAACAAAGAGAATCAGGGCCAGGAGCTACAAATTGGCCCCTCAACCACAGATAGGTGAGTACAACACACATAATACCACCCAGTTATTGGACACAGGTATGTCTCATCTGTTTGTCTGGGCAACTCTCGTATCATCCATAGTGGGCAACACTTCGGTATCTGTATTTTAGAAATGTTTCACCACACCATGGCTTCATCAGTCCAATACAAAGGGGAATGGTGAAGATCAGGAGTTTGAGGTAATCAGTTCAAAGTGTTGCACATGTGTCTGATTTATCAACTTGTCGGTTCTCTGAACCATTTATCCATCATCCATAGTGCCATACCAGTACAATAAGTAGTATGACAGTTAATCATTTAATTTTAAATTTTGCAAGAGTTAAATTTAATATTATATATTAATGTGATAGATTTTTGCATATTAAGTGCTGTGAGATTTTATGGTATATTTTTGGATTAAAAAATACTGTATTTTATTTTTCTGTCTACTGAAGTATACTATTATTATTGTAATTATGGGGAAACACTAAACTTGTAGGGGTCATACAGTGCCTGGGGAATGGGTGGTAATAAAGTTTGATGCAAGGAAGGTGAAAGTAGATCCAGATTCATGGATCAAAAGCCCTTCATTATCATCAAGGCCTCTTCTTGTGAGCATGTCATCAGGCAGACCCAGGTTCGAGTCCACTTGATGCATTTGCAGATTTTGTACCCCATACAAAAGGGTTCCCCTTATGCTGGTAAAGGGACCCTAAACTATGGAATTTGAGCTATCCTTTTCCTTGGATCAAAGCTAATTACTTCCCATTGCCCAGGAGCTGTATATGACCCCTTGAAGGTAAGGCGTGTGTTTACAGTAAGAGATGTTGGTCTTGTTTCTTAAGATTCGTACCTGTTAAATCTGTGTCGCTACGACTCACAAAATCATATTAGCATGATTACAAACAAATCACACAACGGGTAGAGTTCAAACCTACGGCATGGGGCTAACCTGTGAGTTTTAGGACATCCCTGCCATGGGGTCTAGCCATTCTGCAAACTGTGTCACTATGTTTACATGTTCGCTAAACTCTAAGATGTTTACAAATGTTACAAAGTTCCTCAAAAGTTCCATAATTAATCTGGTCACAATTAAACTTTTGTCACTCTAGGATAGTTAAGTAGATGCATTTTTTTATCTGCAAGATGTTGGTTGCGATTTCAATTAATTGGAAGCTAAAGTGTCAAAATCTTTGTTAAATAAGACTTTTTCTTATATTTTTAAGCGAGTGTTGTAATAGGGAATTAAATTTGGAAAAATATTTCCTGTACAGTGTTGTACATAAATTGCAATTAGTATGTACTGTTTATTGGATCCAAACGAGTGCCAACAATAGTGAACAAAAGACGCACTTTATGGAACAAGTTTTAGCTGAGACAGTCATTTGCTCTATTCAGAGCTTTTATCAATTTGTCTCACTCTGTTTAGAGCTTTATTAAGCCATATTTCACTCTGGGTAGAATGTTTTCAAGCCTTGTTTCACTCTGTGGACAACTTTACTAAATCATGCTTTGGTGTGTGTCAAGCTCTATCAAGTCATATTTTGCTGGGTCTTTCTTTATCAAGTCATGTTTTGCTCACTAGAGCTTTATCAAGTTATGTTTCAATCAGATAGAGCTTTATTAAGTCACATTTTGCTTGCTAGAGCTTTATCAAGTTATGTTTCAATCGGGTAGAGCTTTATCAAGTCACGTTTTGCTTGCTAGAGCTTTATCAAGTTATGTTTCAATCTGGGTAGAGCTTTATCAAGTCACATTTTGCTGGCTAGAGCTTTATCAAGTGGTGTTTCAATCTGGGTAGAGCTTTATCAAGTCATGTATTTCTTTGTGTCAAGCATTTTCATGTTTCACTCTGTGTGCAGCTTTATCAGGTATGCTTTACACTGTGTAGAGCTTTATCATCACAAATAAGCTTCACACAGAGTGAAGCATTGTCCCAATAAAAGACTGTTCCACAACGTGTCTCTTTTGTTTCTTTGTCTAGTAATTCTTTTGTTACATGAATTGTGTTCAGAGGAAATGTATGTACCAATGGTTACTGTGTAATGATTGTATAGTGTGTTGATGTATCAAGAAGTACATTACTACAGTGTTAGTAGGTCACTAATGATTGTTATATATGTATTGATGTACTGAGAGTACAGAGTGTACATTGCTGCAGTGTTAGTAGGTCACTAATGATTGTTACATATGTATTGATGTACTGAGAGTACAGAGTGTACATTGCTGCAGTGTTAGTAGGTCACTAATGATTGTTACATATGTATTGATGTACTGAGAGTACAGAGTGTACATTTCTGCAGTGTTAGTAGGTCACTAATGATTGTTACATATGTATTGATGTACTGAGAGTACATTACTACAGAGCATTATTACAAAGTCATACACTTTGTTTTGCGTGTTGATGTACGTACTCAGAATAGATTCATGTACAGCATTTTTAGGTCACATTGCATTTGATTTATAAATAATAAATGCATTTAATTGAATTTTTTTCAAAATTGTATTTTCTCAATGATTATTATTATTATTATTATTAATGATTATATTTTCAAAAAAGTGCTAAACCTCTCTTGAGTTATTCAGTATTTTCTGATTTGTATAAATTTCGTCAGTAGTATACATGTTACGCAAATGCTTTGCAACTCATATAGATTGCCTTTTTTGTGAATATAATAGTAATACATTGGTTAGTTGACAAACATTTTTATTGTATGTTATCCTGTTGTTATGTACGGTATATTATCTTTTATTTTTTATTATCCTGTTTTTATATACAGTATATTATCCTTTATATTATCCTGTTCTTTGTATAAGTATCTTATATTTTTTTAACTTCATGATCTGCTCTCGCCAAAACAGGGTAATCCAAAGAAGAAATTGCCTTCATCATCGTTCATTCAATCACTGTCTTGCCAGAAGTGTTCTTACATTGCAATTTAGATTAGCCTCCAACTGCAGCATCCCCACTGTATAAAAATAAAAGTGCAGGCACTGTTATTTTTCCCTCCAGGACTCAAGCCCTTCTAACCAATTCCCTTGAATCCCTTCAGAAATTTTACCTTGCTCAAACTCCGACAGCAGGTTAGGTCACAAAAACCACTTGCCTCTAATGCTGTAACAGAGTGTAGAGAATCTCAGAGCATAGGAATTAGAACACAATGTGGGATCACCCAGGGTATAACTCAAAGAGCTGAGGAGAGGTTACTGAGTGGTTTGGTCGCTCATAAAGGATGAAGCAAAATAGAAAGACCAAGAAGGGTGAAACTGGAGGGTGTTTTGGGGGTTAACGCCCCTGTGGCCCAGTCCATGACCAGGCCTCATGGTGGATCAGGGCCTGATCAGCCAGGCTGTTGATCAGGCCCTGATCCATCATGTGTATAAATTTGTGGTGGGAGGGGTAGGGGTCATCCCAAGTTGATTGTAAATGAGTATTTAAATGCTTTGGTACAAATCTGTACTAGAAATGTATTTCAGGCATTTCCATTAAGTAGCACCCCTAAGCAGTGATGCTAAAAATGCTCTTTCATCTATTTATCATTATATTCACAGGATACGGTAGACCTGTGACAGTCGGAATAGATTGGAGGGAAGAAGTGAAGGAGGTTTTGAGTGCTAGGGGCTTGAGCATCTAGCAGGCTTGTGTGAGCATGGAGCCATGTGCTTGTTATGACTTGACAAGCTTTGGGATAATGAGAAAAGTATTAGTTATAAAGGCTTAAAGGAAATTGGTTAGCTAGATGAGTCTGAGGGGAACAGTACTGGTCGAGTAGAGGTGAGCATGTTATAGTCTAAGGGTTATTTGAATTGTATATCTGCTCACTTCTGGCAAGACCATATTGAATGAATGATGGTGAATGTGTTTCCTTTTTCTTAGGTCACCCTACACCAGTATGAGACGGCAAGTGTATTAATAAAAACCAATTAAGAATAATAAAACTATGAACTCTATATGTGTGATCTTGTGTTGCTATTATTCTGTCAACCCGCTAATAATGTTGCTGTTATTATCAGAGAAAGCACTAAACCTGTAGGGGTTATGCAGTTCTTGCAGAATGAGAAGCACCAGTAATTAATTTGCTCTAAAGAAAGGGAGGATAGCTCAAATTCCTTATGATTATTATTATTAAGTATTATAGTCTTAACCCAGCACTTAACCCGTAAGGGTCATACTGCACTGCATCAAATTCTTTACATCAAGAGCCCTTCAATATTTTCGTCATTATTGCAGTCGGAACCAGGCGCTAAACCAACACGGGTTATACAGCACACGCCGTTCCGTAGCATCAATGAATTTCTTCTCTTTGCTTTTGAAGAGTTCTGTCTCTGTCTAATTATTTTTAGCCAGGTCTATATATTATTTGATTTCAATAGGTGATCATTTGCCATATTCTCTCCTAGACTGTAGTAAGTAGAAGATCAATTATGAAAGAATGGATGTTTTAAATCTATTTTTCCTGCAGTCATGCCTTTGATAGCAGCCATGTTGCAGTAGGGAAGGAAGATTGTGTTGCTTCAGTGGACCAGAAGGATTAGTTGTGTCTGTGGACCAGAAGGAGGATTGTGTTGCCTCAGTGGACCAGAAGGATTGGTTGTGTCTGTGGACCAGAAGGAGGATTGTGTTGCTTCAGTGGACCAGAAGGATTGGTTGTGTCTGTGGACCAGAACCCCTCAAGGAAGGTTCCTTGATGTTGGTGAGGGGCTCTTGATTTAGGGAATTGGATCTGTGCTCCAGTTCCCCGAATTAAGCCTCAATGCCTTCCACATCCTCCCCCCAGGCGCTGTATAATCCTCCGGGTTTAGCGCTTCCCCCTTGATTATAATAATAATAATAATGTGGACCAGAAGGAGGATTGTGTTGCCTCAGTGGACCAGAAGGATTGGTTGTGTCAGTGGACCAGGAGGAGGATTATGTTGCTTCAGTGGACCAGGAGGAGGATTATGTTGCTTCAGTGGACCAGAAGGATTGGTTGTGTCAGTGGACCAGAAGGATTGGTTGTCAGTGGACTAGAAGGAGGATTGTGTTGCTTCAGTGGACCAGAAGGATTGGTTGTGTCAGTGGACTAGAAGGAGGATTGTGTTGCTTCAGTGGACCAGAAGGATTGGTTGTGTCAGTGGACCAGAAGGAGGATTGTGTTGCTTCAGTGGACCAGAAGGATTGGTTGTCAGTGGACCAGGAAGACTGTTGCATAGTGGACCAGAAGAAGGATTGTCTTGCTTCAGTGAACCAGGAGGATTGTGTTTTGTCAGTGGACCAGGAGAAGGATTGTGTTGCTTCAGCGGAGACCAGAAAAAAAGATTGTTGCATCAGTGGATAACCTTCACACACCCTTAATAACCTACTCCCCTGACAACCTCCCCCACACCCCTGATAATATAAAATAATGTCAATCAATAATGCACCAAAACCTAAGTAATGAGCAACAGCAGATCATAAGAGGTTACTGTGTTGACCAACCATTGTGACGTCAACAATAACAAAAAAAACAACCAATCAGCAACCACCTTACAAGTCCTTTAGGCACTCATGCTGCTAGAGTACTTTACCCTGACTTTGATTGGCTATAATGCTAGATGTAAACAAAGACCCCTCAAGGAAGGTTCCTTGATGCTGGTGAGGGGTTCTTGATCTAGGGAATTGGATCTGTGCTCCAGTCCCCTGAATTAAACCTGAATGCCTTCCACATCCCCCCACAGGCGCTGTATAATCCTATGGGTTTTGCGCTTCCCCCTGGATTATAATAAATAATAATGTAAACAAAGAGTTTCTACCAATGAAATGCGAGGTTTTGAGTGATGTCACGTGGGAGTTGTTCAACTTAGCAACCTTCTCTTATGACTTGCTGTTGATCATCTTAGTGACAAATTCTCTACTAGATGTGACTTTAAGATTAACCAAAACAAACGAATCAGCATTCACCTTACAAATCCTTCAGGTACTCATGCTACTAGATGTGTCTTAAGCAGTAACCAAAAACAACCAATCAGCATTCACCTTACAAGTCCTTTAGGTACTCATGCTGCTAGATGTGCCTTAAACAGTAACAAAAAACAACCAATCAGCATTCACCTTAAGAGTCCTTTAGGTACTCATGCTGCTAGAGTTGCCTTAAACAGTAACCAAAAATAACCAATCAGCATTCACCTTAAAAGTCCTTTAGGTACTCATGCTGCTAGTTGTACCTTCAACAGTAACCAAAAACAACCAATCAGCAGTCACCTTACAAGTCCTCTAGGTACTCATGCTGCTAGAGTACTTTACCTTCACTGTGATTGGCTATAATGCCAGACGTAGTTTCTACCAATGAAATGCGAGTATTTGAGTGACGTCACGTGGGAGTTGTTCAACTTAGCAACCTTCTCTTATGACTTACTGTTGAACATTTATACTTCTGTCATTATCTCAGTGACAAATTCTCTCACTAGATGTCACTCCATAAAAAATACACGAATTTGGTTAATGAAACAAAGAATAGAAGATAAATTGCTACCTAAGATAGATAACTGGAGACATGTAAGCTGGTATAGACGCTAGCTAGATAGATATATAAATAAAGATAAAGAGAATGATAGGTACATAGTTATAAATGTTTATCAGGTTAGTTAAATTTGTGTATTTTTTATGGAGTGCCATCTAGTGAGAGAATTTATTACTGAGATAATGAACAGCAAGTCATAAGATGATCAACAGCAAGTCATAAGAGAAGGTTGCTAAGTTGAACAGCTTCCACGTGTGACGTCACTCAAATACTCACATTTCATTGGTAGAAACTACGTCTGGTATTATAGCCAATCACAGTGAAGGTAAAGTACTCTAGTAGCATGAGTACCTAAATGACTTGTAAGGTAACTGCTGATTGGTTGTTTTTTGTTATTGTTGACGTCACAATGGTTGGTCAACACAGTAACCTTCTCTTATGGTCTGCTGTTGATCATTATTACATTTTGTGTATTACTGATGATATTATGACATTTAATGTAACTTATCACTCCATTTATCTCTATCTAGGTAGCTAGCTATCTATATCAGTCTGCATGTATGTAGTTATCTGTATCTATGTATATTGCTAGTAGCTATTAACAATATATACCTATCATTCTATTTTTATTTATATATCTAACTAGCTAGCTGACTATACCAGCCTACATTTCTCCGGTTATCTATCTTCTTAGGTAGCAATTTATTTATCTTCTATTATTTGTTTCATTAAGCAAATTCGTGTATTTTTTATGGAGTGCCATCTAGTGAGAGAATTTGTCATTGAGATAATGAACTGCAAGTCATAAGATAATCAACAGCAAGTCATAAGAGAAGGTTGCTAAGCTGAACAATTCCCACATGACATCACTCAAATACTTGCATTTCATTGGTAGAAACTCTTTGTTTACATCTTGTATTATAACCAATCATGGTCAGGGTAAAGTACTCTAACAGCACGAGTACCTAATGGGCTTGTAAGGTGACTGCTGATTGGTCGTTTTTGGTTACTGTTTAAGTCACATCTAACAGCATGAGTACCTAAAGGGCTTGTAAGGTGAATGCTGATTGGTTATTTTTAGTTAATGCTTGTCACATCTATCAGCATGAGTACTTAAAGGACTTGTAAGGTGAATGCTGATTGGTTGTTTTTTGTTATTGTTGACGTCACAATGGTTGGTCACACGGTAACCTTCTCTTATGATCTGCTGTTGATCATTACTTACGTTTTGCATTATTGATGATATTAAAGAGGAATATAAATAAATGACAGTAAACTTGACAAGGGTGCTTCATTCCACCCAGTCACAGTGAGTGTAAAGTACTCTAGCAGCATGAGCACCTAAAGGCCTTGTAAGGTGAATGCTGATTGGTTGTTTCTTGTTATTGTTGGAGTCGCAATGGTTGATCAACACAGTAACCTTCTCCTATGATCTGCTGTTGCTCACTATAGAAGAGGCTTTTAACAGCAATCCATATTAGATACAGCCAATGGGAACTGAGCAGTTAGTTGTAAGCTCTGCCTCCTTGATGAGATACTGGTTGTTCAACACATTATAATCATGGAGAAGCAATAAACCCTTATGATTATACAGCACCTGTGGGGGGATGGAAGGCTTAATTCAGCGAACTGGAGCAAACATACAATTCCCTAGATCAAGAGCCCCTCACCAGCATCAAGGAACCTTCCTTGAGGGGTGTTCAACACAGCAACCCAACTTATGATTTGTTGTCTGCAGTGCTATATGACCCTTGTGGGTTTAGCGCTTAGTTTAACCTCTGCTCTACCACACCAAAAGCTTCATTTTCTACCTTCAATTTCGTTCTTAATAAGACAAAAACCTGCTGTTTTTTCACATATTGCACTAACATATATTCATGACTCACGGAATCGTAATGACAGTTACAAACACGGTACAGGTGGGGACTGAACTCGTGGCTAGTCTTGAGTTCAATTCCCACCCATACTGTGGTTTATCATATTTATGTTTAATGAACCTTTCTAATATTGATAATTTTACTACAATTTTTTTTTTCAACAAGTCGGCCGTCTCCCACCGAGGCAGGGTGACCAAAAAAAGAAAATCCCCAAAAAGAAAATACTTTCATCATTCAACACTTTCACCTCAATCACACATAATCACTGTTTTTGCAGAGGTGCTCAGAATACAACATTTTAGAAGCATATACGTATAAAGATACGCAACATATCCCTCCAAACTGCCAATATCCCAAATCCCTCCTTTACAGTGCAGGC